AGCTTGACGGCAGGCAAACAGCGGGAACAGAACAAGAAAGAGTCACCGTCGCAACCGCGCTAGGCAGCTGTGCGGTGATCAATTGATGTTCGTGACTAGCAGTAGGCTTCAACGACGGCAAACTAGTTAATCTCTTGTTGAATTGGCGAGGCGAGGATCAGTGGGTAGAACCTGGGCTAGCGTAGTGAAGCCGGCGCCGATATGCGCCCAAGGCTGGGATGATCTGGCCCTGAAGTATCAGTGGATCCCGGACTGGGGGCGTAACTGTCTGTGCACCGACGAGGACGGCGCCGGGGAACATGGTTGCATGGGCCGTCGGCTGGGTAAGAAAGTGTCCCAACTTCAACCAGGGCACACTGACTGGACTGGCTTGCATCAACGACGAGGCAAAGCGAGTCGGGGAGCAATTCCAAGCCGCCACTCACCAGTCACCAGTGAGCAGTCGTTCCTGCAGTAGCGGGTTCGTGTTGGGAACGGTGCAGCTGGAGTGGCTGACTGTTGGCTCTGGAGTCTGTACCTGCATTGCACTCATGCACCCTCGTGGACGACGGAAAGCGTGCTGCAGCGGTTGGATAGAGGCCCTATCAAGGGACATGAGCCGAAAATTGACAATCTGGAGACTGGAGAGACGTAGATGGGGATTGACGATTGTCCTGTGTGATGACGATGAAGCGGTGACAGCGTACGGTATTCGCTGTCTGCCGAAATACAATGGGGACGATGTACCGTGGCAGGAACACGTCGACCAAAGCGCCGTCTTCAGCAGCAAGTGTGGTTGCAGTAATTATGCATCGACGAATGATGCACCTGCCGAGCGAAGTGCTATCACAATTTCGTCCCACGCGTGCAGGCGCGGCAGCGCTCGTGCATAAGTAGGCAGCACTGATCGAAACGGGCAAGAGCCCGCATGGATGAAACCAACCCTGGTTGCGAAGAACTTATGCATAGGCTCAATGCAGGCTTGTACGTACATGCAGCCTCGCACTTCAAGCAGGCCAGGCACGGTTCTTTGGAGCACGCCAGATGCAGGTACCAATTGCTGCATATCCATACCGCCCATCACAATTCACAAACGAGCGGAGGGGCCAGTCTGTCTCCACCTTTCGTCACACAACGGCACAATTCTAGGCCAGCACCGCGCCGGCTCTGCGTGATGTGCAAGTGCGGCCGAGCATTATCTCTGTCCGCACATCCTCTTATGCAGAGCCAAAGTTTCAGGTTACGCCAATGGTACGAGCCAATGGGGAGCTACCCGGAAGGCTGGTCTAAATATCCGTCCTTTTGGGTCTTCTGGAGACTGGACAGGACCCCACAGAATGACAACGTCTCTAGAAGAAGATCTACTGAATCAGACTATCTCTTTCACTTACTCGTGCAAAATGTCGATGCTCTTCGTCCGCGCTCACAGTAATTAATGCGTACCAAGTAGCGCCGTGGCAAATGGGGCAGACATGACATCCATTCATGCTGATATCTGTACTTGACGTAATGAGAAGCGTCAAGTATCAGTCGTCAGGTGAATCAGTCCCGGACAACCCCCCACGTACGAGGAGGACGATGATGTGACTACGTACGTATCTACGTACCTCCACCACAATCCAACAAGGCATCAGTTAGCATCGCGTAGATAGCAATGTGGTAGACACTGCCGGATCTAGCGTACAAGGTTTTGTGAGCTATGCCTAAGCCTAACCCACCATAGCTTAGCAAGCTGCGTGCTTGATCTCTTGAGGAATAGGGCCGGGATCCAAAGGATTTGCTGTCGACTTGTGGTTTGTCGCAGATGCGGCCGAATACCGAGGGCAAACACCGACAATTGTGAAATCAAAAGAAGAAAGGTGATCTGCCGGCGTTCTGCTGATTAGTCTGGTTTAGTGGCTTGTAGGTCGCCTGTCAACGAGCGGTGATGCTTGCTAGTGGATTTGGCGTGGAAGCGATTTTGAAGGAATCCCACAATCTAACTTAACTGAATATGAATTGGGCAACGAGATTGTCTACGATCCACCTTTGATCGAGGCATGGGGGCACATTGCATTAGCCCACGCCAAAGGCGATGGCATCTCGACATCGTCGGCGACACTGTCAATGCTGTTTCATTCCGCTCGAAACATGGGACTACTTGTCATTCAGAAGCAGTCAACGAAAATTTCCGCGTCTAGGCGCACGGGAAAGCACCGTCCCGGACCCTTGATTTGGGCCTATTGTCGTTGGCGGCCACTCTTCGTCTCGCTTAAATCACCAAACGGCCAATTAAGGCCATCTCTGACTCGCTGGCAGGGGATCTATTGGACCCAGCAGCACGCGAGCACCTGACTCTGTTTTATTCAACGCGAGTCGAATATCCAGCTGAACCGGTCGTCACGTTGTCACTCGTTACCCAGCAGTGGCCAAGAGACACATGACCAAATATCTGCCGACGTCAATCAGCGGCCATGTTGGCAGCTGTTGATGGCGCGCTATCCGCAGCCTCCTCTGTCCGGCCCTAATATCGTTGTATCAGACAGACGTGGAGCAGTGGGCCGACCGCGTAGGCTATCCCGCGTAAAGTGCTCGCGTCCATCGGGGAGCGTGAAGACGGGCCGCTACTGGTCCGTCGTGCCTGACCGTGGTGGGCGGACTCGGGCTGGGTCGCTCAATTTTGTGATTTGTGTGCTGCGCTTCGGACCTGACCAGACGAGAGGCATGCACAAGTGCGCATAGCGCAGGAGGCGAGCTCAGGCTGCTCAGCCGGTGCTGCTAATGCATGTGAGCGACAGACGGACTCTCCTCACGTTGCATCCGTAATTTCCACAAGAGCCAGTCTGGCCGACAGACGTGCCGCACAAAATTAATCCATGTTTTATCCATGTCCCTCCCCGGCTGTGGTGGCCCGTATGCGGTAGGTGGTTCATCTTGGATCCAGATCCCATATTCATGTTACAGCAATGAATGGATGGAGCAGGACGCGTGTCAGAGTGGTGTGCAGCTACTATGAGATGGATGTACCTCCTCACCAAGCCTACGCATAGTAGTTACCTATAGCAAGCAACGCACACTGCGAGCTAAACAGCAGAATAATGCATGAGGGCAGTGCAAATGAGTTTCCACATTGTTCTTGGGCAGTCAGTTGTGTTGAGCACAATTCGTTTGTGATCGACCTGCTGCCAACTGTTTCAGAGAGAGACGGTTGGGCTCAAGGTGTCTAGCACCGTCGTCATCGCTGTCCACTAATAACCATGACTTGTTGAATGCCGATCGAACGAGCATCCCGGCACCGAAGCGCACTCGTCGCTGGACTCGGTTGTGCTTGCCAGCTCGGCTTGCTTGTCACATTGAAGGCGACGACCGCGAGGATCACGAGGCAACATTTCAACATCTTTGATTTTGACTGGTCGCTAGGGTAGCCGCCAGAGACCAACGATAGCGCAGTGCAGCCAGCTGATTGTCAGTGACGGGCGAGAACAAAAATGGGCGAAACGCGCTTCTTCTTCGTAGGCGACATATCACTGGGACTGGTCGTATTAGGATTGTGAAAGATCAAGCGGGCTGTGCACCGCGTTTGCACAAGACAATCACACGCACAAAGAGCCAATGGCGAGCAGAGCTATGTCTTGTGCACTTTGTGTGGCCGCTCCAGCAGCAGTAACCTCCCCAATCAGACCTCAGGATCCCAATGCTTGCGTTCCACCTCGGCACAAAAGCGCGTAATGCAAGGCAAGTGTCCGCGCAAGGCGCAAAGGGCAGCCAGAGGCAGCCTGAACAGACCCGCTCTCACGCACACTTCGCTCCTGTGCTAGCCAGTGAACTGTTTGTTATGCACGCGCGTGCAGCCACCATGCCTCATGCACCCAGCTCCTGCCAACCAGCAGGATACGTGCTGTTATGCAAGCGCGTTTGTGCATGTCTGCCTGTCTAGTCGAGTCAAGTACCTCCGCGACTATTCAATATGGATAGTGACATTCGAGCTCCATCACGGTGCCCAAATTAGAACCTTGGGCTCTCCTCGTACCTGTCGCTGCGCCATCCTTCAATTTTCCATCCACTTTGATCTCATCCCACCACACGCACAGGCCGTGAGCTCGTAATGAATAGCACCACGGTCTTGTGGATAGGCAGCGCACCTGTCAACTTTGACGGCTCGTTATTCATCCAGCGTGGGAAAGACGTGACGCAAAAACTTGCCAACACGCTTGATGCCAACAAATGGCTTCTCCTCGCAGCGCAAAGAGACAACAAGCTCCAGTTTCTGTGCCGTAGGCTAGAATAAGAAAGAATGGCAAATACATATGGTCCACCACATGTACGTATTAGCTCTCTGCGGGACTCGCACACACATCACAGTCGTCCTCTATAGCGTACACGCCTGCCCAGGCACTATTCCGACACCCTCCAAGCCAATATCGGCGTCCTTCCACTCGAACGACGGTCCCGTATTTGAGTCCACCCACCACCCAGGCGTATTCTCGAGGGTTTCCTTTTTGCCCCAGACACTGGGAACAAGACCGGGGTTCCTGGTTGGAGGGGCTTGAGCCGTCTGGCCCGCCAGATGGATCCCCGGGCTACCCTGCTCTGGCTTGGTCCGCACCCCTGCCGGTCTGGTCTGCTCGAGTGAGACGGGCGTGGAGGGTAATTATGGGTATGGATACGCAACGAGGCAATGGCAGCTCACCATCCCAAGCCAGCACCATCAATGGACGTTGATCTTTCGGGCCCTCGTTGTGCCACTGGTACTTACTACTTATCCTCCATGCCTCCCCGTCCCCCAGTACCGGTTCGTCCTCATCTCTTGCCCATGATCGACACCCTTGTTCTTGTCGGCCTTGGTTCTGTGTGATCTTGCTCTTTTATACATGCCCTCCTGGTCCTTTCTTTATTCACTGGCTCGCGCTTTTATACTTTGGAACCCTTGAGATTCCTAGCCTCTCCTTCCTACTTGAAGACGCCTCCGACGACAACAAGCACTTGCACTCGCTACTGTCACACGAGCTCGACATCGACTCAAGTCTTCCCGAGCCTTAGCACCTTGGTCAACCACTACGTCCGACGTATACAACAACTCAGGACAGTCCATTCTCTTATACACCAGGAACCGGACCCCACCATCCTTTGGCATCTGCCGACGAGAAATACGACTGTACACTACGATATATAAATACGCTTAATACAATCACGACCTACCGACAAACCAGATCAGAGGTATGGGAGCTCCCTTGAGCCTCGTCAACATAGTACAATGGGTTGACTGACCATTGGCAGATCTTGCGAGAATGGATTCCCCCATGATGGCCTCGCTCGGACAGGCTCCCGTCTATTACAAGAATGCCATTGTCTACCAACAATCACAACCCCAACAGCAACAACCACAGTCACACCACCAGCAGCCGATGGGCATGTATGCCATGGCTCCCTCGAGTGGCGCCTATGCTCAGCCTCCCACCCTCTACAGCAACGGACCGTCTGTCCTCACGCCTACCGGCTCTCCCCGCCCTGTGAGCGCGCAGAAGCCTGCCATCCTCCTGGACACAGACATGGACTCGTACTTTCCCGCGACACCGCCTCTGTCGACCTCGGGCAGCACCGTGGGTAGCCCGTACAACTTCGAGGCGCTCCAGACTCCCATGAACCCCATGTTCTCCGGGATGGGTGAGCATGAGACGGCCAAGGACAGCTTGGAAGCTGCTGAGACTTCGGTGCTCGATCTGTCGAGCTGTGGCTCGCCTCCCATGACACCCAGTAAGTAATTTCACCATTTAATCTCGCCCAACAGCCAAGTACATTGTGCATGAGCTGGCCGAAACAGTGGACCAGTTTCGCGGCCAGTGTCGCGTCAGACCCACAGCCACACTTCTCAATATGCACATAGACGGGATATGAGACTAACATGCCTATCAGTGTACCTGCAGTCCCAAATCGGAAAGGCGCCATCTCTCACAGACTCCTTTTCGTCGTGCCCCTCGCTCTCTCCCTCCCCTGCCCCCTATGCTCGCTCTACCAGCTCTGAGCAAGACGTCGACTTTTGCGATCCGCGTCACTTGACTGTGGCCGGTGGTTCTGTGGACTCGACCTTGGCGCCCGAGGCTTCTCTCGACGAAGAGGCCCGCATCCTGCACCCCAAGCCCGAGCCTGCCGCCGTGCGCGCGCCCTCATTTGAGTTCAAGGTTGAGCTCCCTGGCGACCTGCCATCCTTCACCGACCTCTCGGATCTCGAGTCGGAGGAGGACTTTGTCAACAGCCTGGTCAACCTCGACGACACAGACGCTGCTGATATCACGCGCCCCCGCGCCTGCACTGGCTCATCGGTTGTCTCCCTCGGGCACTGCAGCTTCATTGGGGACGAGGATCTTACTTTTGATGGTTCAGACGCCCTTCAATTCTCCATCCCTAGCCCCCCCTCCACCGTCACCGCCGAGGACAGCCACCGCACCAAGCGCACCAAGAAGTCGCACAAGCAGAGCAGCGCATCTATCCCCTCCATCAACATGGCCTCCGCCGGGACGGAGCAGACTGCCGAGCCGGCACAGCAGGAGGAGTCTTCGCAGCACCAGCAGGCTGACGCCGATGCCACAGAGTCCAACCACTCGTCTGGCTCCGAAGAAGGCAATGCGCCTGCCCCCACAAACCGCCGCGGCCGCAAGCAATCGCTCACCGAAGACCCTTCTAAGACTTTTGTCTGTGAGCTTTGCAACCGCCGCTTCCGCCGGCAAGAACATCTCAAGCGCCACTACCGCTCCCTCCACACCCAGGATAAGCCTTTTGAGTGCGGCGACTGCGGCAAGAAGTTTTCCCGCAGTGACAATCTTGCCCAGCACGCCCGCACGCACGGCTCTGGTGCCATTGTCATGAACATCCTCAACGGTGAAACAGGGGAGCACGTGCCCCACGTGTACCCGCAAGACTCCATGCCTGGCTCAGTGGCCGCGAACGACGAGAGCTACCAGCAGTTTGGCAAGGTGCTCTTCCAGATGGCGGCTGAGGTACCCGGCAGCTCGAGCGAGGACAGCGCTGATGAGGGCAAGAAGCGCAAGCGCTCCGACTGAGAGGGTCACCTTGAAATACAATCATCAATCTGGTCACCCGTGGTCAGAACGCTTCCATGATACCACGACGCTTCAATTTCTTCAAAACGTCCAGACAGCCGCTTTGGCTTCTGGCGTTCTTAGGGTTCATACACATCATCCTGGGCGGTCCCAGTTGGGTAGAGGAGTACAAAAAAAAAACCACATCATCGGCTCTTCTTTCGCCGTCGATGGACATTTGCATTGGACAAGTCTCTCTACTTGTGCCATTTGAATTTGCGCGCAATTTTGATTTTCTCGGGGCGGTTATTTTTGGCGAGCCTTTGACGACATGGTGGGCCAACATTTCACATGGATGACGGAACACTGGCAGCTTTTTGTCTTTCCTTTACGCTCGTTGTAATGTGCCGAGGGAAAAGGAAAGGATATGGGGGCTGGGTCACCAAACCTTCTCTCTTCTCTCGGACATGCGGATTTTGCACGATGAGCGGACGCAAAAGTCTCTTTTGCGTCCGCGTTGCTGTGTCTTCACTTCACCTTCTTGCCAGTCTTTTCTGAGGGGGGTTCCTCATCGCCGTTGGCTATCCTTTTGGAGTTGTGCCGGTCACAGGCCTCTCGGGATAGCGACGATTGAGATAACTCTTTCTGTACGTATACTCTATAGACTGCGCCGTTTTGGCCAGTCACGAATTCAACGCTCACTTACGATGCCACCATGAATGAATGCTCTGTTTCCACGCTGTGACCGCACTGCTTTTTTTGATACTTGGCATGTCAATGTCTCGACACTTTTCGAGACCCTCACACAAACTCCTGGACCCTGACCCTGGACATGCCCAGCCTGCCGTGGGCAAAGTCATTCCCGCCACGAGGCGCTAATCGGTGTGTGCCTCGCGCTCGTCCAGGGTCCAGTCGAGATCGGAGTTTCGGATGGCCACGTCTAAATTCTACTGATTGTGATCATCTCGTCGCCGCCGTGAGGTATCATTCTTTGACTGGGGGAAGTTGGCACTAGCCTGGTCCAGTGCCGCCTCACCGCATAGTTAGATAGTACTGACTAAATCCGACAAGAGAACGAACCGTCCATTTGCCGTCACGCGTCTGTGCTTGGTGCACAGACACATCGTTCGTTGACCTGGTTCAAGCTTCTCGGTGATGAGCAGAGGGTCCTTTGGCAGGGGGGCCAGGCCCTCGAAGGGCCCGAGCATGGGCACCCAGGTGCCTGGGAACCCTGGTGAGCAGAGTGGGTGTTGGTCCCGCGAGATTGCAATTTGGCAGGCGGACCGGGGCCGCGGCGGCGCGAGGCGGCGCAATGTCCCGGCAGATGGTGTGTACAGTGTGTCTGAATTCAGAATTGCAACGTTGGTTTCAGACGCCCCCGGGGGGACAAGGTGTGAGAGATTGGATGTTGGTCGTAGAATTATGGGAGATTTCGTCTTTGTAGGAACTTTCGATCATTATCATGCGCGGTTGACACTTGACATGTCTGGGATATTTTGCATGGGTCGTTCGGAGGTGGTGGCAGCCCCGGCCCAGTCCTTCAAGTTTCAACATTAATAATAAACTTGGCCAGTCGTCGGCAGAAGCTTGTCGAGCTTGAGAGGAAGATTGCGATACCTACCCAGGCTCGCTGTATCCAGCCGTACCTGGGACCATCTTGACGAGAGCTGGTACAAGCTGCTCCAGTAGGAGGCCCTCACCTCTGCTTTTGGGACTACAGTGTCGACAGTGGGTATATATCCGACAGAGGCGAGTCCGTCACCTCGTCGCAGGGTGGTTCCAAGACGTGGAGTATCAATTCATGTTGAGATGTGTGCAATGATCAATGTCCATTGCGTAGGTATGCGCTGGTCTGGCCTTGAGGTCTGGATGGGAGAGAGGATGCACGTGACCCCACAATATCGACAGTCTTCACAGGAAGAACAGCTCACATTTTGATGAGAAAGCAAAAGCTTGACCAGTCCTCCAAGACAAAGAGCCGCATCGAATTCAATCACATTCCTTCACAGCGCGCAGCCCTTGGTAGCATGGCCAGCGACGGCCTCGGGGTCATCGCCCTCATCTCGGGCGGCAAAGACAGCTTCTACAGCTTGCTGCACTGCGTCCAGCATGGCCATCGCATCGTCGCCCTGGCCAACCTGTGCCCTGCCGCGGAGGGCGCCTCGTCCGACGTGCAGGTCATCGCGCCGTCCTCGTCGCCGTCTACCGCCACGCCTTCCGAGACAGATCTGAACAGCTTCATGTACCAGACTGTTGGGCATGAAATCATACCGCTCTACGCGGCCGCCACCGGACTGCCCCTCTACCGTCTAGCGATCACGGGCAGTGCCGTACATCACGAACGTGACTATGCCTGCAACGTGGACGGCGACGCATCCGATGAGGCAGAGTCCATGACGACGCTGCTACGAGCGGTCATGGAGCACCATCCTGAGGCCAAGGCCGTCTCTGCTGGTGCCATTCTATCGACATATCAGCGGACACGCGTCGAGTCGGTGGCCTTGCGGCTGGGCTTGACACCTTTGGCGTACCTCTGGCAGTATCCCGTGCTCCCGCCCCCCGTCAAGCCGGCCGACGACGCCCAGCTCCTCAAGGACATGGCGGAAGCGGGCCTGGACGCACGCATCATCAAGGTGGCCAGCGCGGGGCTGGGCGAGGATCACCTCTGGGAACAGGTGTCCAGCGTGGGCGGGGCCGAGGGCATCAAGGGAGCTTTGCGGAAGTTTGGCGCGGCGGGTGGTGCCGTCCTCGGGGAGGGCGGCGAGTTCGAGACGCTGGTGCTGAGCGGACCGTCCGCGCTGTTCAACAAGGCCATTCATGTGCCTGAGGAGAGTCGGAGCATCGTGCGCGAGGGAGGTGGCTCGACATGGCTGCTGCTCAAGGACGCCCGTGTGGTTGACAGATCTGCCGCTGCAGATGAATCTCCACCCAGGCAACCGGATCTCTTGGATCTCAAATTTGAGAATATCCTGAGCTCTCTGACGACCGGACACTCGGATGCACAACACTCACCGCCGGTCGACGGCGGAAAGTCATGGGACGCGCTGCAGAAGGCGTCGTTCAAGGTCACAGGGGTCAATGAGCTACTGCAATGGGCCGTCACCAAGAGCGCGGGCAAGAGTCCAGACATGAGCATCGAGGAGGAGACAGCGGACGTTGTCGAGCAGATTGGCCAACTCCTGTCGCAGAACTCCCTGTCACCCGAGCACATCTCCAACACGGTCATCGTCCTCCGTCACATGGCCGACTTTCCCAAGGTGAACGCACACTATGGCAAGCTTTTCCGGCGACCGAATCCGCCTTCGCGAGTCACAATCTCCTGCGGCGAGCTTCTTCCCGCAGGCTGCAGTATTGCCATATACCTCACAGTGGATGCAAGGCCTGAGGAGGGCGCCTCGAGGCACGGTCTTCACGTGCAATCGAGATCGTACTGGGCGCCCGCGAACATTGGACCGTATAGCCAGGCGATTGGCATCTCGGCGGGAGGCATCCCTCTTCTACGCACCTGGTCTGTCGCTGGCCAGATTCCCTTGCTCCCTGCGTCGATGGAGCTGCCGCCCTCGTCCCCCACATCCCGACAGCTTCAAGTTGTCTTGTCACTACAGCATCTCTGGCGCATCGGCACCGAGCTCAAGATACAATACTGGACCAGCGCAGTGGCATACTTTGCACGCTGTGGCACGGATGGGGATATGGCCGACAATGCCAGGATGGCAGGTGACGCTTGGTGGCTCGCCCATGGCTCACCTGACGGAGAGGAAGATGCTGAGGACGGGCCTGACCCATGGGACCTCAAGTACAATCCGCAGTACATGACCCTGGGGGACGGGTCAGCACAAGCAAAGCCCGTGCCCTTGCCCGACTGGGAGGCTCTTCCACTCCGGCAGCAAAACGAGCCTGCTGGCGCCGTGCCCCCGGTCTTCTCGGTGGAAGTAGAGGAGCTCCCTCGGCAGTCTTCTGTCGAGTGGCATGCCCACATTGGTCTTTCTGGCTTGGCGACATCGAGTCTTGAGATGCTCCACGTGGCCAGAGTCGGCGAAACCCCTTGGTCTGCGTGGCATGCAGTGGTACGCAGTGCTGAGGGCGCCTTGTTGCACACGGTCCTGGCGCGTCAGTCCGTTGGCGACGGCTCTGGCGATATTGCAAACACCACCGAGGATATGAACGCGGCCTATCGCGGCCTGTTGGGCGCTCTTGGGCTTTCTACGGACTCGACCTCCTCCAAAGTGCCCTACCTCGTGTACGCGAACGCAGAGGTTCCGACTTTGCCAGCAGCCATGGCAGCACCGACAATTCCCTGCCGGTCAATTTGGTCAAGCACGGGGCACAGACTAGAGATGGTTGGTTTGTACAGGGTGAATCTCGGCGTATGAGCAAACGTCTTATTTGTCCTACTTCTGATCGAAACCGTTTGGGAGAACATAGTAAAGAAACCAAACACTGGAGCCCCCTACTTTTCCACCACAGTCATCAAGTGCTCAGGGTACCGGCTACCCGCCCCAACAAAGGTCTTGAGGATCTCGTCAATCTGGGCCACCTCCTCAGCCGAGAGGTCGACGACGGCCAGGTTCTCCTTGATGCGCGAGGGATTGCTGGAGCCCTGGAGCGGATGGATGGTGGGCATGCCGGGCCGCTTGGCCACGTCAAGAATCCACCCAATGGCAATCTGCCCGGCGGTGCAGCCCTTCTTCTGGGCCAGCTCCTCGACAGCATGCACGAGCTCGAGGTTCTTGGCGAGGTTGTCCGCGGAGAACTGGGGGAAATGCCGGCGCATATCGTTCTCGGGGATGTCCTCGACCTTTTTGAACTGGCCACCGAGCAGGCCCTTTCCGAGAGGGGCTAGCGATGCCATGTCAGTCTTGTCACCGCGAAGTCGAATAGGGAGATAGGACGAGGCACAAACTTACAGTAGGCAAGGACGGTCACGCCCAGCTCAGCACAGGCGGCCAGCAGACCGTTGCTCAGGGGGTCCGTCCTGAAGAGGGAGAACTCAATCTCGAGCGTTGCGACCTTGTACTTGGAGGCGACGCGCCGCAAGGTCGTCTCCGAGGCTTCGCTCAGGCCAATGGCGCCAATCTTGCCGGCCTGGACGTACTCGTCGACAACGCCCAGTGTGTCGAGGATGTCGTGCTCGGGGTCGACGCGCGCGGGGGCGAACTGGTGGATCTTGACCCTACCCTCGAGCAGGCGCAGACAGTTCTCGATGCTCTGCCGCGTCTTGTCCGGGGCGGCGTCGGGCATAAAGGTGCTGGTGTTGAGGGCGCCCTTGACGTTGAGGGTGATCTTGCCGGCGTCCTTGGGGTGGCGCTCGAGGTACCTGGCCAGGAAGTACAGGCTGCCGTAGGTGGGTGGGCCGTAGAACTCGGCTGCGTTGAGGTAGGTGCTGCCGTTGTCGATGGACGTCTTGATGGCGGCGAGGGCATCTTCCTCGCTGGGCAGGCTGGCGAGGCGCATGAGGCCAGTGGCCACTGGGGTGTTGGCGGTGGGAGGAGACATGATTGCTGGGTCTGTTGATGGTGGTGATGGTGATGGTAGTGCTGTTGATGTGGGCAGAGAGCGCCAGTGTAGCGCGACCCTGGGCACTTTATATCCTTTCTCACCCACGCTCATTGCGTGATGTCGGGGTCGTTAGCTTCCGTATGACATCTCGAAGCCTCCGTAAAGCCTAATTCCGCGTCCAAGATGGATGACTGCATGTGAGCCTCTACGCAGCGGGCGTGAAGCCTGGCGCCCTGGATGACCGCACCATGACCAGTCTAGAGGGCCGCACGGTTTCCGTCACGGAAGCGGTCTTAGGAAATAGGCATGCGATGGATAGTCAAGAGAATGGCTTACGTTGTGGACTACATGTACGGAGTAATGATGACCATCGGATTTGGGTGTGCAGAATGTTCGATAAACCCGAGTGGGGCCTGACATGTCTTGCGTACCTGTACCATGCATGGCATACAGCATTCTTCAATTAGTAGAACTAGCTTCCCTACGAAACCCTTCTCCCACTGTTGCGGTGCAGAAGACATAGCATTGCTGGATCGGATCGAACGCCATGGAGATCCTGCTCTTTGCGATACTCGCTGTGGTTGCCCCTGGCTGTGCTGCGCTTACCATGTCATCGTTCTTCGAACTCGACTTCAGAGCGCGTGCGTAGTGGTCTTCAAAGAAACAACCAGACGCCATACTGTTTCTTCCCTTGGCCATGCGTCGCGCGGCAGCGTCTGCCCGCATGTTTCCCATGACACGAGCGTGGCCGGGGACCCAGTGGAAAGTGACCTGCACATGGAGCTGCGCGAGAATCCGAGAGTTCACTACAATCCTGCGAGCGATGGCACAGTTCGCAAGCTCCTTGCGGCAAGGGGCGTGATGCTGCCAATGCTGAACTTGGCGCAGAGCTGCTTGCGAATCGCTGAATATCAGGACTCGGTGGATGGCATCCACGCGTTTCTTGCGCATCTGATGCTGGCCCTTGACTTTTAACACGGCCATGACCAAGGCGCCGGCCATGGCTGACAACTCGGCTTCATCTACGCAGACAGCCTCATGTTGACGAACAAGAAAGGAGGTCGTCTCCCACCGAAACGTTCCTCTTTTGGTAGTATTCATGTGTACGACGGCTGCGGCAGATGTCTCTAGACGAGGCAATGCGGAGCCATCCACGAAGTAGACTAGGTCGTGGGTCGACGGAGATACAATTGCATTCTTGGCCTCGATTTTTGGCGCATTCGCGTCTTGCGACAGAGACTTGGCCATGGAAACGCAAGTCGATGTTAGGGATGCTGTTGAGGGCAGCTATCTCGTGCCGACGTACGGACGCTCGTGTTGCGGCTCTCGCGTGCCTCTTCCGAATTCTGGCGACTTGACGCCCTGCGACGAGCTGTTCAATTGTGTGAGTGTCATCCGGCATATTGCTAGTAATTATGATCTTGTTCGGTGGTCGTGGAGCAGTGCTACGTATATCGAGAGAGGTGTGGTGGGGTTTCCACAAGGTCCATGTAAGGTACGAGGTAGTCCCATGTCTTCTTCCTCAGTTAGAGTTGTGCCTTGACCTCACATGGACACGTTTTCCAAATCATCCATCATTTCACTTCAAAGTTTAATTGCTGGTCGATCCCAAGTACTTACGCAGCATCTAGCAGCAGCCGTGTCCAACACTGACCAGTAACGCGAGGAGCTCGGCGATGGCGTGATGACAGGGCACCGCTTGCTCCATCGTCACAGTCCTCCATCCTCGCATTGATCCGCCCAGCGCTGCTTTTTCCACGCGCGCGACACCATGGCGAGCAGCAGTAGCAGCAGCAGCAATAATGCTGCGCCCCGCAGGGTGAATATGCCCTCCTCCTCGATCCTTCCGCACTGCACATGAGCAAAGATTGAGGACTGGACGCTGACAGCCACTGGCCAGTCCGGGACCCTGCGCGACGCCCATCGATCGGCGACCAGCCTGCACCACACTAGACGACAGTCGGCCAGCGACCGCCTGGACGAGATTCTGGAGAACGCCCGCCAGCGAGCCGACGACATGGCCGCTGACGCAGCTTCGTCGCCCGGGATCCCAGAATCATCCAACGCCACAAGCCTCAGACGATCTGGCACGACGCTCTCGTTCGAGGAACCCTCCCCATCGGCCGACGAGACGACGGCGTTTCTTCCCCCATCGCAAGGCGCACATCGGAGCAGCTACTCTTCGATTACGAATGACGTAAATGGAGGGCATAGAAAGTCCGTGTACCGACGGCCGAGGTCATCGCGGCAGCAAAACGAGGAGGATACCGACCCCAATGGCCCTGTAGACGCAGACCCAAGCCATGGCTCGTTCGAGGAGGCGACGCCCTCCTCGTCGTCCTCTTGGTGGACCAAGGTCACACGTCCCTTCCGCTCCATCGAGCTCGAGAACAAGGGCAGCGTGGCGCGGGACCATCTCGCTCTCGGTACGTGGTCGACCTCTGTGTCGTCGTTGACCAGCATCATGAAGCTAACACCATCGGTTTAGAGCGCACATTTCTCGCCTGGCTGCGCACCTCGCTAGCCTTTGCCTCCATTGGCATCGCCGTCACGCAGCTCTTCCGCCTCAACACCTCGCTCCCCGACTCGGGCTCACTCAACCAGGACACCCTTCGGCAGGTGGGCAAGCCGCTGGGCGCCGCGTTCCTGGGCATCAGCATCCTCATCCTCCTGCTCGGCTACCGACGCTTCTTCCTCGGGCAGCAGTGGATCATCAAGGGCAAGTTTCCCGCGAGTCGGGGCACGGTCATGCTGCTGGTGCTTGTCACGCTGGCGATCATGGTTCTCAGTTTGGTCGTGGTTATAGTGATCCATCCCAAGGAGGAGTGACAGTTTTAGGATACCATCTAAAAATGCAACAGACAAGCAACAGCACGAACACACATCCTGAACCTAGAGCCTTGGCGTAGTTGCGTGATGTTACCTGTAAATACTAGCAGTGAATGCCATGACCTCAACAGTACAACAGTGGGGCACTGGCCAGCTACCACCCACTCCAACACTCCAACTCAACTCTGTTCATGTTCCTTCATGTCAACGCCAACATGGTGCCTGGCCTCCTCCAACGTTCACCATCACACCATGTCACCTCCGCAACCCGTGGACGTTGCCTCCTTCGCCCGAACCCAGCTGGCCCTCCTTGAGCAGGAGCTCCAATCCGAGATCCAGGAAACCAGCTCCCTCATCTCCAACCACAGCCCTACCGCCCTCCAGCGCGCAGGCCTCGCCATCACCGGCCTGACGCTCTCCTCGCAGCGCACCGGTCTCGGCGGCAAGACCGTCCTGGACCTCAGCCCGGATGCCGCCACCTCCGCGACGGGGGACCTGCCCGAGCATGGGATCCGCACCGGCGACATTGTCCTCGTGGCCGAGCAGCCCGCCGGCAGCGCCAAGAAGAGAGAGGTCCAGGATCTCGAGAAGAAGGGCGCCCGCGGGGTCGTGACGCGCGTGCAAAAGACCGCCGTCGGCGTCGCCCTGGACGAGGGCAAGGAGGACGTCTCGTTCAGCGGCCGCGTGTGGATCGTCAAGTTGGCGGATGAGGTCACTTATAAGCGGTGAGGTACGACGGGGCCCCCATGCGCCGGAGCCGTGGCTGACCAGGTGTCAAGAATGAAGCTCATGATGGAGAAGCTGGAGAAGATGGGCGAGTCAGAGTACACCAGCTTCATCCGCGTTCTCTTCGGTCTGTCCAGTCCATCTCCCGTCTCCGCGGATGGGAAGACGGACCCCGATGTGACATGGCTGGACCCGACGCTCAACGAGTCGCAGAAGGATGCGATTCGGTTCGCCCTGGCCTCGCGCGAGGTAGCCTTGATCCATGGCCCTCCCGGTGTACGCACATCTTGCTCCCCTAACGAGACCAAGTGTCACTAACTCATGCAGACCGGCAAAACCCATACACTCATCGAGCTGATCCTTCAAATGGTCAAGCAGGGCCAGCGCATCCTGGTCTGCGGGCCCTCCAACATCTCCGTCGACAACATCGTCGAGCGACTCTCCCCCCACAAAGTCCCCATCCTCCGCCTCGGCCACCCAGCGCGACTGCTCCCAACGGTCCTGAACCACTCCCTGGACGTGCTCACCCAGACGTCCGAAGCCGGCGCCATCGTCAAGGACGTCCGCGCCGAGATGGACGCCAAGCAGGCCTCCATCAAAAAGACAAAGAGCGGCAAGGAGCGCAAGGCCATCTACGGCGACCTCAAAGAGCTTCGCAAGGAGTTCCGCGCCCGCGAGCGGAGCTGCGTGAGCAACCTCGTCAGCGGCAGCAAGGTCGTCCTCGCCACGCTGCACGGCGCCGGGGGCTCGCAGCTGCGGAACGCACAGTTTGACGTGGTCATCATTGACGAGGCAAGCCAGGCTCTCGAGGCCCAGTGCTGGGTACCCCTTCTCGCCGCCAAAAAGGTCGTCTGCGCCGGTGATCACCTCCAGCTCCCGCCGACCATTAAGTCCCTTAACTCGAAAGACAACAAGAGCAAGGCAAAGGTCTCGGTGCAAGGCATGACTTTGGAGACCACGCTATTTGACCGCCTGCTGGCCCTGCACGGCCCCACGATCAAACGCATGCTCACGACGCAGTACCGCATGCACGAGCGGATCATGCGGTTCCCCTCGGATGAGCTGTACGAGTCCAAACTCATGGCCGCCGACGCCGTCAAGGCGCGGCTCCTGCGTGATCTGGACTATGATGTACAGGATGGGGAGGACACCAATGAACCCCTGATCTTCATCGACACGCAGGGTGGTGATTTCCCCGAGCGGGCGGAGGAAGATGACCCGGAGAATCCCAGAAAAGGCAAAAGCGCACTGCACGGCGACAGCAAGAGCAATGATATGGAGGCGGCGCTGGTGCGGCAGCACGTCGCGGCGTTGACCTCGGCGGGTGTCCGAGCCGAGGACATTGCGGTGGTCACACCGTACAATGCCCAGGTATGTTGGAGCCAGTTGGTGAGACCAGGACAGGAATAACAGAGGGTGTGTGGTAGCTTGCTGTACTGGCACCCCTAAAGGAACGTTTCCCCGGCATCGAACTCGGCAGCGTGGACGGTTTCCAAGGCCGCGAGAAGGAGGCGGTCATTGTCAGCCTCGTCCGAAGCAACCCGGAGGGAGAGGTAGGGTTCCTCGGGGAAAAGAGACGTCTGAACGGTTGGTTGGCCCTCGTTGCCATCCCACGGCGATAGGAAGTTGACTGGTGTCTAGTTGCCATGACTCGGCCCAAACGATCACTGACGGTCATTGGGGATTCAGACACGGTGCAGAGGTGCGTTGGTACCTGAAGTCTATCATGACAGCAACAATTTATTGACTCGTATTAGGGGTAGTACGTTTTTGAAGAAGTGGATGGCGTTCCTGGAGGAGAACGCTGACCTAAGGTATCCGGACGTCACAACACTCGAGATGGGTGTGTGAGGGAGCGGCAGGCATGGACTGAGGCTAATTATATCGCACCGGTCTACGAAGGGCGACACTATGGCAGTTGCTGCCATGAGGATGACATTAGAAGTGTTTGGGCAGAGGATGAGCTTCTCATGCACACGGCCTGTTCTTAGCTTGCCGATGACAGCTAGATGGACGTGTACAGGGCAGCTTGACTGGTCACGTCTTCCAAATAGCCTCTAGACCTTTCTCCGTCAAGTCGTCGCGGAGGCGACGCCCATATGCCCCTCGGTACCTTGAGGACCACGACAACTCTGCCCAGCCCTGCGGCCGTGGTATTGCGTCAATGGACACATGGTGTGCTGGACGCTCTGGAATGAACCTGAATTAGGTCGCATCAATATAATCACTACTACTACAGTGGCGGTCATTGCAAAGTACTCGCTTCATTATTTCTCAGTGCCATCATCTACACCGCGCTGGGATATCAATGAGGGCAAGTGAACGCCTACGCTAGAATGACCCTGATATCTACAAAAACAGTTGGCAAGCAACAAAAAAGACGATCCCTCAAATCCATACCCAACCCTCCATGATCTCTCGTAAAGGCCGTGCCTCTGTAAGAGGCCACAGATGCATAGGTGCGATCACAGATCTGCCATCCTGCGATTTTCCTCGTCGGCCGACCGTGCTCACTCGTGCAGGATCATGAGGGCACTAGCCTGCATTCCCAATTGCTGCTGCCCTCGTCGATACGGCGAGGTCATTGCCGCTGGCCGCCACGAGCATGTCGAATTGCGCCTCCAGTCTCGCCACTTTCTCCTCGAGAGCTTGGCGAGCCCGTATCTCAGCTTCCAGCCGGTGCAGGAGACTAGCAGTAGTATGCTCCTCCGCCACTTTCTGCCTCGCGTCCTGCTGCGGGGCGGCCAGGCCATCACGGGCCGATGGGGTGTAGATGGCAGACTCGCGATCTGGCGCATCCGAAGACGATTTGGAGAACCAGGAGCTTAACGTAAGCCCGTGCCCGTTGGTGTTCTCGTGGTTCGTCCCAGGTGATATCAACGTATCTCGCCTGCTGTCAGATCCAGCCCCCTCTCGCTCGGATCTCAGTGTGTCCAACTCCTTCCGCATCTCCTCCACGTGCGTCTCCAGAGCCGTGATTCTGGGGTCGAAGCTGGCAAACTCCGTGATGCTGAGGCCCTGTGGCTTCTTCATTGCGTCCACATCAAAGTCAAACGGCTTCAAGGGCGAGTCGGGCACCGCGATCAGCACGTTGCCCTGCTCGTCCACCTCGACTTCCGCCCGCAACTCGGGCTTGGGCGGTGCGGACGACGCCAGCGACTTGACATCGGCATCTACGCTTCCTCGCCGGAACGAGAACCCTGCACTGAGGGGAGGCCCTTCGACGACATGGTCGCCTGACGTGCCCAACGCAGACAGGCTCCTGGAGCGCCGTTTCAGGCCATACGTTTCCTTTGTCGTGATCGCCCTGCCAATGTCGTCTGTGTTTGTGTTTTGGTACCAAGGGTCCTGTCCAAGTGCTTCTTTTTGCCGGAAGCCTCGGCCGTGCACGCTGGCTGGCCGGGGGGACAGTCCCAGTGGTTCATCTAGCTTTCCATAGCCTCCCACTGGTTTGCTGAAGACGTCCGTATACTTTCGGGAGAAGCTAAACTCCTGCCTGAGGGAGTGCCTAGCGCTGTCGGGGCGATCCTCGAGCCGTGGGCTGTGATGCGCCATGCTCTGCGGCAGTGACGCCGAGCGCTTGTGCTCCGTGTGCGGCCTCAGATCTGGAACTGGGCCCTCCTCTTTCTTCTGTGCAAAGATTAGCCGCGGTGAAGAAAAAAGGCAATGCCGCGCAAGCTGACCTCGGAATAATCCGGCGTGCGCATTGTGGAATGCGACTTGTGTCCACTCTCCGGTGTACGAACAATAGCCTGGCTGTGCGTCCGTTTCTTCTTCCGCAGGCCGAGCAATCTTCCTATGCTCCCCACCGTATGTCGGAACCCCGACTTCTTCTGCGGTGCTGGATCCTTGCTGCCCGCGTTCGAGGGCGTGTTCGGGCTAAATGTTGACGTCCTGGGTGCCGTTGCGGTCCCTGACCTGCTGGCATCTTGGTGCGAGCCATCATCGCCATTGCTGGCAGCGGGTGCGGTTGCGCCCTTGAAGTAATCTTGCTGTCGCTGAGACTGTGGTGAAGGTGTCTTTTGTCGCTTGGGGCCGTCATCACCGTCCGGGCCGTAGAAGTTATCAGGCTCGGGGGTCAGTGGCGTGCGGATGGGCGTGGGGTGAACGATTTCCGCCGTGCTCAGACTTCGCGCCTGGTACTGCTCGTGATAGTCGGGGTCCATTGGGCTTGGAATAGGGATCGGACCGGAGATACGACCACGTATCGAGCCTGACTTGACGCGTGCAGGGTTTTGCTTCCGGCGGCTGCCGCTGAGGTTGGCCTGAGGGTCAGCGTCCGCTGAGGGTGAGGGTTTCCAGTGGCGCTTCATGGCGTCTGAAGATTGAGGAGGGAAAAAAAGAAAGGCAAGCCTGGTGTGCTCAGCTCTTCGAGATCTTGGCGGCAGTCCTTGTGCTACGGTAATGATAGTGTGGTCAAAAGTGAGGCCTTGTGTTGATGGCCATGCCTGTTGTGCGGTGACGACAAGCAAGCAAGCAGTAAATAAGTGAATGAATGACGGCTGTTTGGTAAAATGAAGAAGAAAAAAAAAAAAGAGACGACGTGTCACTGCATCTCTCCAGTAAAGCGCGGCGAAGCCAGAAACGTGCGAAAGAAGGCGAGGCTGTCGCGCGTTCACACGTTGGCACGTTGTCGTCGGTCACTGCGATTCTTTCACGGAAAGAGATCGGCAGTATCCGTAAGGTATCGTCCAGTCAGTCCAGTCCAGTCCCTTGGGGCCACGGTGCCTTGCTCGAGCCAAGGGAAGGAAGCAGGGGAATGAGTGATCAGATCAGGGACAGGAAGCAAAAGGGAAGAAGCGAGGAAGAGGGAGAGGAGGGGAATGAGAGGTGAGAACGGCGTTCGACGGGGCCATATATCGATCAGTCGACACCCCCGGAATGCAAGTCCGCACGAGGAGGACAAGGATCATAATAATCGAGCGATGAACTATTTAGCTGTGCGCACAACTTGGAGATGCGCAAACGTGCGCACCCTCGGGTGATGATGCACCAGGCCGCCTAACCTGAAGCATACACTGCAGTCAGGATGTCTGTGAGATTCTGTGACAGGGACTGGAGACTGAGCTACCTACTTGACGCGCATCCGACGACGTCGGACAATACGGTGACCAATCCTTGACAGGGATGGCGGATGGCGCGGGCAGACAGCCACAGCCTACAGGATGTTGCGAGGTGGTCAAGGCGGACGAACAACCTCTGCTGGGAGCCTGGGACAAGACCTGGCCACATTCCGGCGAGCTCGAGCTTTGGTGGCGTACTATCGGTCACAAGTCTCGCATGAATACCATCAACCCGTCTTTGTCAAGTCAACCATCCCAGGGCCCAAACCGGGACGACACGATGATTGACGCGCGCCACGGACCACATGGCATTGGCATGTTTGAGGATGTTGACCGGGGTGCGGGCGGGACCCTGTCGCAGCTGCGCGCCTCATGTAAGGGGTCGCACGCTGCATGACACCGTGCCTGTATCGACAACGTTGCTACAAGTAATAGTGTGATTCCGACCTGGGGAGTGTGATGGTTCATGAGCTTCTCACGGAGTCTCAGCCTTCTCATTGGGCCCATGTGCCCTTAGCTACCCTACACACAAGAAAGTGGCTGCACTCCTCACACTCCCACAGGGCTGCGCCAGGCCTGAGCTTTGTTGCCATACATATATACCACAAACCGCATGACTTAAAACAAATCAGTTAGCCTGCCCGGCTAGCTCAATCGGTAGAGCGTGAGACTCTTACGCCTAATCAGCGGAGGTCCACATCATCTCAAGGTTGTGGGTTCGACCCCCACGTCGGGCTATTCCTATATTTTTTTTGCTTTTTGCTGTTCCAGGCACTCGGATCAGTAGTCTTTTTTGAAGCACGACTTGTCTGCGGTGAAGCCTCAAGCGTGTCTGAGGCGCCGCCCCTGTCCCTGTCAGCAAATCCTGAAACCAACGCTGCACGACATCGTCACCACCCGCGCATTGTGTATCCGAGAACGTCAACTCCGCCGACGAGGTCCGATCGGAGACTGTTCGGGGTGGTGATCGCCCCCGAGGCCCCTCCAGTGAAGCCGTCGAGAAGCAGAAGGCAATCTCACGAGAATTAACATAAACTATATAGAAACATGCAATCCATAGCCATGTCTATCATGCGTCCCTCACGCCAACGCTATGCTGATGCCTTGTATTGTTGGTACACTCCATGACAAACTCCAGCCGGGTACCCCCCAGCACCAATGCACACCGCCATCTATCCATTCTTGCGACTGACATCTTTGATCCCCCAGCTGCCCACCAGCGCCATCGAGTGCTCATCGCCCGCAGCCAGTCGGTCGTCCTGCAGCGTCTCGGCAAGACAGCGCCATGGGTCGCGGCCGCCGCCCCATTTCAGGAGATTCTCCTTGAGTCGCTCCCCGTTCTCTCGGTTCACCGCGCCTCCATGCTCACCCGCACCAAAGACAACACGCCACACGCGCTCCGCTAGCACACGGTCAAAGAGGTACGAGTAGTATGTGCTGCCGTACGAGTGCAGGTGCCCAAAGAAGCCCTGCCAGCATGTCTCGCGGGGCTCGCGCGGTCCGTGGGAGTAGCGCGCGTGTATGTCGTGGTAGACGGTGGTCGAGTTGAAGTCGGGCGCGGCCACTTGAGGGCCGTGATACGCCTGGTCAATCATGGCCAGGAGGATCTGGTGTTCCGTGTCGATGCCCTCGAACCGCTTGGCCAGGCGGATGCGCTCCGCAATGACATGGTACGGCAGCGGCTTGTCCGTCTTCCAATGACGAGCAAAGAGGTTTAGCACCGACGGGTCGGCGGCAAAGTGCTCCATGAGCGTCGAGGGAAGCTCGGCAAAGTCGGTCGCGCAACGTGTGCCCGAGACGTTCTGGAAAGAGGTGCGGGCCAAGATGGAGTGTATGGCGTGACCCATCTCGTGGAAGAGCGTCTCGACCGAGTAGAATGATAGGAGAGCGGGCTCCTTGGCGTTGTCGTTCTTGGGAAAATCGCAGACCAGGGCAATGGTGGGCAGCTGCTTCAACGTCCCGTCGGCTGACGACACCTCCATCCCATCATTGGCGGCCTGCTCAGGCGTATCGAACGAGGGGAGCCCTGCGGCGCCGATATCCTCGCTGGCCTCCTCGAGCTCGCTGGTGAGGATCTCGCGCGAACACCGCACCGTAAAATGCGCGGGGTTAGGAAACTTCTGAGGTCGGTAAAAGAGGTCGCAGTAGAGCACGGCAAGCTGCTCGCCCTTGTCCGATACGACATCGAGGCGCTTCACGTCAGAATGCCAGGTCTCTCCGGAGAGGGTTTCCCGTGGTATGAAACGGATGCCGTACAGGCGGTCAAAGAGTCGCGAGAGACCCTGCATGACAGTGCCAACGGAGAAGTATGCTGACAGATGGTCGTCCTGTCTGGCCCGCGACCGCATCTCGCCACGAATCTTCTCCATGTAAAAGTCTCTGTCCCATGCTTGCAGCGTAGAGTCGGGCGCAGCTAACTTCTCGCGCTTCTTGTCGGTCAGCTCCAACAGCTCGCGTTCGATGATGGACGAGTTGTTCTCCCGCAGGGCTAACAGAAATTGCATCACAGACGACGGAGACTTGGCCATCATCCGGTCTTTGAGGGCCATGTGGCCATGACTCTGGAATCCGGCCAGTGCTGCCAGCTCAGATCTCAGCTTGAGCAGCGACTCTAGTCGTCCAATTGTCTTCTTGGAAGCCTTGCGCTGGGCGAGGTAGAGCTCTTTCCGCGTCTCCTCGTCGTGTACGCTCTGCATCGCCGCTGCGGCCTCGGAGCTCATCGTCGGGATTGTGATTTGCGATCGCGACTTTAACGATGCCGCCAGACTTGGGTACAGGCCGTAGAACCTGTGGGAGGGAAGCGTCACCTCTCGCCTCTCGGGTGCCATGCCTCCCACAAACGCAGACCCAGTCTCACTGATGCGCGATGAGAGCTCGACGAAGCGGTCGCGTGACCTCTTGGGGAGGTTGACGGCCGATTTCATAAAGTCGAGCTTCAGCAGGTCGGCCACCGTCTTCTCTTCTTCTGACCAGGCATCCGTCACCTCTGGTCTGGAGAGAGCCTGCGAGAGCTGGTCACTCAGCCCAGTCATCGTGTTGAGCTCGTTCATGTACTGGTACACCATTGACCATGCGCCGGTTGCCGCGTCCTGGAATCGCGAGTCCGGGTGCGACATACGCACAAAATCTGACAAGTCCAGCACCCGGCATAGCAGGTCGCTCAATCTGTCCAGGTCCCTGACGATGCTCTGGTATTCGCGAACAGTCGATGCCTTTAGCACTCTTTGCACTATTCTCGTGGCTCTTTCGAGGTTCTTTTGCGCAAACAGCAGAAATCCGTCGGGACTAGTCAAGTACCGATTCTTGAAGAGACCATGGTTCTTCTTCAGACCGAGATCGGGAAACGAGCGACCGGCCGGCGCATCGAACAGGTTACGAAGAACGGCATCGTCGTGGTGGGTGCTGCTCGCGTGATCGACTGGTTGGCTTGCTTTGGCAGCAGTCGCTGCATGGGACGATTGCCATCGTTTGGGTTGCGATGCAAGGGTCTGATGGACACAGCGTGAGCAGACTCGAAAGCCGCGGCGACGGCCTGCTGCATTTATCATGGTCGAGATCTAGAGACGTTGCGGCGCATGGAGGGAGCCGAGGATATTGCCTGGTGGTCGAACGAGCGAAGCGTAGCGTGAACCAAGCGCCACACAGAATAAGGCGATCGTCGCGATGGCGTATATGTGCAGACAAGATGAATCAAAGGAGGAGAAAATAGCCAAGCGAATTACATGTGCCCTTCGTCCGTGGCAGGTACATGTAGGCCCAGATTTTCCATGTCGCCGCCCTCGGAGTTTTGCGGCATTGGAGGCTCAGAGGCTGTAGCGCGCCTTCCTCCCCTGAAGGCGACCCCGGAAACTGGCGCCCAGACTACTAGTCCCAAGCCCGATAAGGAAAGCCGATAACATCGGCTAAGCAGGTACGTACCTAAGACAGGCCCCGATCGGGATTGACCGCCGAGGATTCCCCGGCTGCGCAACGACTGAGAATATGATGCCGCCCTGACGCTTCACTTGAAGATCGTGCCAGAGCTCGACCCCAATTCGATACCACGCCAATTGCTCCCAGGATGGCTGCGAGAGTCTTGCTGCAGCGCGTAAGAGCCCCGTTTCCAGAAATGAAAGAGTCGGCAGCTGACTGAATCCGCAGCGCGCTTTGGCGACCATGGCCCTTGGTGGCATGGCCTTGACGCCTGCCACCGTCCTAGCCGAAGGACCCCAGGACCACAAGGTTCGTAACGAACTGTGTATCACGGGTTAGCTTCCGTGCTAATTCTTTTGTAGAAAAAGTCCATCTACGACGACCTCGATCTGCCTTCGGCTAATCCCGCACCTCTGTCTCCTCCAGTCACCCAGCCTTCGGCACCTATTCCTACACCTATCGATGCGGACCAGCCTAGGCCTCATGGCCCAACACCTACGGACCGTCTCGCCGTCCAGATTGGACACGCACGCCTTGCTCTGTACCGTGCCGTCGCCGCGACCGAAGCCAAGCTCAACGAGACCATGGACTCTGCCTTCGACCTCGAGCAATCCTTCACAAGCACGCTAGCCTCTCTGGCGCCGGGTCGCGAGACCGGCGAGAAGCTGATGCCCGGGGCCATCTACGTCCTCGTGGCGGCCATGGCCGGCAGCATCGTCACACGAAACCGCAACATTGTGCTGCGAGCAACCGTCCCCTTGGCAATGGGCGTTGGGGCGGGATGGACGGTGCTGCCAGTGACGATGCGCAACGTGGCGGATCTCACGTGGAAGTACGAGCAAAAGGTCCCGGCCGTGGCCGACGCGCACCTGCGCGCGCGCGAGATCCTGCAAAAGTCGGGCAGCTTCGCCAAGGTGCACAAGGACCTGGGCGCACGGTACGTCGACGAGAAGGTCACCGATGCACGAGAAATAGTCGAGGGCTGGGTCAAGCAAGGGAAATAGCGGGCGTACAAAATGGCACTGTACCATCACATAGATTCCTAGACATGTTCTTTTGTATTGACATCTGAGCGACCGCTACCGTACGATTGACGACTGGGCCTGAGCATGAAAGTCTCAGATCGTTCCAAAATCTCATGATATTGACTCTCTATGTGTCTATGTATTGGGGAGGGTATGCTCCCCATGTATAAGTAATCAGGTGCGATGGAATCGCACAGCCATGCTCCGAATAAATCCCCAAAAACTCCACTGCGATATCATCATGATGTTGAGGTAAAGTCGGCTCACGAAGCAAGTGCCACGGGGGCAGTCTCAGTCTGTTTCGAGGTCGAGGCGCCACGAGCAGAGAGTGGCTCGCGCTGGGAGTTGCGGCTCATGTCGCCGCCAGCTGCCCGTCCACTTGGGTTCTCGTTGGCACGCTTCTTGTTGATCTGCGCCTCCTTGAACTCCTTTTGCTTCTGCTTCTTCTTTTGTTGTGGCTGAGGTTGGCAAATAGCGATCTTGTCCACTTCCTTGGCCTGCTCCACGAGGTGGTCGAACCCGAAAGCCTCGCATAGCGCTTGGTAGCTCTTGGCCGAATGCATTTTCTGGTACGCAGGGTCTTTGCCGACGACCATCTGCGTGAGTAGAAACTTGGTGTTTGCAAAGCGGTTGTCCACCTCCATGCAGATTCTTAGATAGTCCTCAACGACCTCTTTCCAGGGAAGCAGCCCGCCCTCGGCCTGGGTTCGAAAGCAGCTGGGATTTTTCTCCGCCGCTGTGGCGATCATGGCGCCATCCGCCCCGAATTCAGCGGCAAGCTGGATACCCTGATCTTTGTTCGCCACGTCGCCATTCATCAAGCACGCCACGCCGGCCTCGTGGCACACATCAGCGACCATGCGCAGCTGTCCTCGAATCGCCCTCTCTCGCGGCCGCATAGGTGTAGTGCGACAGTGCACGGTCAGACCGGTGATGCCCGTCGCACACAGTTGCCTGACCAGCGCTTCCGTCTGCGCTGCAGTATCCAGTATCCTAATTTTGACGCTGATGCTGATGTCGTGCTTGGAGCCGACGTTCTCGACGAGAGCTCTCAATATCGAACAGAGCTTGTCCGGAGTCTGTAACAGCGCAGCTCCCATGCCTCCCTTGGTTGAGAAGGGCTTGGGACAGCCGGCGTTCACTCCGATCTCGTTCACGTCTGCCGCCACGAGTTGCGCCGCTTTCACCGCGAGCTCTGGATCGGCAGTGCCCACCTGGAACACCATCTTCCCTGCTTCCTTTTCCGATGTGCGAAAGATGATGCGCTCCCCTGGGTGGCTTTGGTTCTCAGCGTTTGCATTGTGAACCCACTCGACGATTTTAGACTTTTCCACGACGCGCCGGGTGGCGCCAATGATTGCTCTGTCAACGACTTCGGGGCCTGTGGCGATTGTCAATATCCAAGAAACGTCTGACGGAGTCTACCAGAGTGCTCACCCCAGACCAAGTCTGCCCCGTACTTCAGCGAGAGCAGTCGCGTAGGCAGTTCACCCGAGCGCACCATGGGCGCAAGGACGACTTTGCCGCCTCGATAGTCGACTCCCCGGCTGGGGATGGGAACCTTCTTTAACTCGGCAGCCATTGCTCTCCTAGCGATACCTTGAAGCATGCCGAGACAGGCAAATGTTACATGTTCTCGTCGACCGTCGTTCGATGTGTTGTAGGATTCGAAGTGACTGTCCAAGGTGTGAATTCCGAGTTCACGTCGAGAAGTTTGGGGCCGCTTGTGCTTATCGATAAGCCGGGTGTCTGATGGTGGGGTTGACGGCTGCGCGTGATAAACATCGACTCATCGGCATGGACCTCGAGCTTGAAGCGAGTTCGCACAGGCTGCCAAGCTCGTGTGATGTCCAAAGTAGCACGCATGCGACGGCTCGAGACTGTGTTCTGTTTGCGAGAATTTGCCTCGTCCGCGGTATCTGCGCAGACCTCATTCCGCATCGCGAGCAAAGTCGAATATATCGAGGTCTCCAACTGCCACCTTCATGTCACTTTGAAGGCTGCGATCTAGGGTCACTGCCAATCTGTCCTCATTAATATCACATACACGTCCGTACGCTTTTCGGCAACATGGGGAATCTTGTATCCCCCTTTAGAGCAATGTCTTTGGGCCAGGTTCCAGTTGTAGGCGAAGGGTGGCCCAAGGCCTCTTCTCGTGAAACATATGTCGGTGCTGGCCAAGCTGACAGCGTCCTCGCCTGCTCACACAGAAGAGCGTTGGCCTCACCTTCTCGCCGAGTTTGCGTGCGTACGTATACGTACGTACTATAATAGTGATGAGCACGTAACCTCGTTCACAACGCTCGTGTCGCGGGCCTTGCACCCAAAAATAGTGCCAAGTACCTTGGTCGGTTGGCCCACGGGTTAGGCCGATGGAGGGGGGCTACAGTCACAGACTCACAGTCACGGCGCCCAAACAAAGGGCGCTTCTTTCCCTGAAACTGACGGCTTAAGGCCAATGACGGCACTGCTGGGTGCGCCATCGTCGTCGTTTCGCGCTATGTTGGACGGTTCGAAGCCAGAAACCATGAAAGGGTCCATCACACGGCGCTAAGCGCCTGGAGGCTGGAGCTACGCTGTGCAAACCCCCTGCGGTTAAAAGCCAAGTGGAGCTCCATTCGTCTCGGATACTTTGCTTTACTCGCACTCTTCAAGGGTCTCAAAGCACTGGGCGCGCTCGTTGTGAGTCTGCAATTGCATCCCTCGCTCATAAAAAGGATTTGCAAGCTTCGGAAACCCTTTCAGGGGCATACAAAAAGTATTGCCAATTGGGACAGTCTGATGAAACTAGTTCAACGACACTAATACAAGCGTTGCTGTGCTGATGAAGCTGCCATACGTAGTACGCTAATATTAAGTACTAATAACAGTGGTATGGAGTAGGTACTTTGTGGCTTGGCTCTTTCCCTCGATACCGAGTTGATAGTCTATTACTTCCGAGTCGCCCTGACATAGCGGCTACTGCTCCCAGTGCTGCAACATTAGCTCTGCACGGCACTTCCACTCCCTTCTCGAGACTTTCTGGGACGTGTTGTCTTGCCTGGGGCCCAACGTCGATCAGAGCGCTGGCTGCAGAAAAGCGCTCTTGTCCAACACCAGCGAGTCTGACAGCTGCGGTCCACCTCCCCGCTGTGAGGAGTCAGGACAGGCATTGATCGCACCTGCTGCACCACCCCTCGGATTCCTGCCCTTTCCTCAGGTTGGCCCGGTCTGCTCCCTCTCAGCACAGGGCTGGCTTGGCTGGTTCCCTCTCCGAATCTGGCCAAGACTTCTCACCCAAGTGCCTCGCAAGTAGCGCCTGCCTACAGTCCCTTGATCCTACACATCACGCGAGCTTGACTTCGCGCAGTGCCTCCAGTCAACAACTCGCGGGTGCTTGCCGGACTTTCAGCTGCTGAGACACGCTGCCCGCCTGCATCACCCTCATCAATTAAACACCAGTCGCCAACCCCACTAACGACATCATCGCAATACGACTCTTATCAACGGCGCCCCCGACCCTGGGCTTAGCTTCAGCACCTGTGGATTTTGACGCGAAACGTCCCCCGATGAGTTCTTGAGCACGCGACAAGCTCACGGAAGCTGCACTGAGCTCACGGGTACCATATTGGATATTCTGGTCCATTGTTTCCCTACTTCTCGGTGCGCAAGCACATCAATCGTCCATGAGGGGTCAGAGCTGTAAGCGGTGACACGATGGACAACGAGCTCTACGCCAGTGAGGGACGCTCGTCTAGGAGAGATCGTCTCATGGGCAAGTTGTTCAAGGGCAAGGAGAGGAAAGCGCAGGAGCAGAACGAATCACGAGCGTCCTTGGATGCCTTCCTTCACAACTCTGCTGACAATCTCACGGTCACACATGCACCGCCACCACCACCACCACCGACGTCGATACCGAAGCTTTCCAAGCTGGACACAACTGTCTCGCGCTTTCCGCAAGCCCTTGGAGTCAACCAGCAGGCTCAACAAAACCGACCGCTGGCGCTCAGCCGCCCGGACATCAACACCCCGCGGCCAAGCCCACGACCCAATAAGAAAGGGCTCCTCGTGCGATTTGCTGATACATACCCCGAGGTCATTGGCGAAGGCGGCGACGAGACAGACGTTCCCACTGTGGAAATCTCAAAACGAAAGAAGTCAAGGCCGGCAAAGGCTTCGGCGGCCCCGACACCTCCCCCTCATCGATCTCCCTTACCGTCGCCTGGCCCAGAACCTGTGCGCGCTCCCGCACCGGTCGCGCGATCTGCACCTTCTGGACCACCCGACGACTTCCAGCCAAAACCGCTCGCCCGAACGCAGACGGGGTATTCGTCAATTTATACGCCGGAGGCGGACGAGAGCGCTCGAACACATGAGCAGCCGCCACCGATACCACTACCGCGTGTACAACAACCTGTTGAAGCGGATCAGCAAAACATCGGCGGGTCGCCGCCCGCCAATACACTCCGCCCTGGGCGCGCCAATTCAGCAAGATACCTGGACACGACTGGCCGGAATGATGAGGCTAGAAGATCCTTCATCGAGGTGCAGAGAGCCCACATGCGTCAAGACGAGGGTCAGGCCTTAGCACGGGCTTCTAGAACGGTCAGCGCGGCTGACCAAGATTGGGAGGACTCGGACAAGCTCCCTCCTAGCTCGGTCAACAGCTCCCCAGAACAAAGCAGGCAACAGCTGGCCTCTTCCGAGGCTGACCCTTCAAACCCCTCCATATCGTACAGCCCTGCCGCCTCCATTTACTCGAGCGAGTCGGACTCTGGCAATGCTTATCAACGTATGGAGCCTAACAGGCAGGCCTCAGTTCTGTCACAGCACGCGCCTCCTAGACTGAGCTCCAGAGAACCGAGCGCTGTCTCACAGAATGAGTTGCCGCAGCTACGAACACCACTCAGGCAGGCATCCTTCAAGCTGCACGATGTAGTGGTTGCGGCCACGGATGATGCCCTGCAGACGTTTGTGGCACGCACGAAGCATCTTTTTGAATTGTTTCGTTTACATGCAGAAACCGTCAAGCCTTTGTCGAACAGCACACTGAAGGACTGTGCTCGGGCAGGCGTTTGGTGGTTCCTGAAGGGTAGGATGGGCCTTGAGGCATCGATACGCGAGAAGACAACGACACCGCAGCATCAGATGCAGAACGAAATTGATCGCCAGCAAGCATACACCAACCTAGCAAAGGGCTACTGGCTTTGCGCCGAGACCGTGCCTGAAGTCGCCAAAGTTCAGGGAACATCGCCTGATGACGAGGTTGCTGAGGTCACAGAGGCTCTCGTGTCAGCACTCAAGAAATTGTCCATGTCGATGAAGAGAAACGGACTGCTACCGCCCGAGGAGGCGTTCTTGCCCCAGACGATTGACAAGTCAATCTGGGTTGAATATCCGCCTCTGAGCCAGGACCTGGTGGCGCTACTGTCGGGCAATTGGGGCTCGGGGTTGTCAGCGATGCAGCATCCGTTGTCGACATTGCATCTCCTTGATGCGTTCCCTGTCAGTGACAGTGCCGACAATTTCAGCTATGGGAGGGTAGCAGCGGATGTCTATCTCATGGAGCAAGGCAGAGAGTCACAAAGACTCCATTTGCCATCCATGGTATCCATGGTCCGCCCGAAAAAACATACTGGCTTGGTTTTTGTTCTGGCGAACCAGAACGGCACCCTGCAGCTGGCGATTCAGGAAAACAAGAACGCTGGCCCGGTCTGGGACGATATCCGTTGGCGAAGCGATACTTGTGCGCTCGATATCAAATTGCCGCGGGGGTTCATGTTGGTTGTTCAATTGACGCAGCACGACTTCCGATCATTGTGGAACATGTATGACTTTGGCGCAAAGGTCAAGGCAACACTGTACCCTAAATCAGACGAGGTGATTGTCTTCCGGAACACGCTGAAATCGTTCCAGTACGTCGACGCGGATCCGAACTCGAGAATCTTCCCAAAGGAGGCTGTTCCTCACTGCGAAGTCGCGCTTTTCGAGAGGATCTTCAAGGAGAGCGGGCCCCAGGGCATTCGCAACTGGCATCGCGGCTTCAGGGTTGCCGTTGTCACCGGGACTCAGACCAGGACTCTGAGCGGAGTACAGCACAACTATCCCCCGAGCATGCCTGTTCAATTTGGTTTTTTTCGGGTGGAGGGCGAGGCCCCAGCGCTCTCGCTCCGCTTCGAGAACGGAAGACAACGGGGGCGGATGAATCTGACTTTCAACGAAGACAAGGAAAGGATCAAGTTTCACTCGCTGCTCACAGGCACTGCACTGGACCACGACGAGCAGATCTACGCGGATGTTGCACTCAAGGCAGTGACCTTGTCTCAGAGCTTGCGCGAACCTCTGGGCATGTCGCCATTCAGCCGTATGCCTTGGAAGGCCGCTAAAATTGTCAATGAGGAGATGGGTCCATCCGGGGAGCAACCACCTACCGTGTTGGCCGATAAGCTGAAGATGATACTGGAATATCAGAACGGCACAATAGCGGACAGGATCAACATTGGGCCTGGAGAGCTTCGCCTTCGTCTCGAGGTGACGAATGCAAAGATGCTCCGAATCATGCGTCAGCCACAAGCAGACATGACCATGGCCGTTTCTGAGGCGCAGGTACCTAAAGAACTGCCTAGGAACTTTGCCGATGCTTTGCAGTTGGTCAAGATGAACCCGACGATCCGTACACTTGAATTTGGAAGTTTAAAGGATCTCCACAGCTTCCAAGCTGCGTTGACAGGGTATGAAGTGGTATTCGACGCCCTCGCCGCGACCTTTGCCATTGCCCGTCGTCGCATGGTTGTGCCCATACACAAGAAGTGGGAGGCTAGCTACACGAGGATACAACTTGTGAAGCAAGACGACAAGCTTCAGTTGCTTGCTTTCTTTGAGGAATTCCACCACGGACATTGCATGGGTTTCGTTCTCAAGGGGACAGATGTGTACGAGACATTCAACCGAAGCAACAAATCAGGGCTGCGGTTTATTGACGCAAAGTTCCCTCTGCCACGGCTTCCAGTCGACAAGGATGGCGACTACGATGACATGGCGTTTGTGTCGCTGGATCTACCAGACCTACCAGGAGAGCACGACGACATCTCAATCACGTTTGAGAACGAGACTGGTGAGTTTGCGTACTTGCACAAGCGCTCGAGCCAGGTTTACTGACATGTCTTATAGATCGCGACAATTTAGTGCAATGTCTACCAGCGCCCGTGAAAGGGTCGACGAGGATGTCATCACGCTTGAAGTAGTTGGGTCAACACAGGTCATATGACGTCCAGTGGAGTTTGAGCGATGAGCGCGGCAGTTGCATTTAGAGCATCAACAAGAGCATCCAAGCCCACGCCTGAATAGCGAAGGGTGGGCAAGGCGTTGACGAGGCGCATTTGGAATATTTGAGCGCGCAAAGCACCCTTTTTAAGAATGGCCAAAAGATGGCATGATGAATCAATGTAGACGGCATTTCCAGCTGTCGCTGTCTGAATACCACCTATTTTGTCCAACTGCCTGCTGCGGAACTGATGCAGAGAAGTCGCTGGTCAAGGTTGGCCCATCTAAGAAGATAATCTTGGAAGTTGGAGATCTGGATTCCGTCAATGACCGGGCTGATAATCCTTGTTCTGGCTGGCCAAAGACTCGGAGCTGGTGCAAAACGCGCGTGCCATGTGTGAAGTCGCCTTCTGCGTGCTCACTCGGATTTTCAACAGCTTCAAACCCTGGCCTGGACCACAGGTTGGCCCCGCCGCACCGTCCTTTGACCTTTGTACGGCTGGGTGTGTGACTGACTGACTTAATAACGTTAGGTAAGGTAGATTCGTCGGCCCCGATCTGCCTGGCCCATCGAATTACCTCCGTTGCCGGCAGCACGACGTCAACCCTGTGGTCCCGACATTGACTCTCGGATTAAGGTACCTCGCCTTTCCCGTCCTTGCTGACCCCCCCATGACGTGGATGCGTCGTTTGCTAATCCCATCCCGGCTTCGATTTTTATTTTGTTTACTGCCTGTAATCTTCGAACCATCTGCTGTCTCTGCGATATCTGGCTCCAGCAAGCTTTCCATTCTCTTCCCATCCACGCCGTCTCTCCTCGCGCTCACGAGGTTTCTCCCAACACTCTGGGCTCCTGACCCAGCGACGCGACAACGTCAGAGAATATCATCCGCGACGCAAACCGTAGTTCGGGACAAGCAGCCACCATGGTGCATGTACCGGGTATACGCAGTAGGACGTCCAGCATCAGTCGAAGTGAGTTCCTCTGTCCTTTCCTTCACCATCTACGTTGCCTTGTGCTGGTCTGCCTGGGGTGTGGTCTGCCCAAGGGGACTGGGAGGGACATATCGACTGGAGCGATTCTCGAGGCGTATTTTGCCGTCGTCAACAACTCCAACGCCATCGTCATCCTATGGTGGCCCCCCACCACATCGACATGGCCAAGCTTCGTGCTAGCCGTGCAAATGCCGCCCCTGGGTCTCTTCCTCCTGCAAGACTTGGTACAAGCCCATCCCCTGACGCCATTCCCGTCGTCTCCCTTTCTCAAAGCATTCATTCCTGTTGCAAGGCTCCAAGCGTTGTGCGGCTTCTCCGGACAGTCTTGCCTTCCCCCCACCTGATCGGCTGCAGTGCCAAGGCCCCTGCTCCCCTCTGCCCCACCTCCAGTCGCAGCGGCCAGGCATCGCTTGCTTCTTGCGACTCGCCGTCCGTGTGCGTGTTCGCAGTCCCAGTCTCGACTGTTTGCGCATCACCTTCGTTTCTTGTTCTTCCTCCACTGTATACTTAATCATGTCGAACATGTTGTCTAACTGGTGGTATCCGCCTGCGTCTGAAGGCAACCGATCTTCCCTTGACGAATCCCGGGTCGATACCGATGAAGATACCACAATTGTCGAACCTGACCAGGGCAATGGTAAGTGGCCAACGTCTGTACCGGCGCGGTTGCTGACCTCTGACCAGTTCTCTCTCACATTATATCCCAGCTTCGGCCCGGCGCCGATCTGAGTCGCATTGTCCTGCCCACCTTTATTCTCGAACCGCGAAGTATGCTCGAGCGCATCACCAAGTTCGCCTCCCGACGAGCCGTAACAGTATTATATAACTAACCTTCAAACACAGCTTCATGTGCCATCCCGAGATGCTCCTACACATTCCTTCGATCGACGACCCCACCGAGCGATTCGTTGCCGTAGTCAAGTTTTACTTGAGCGGTTGGCACATCCGACCCCCGTCCGTATCCCTACACGCTTGCACGCAGACACCATCTCTGACTTTGACTACAGGGGCGTGAAGAAGCCCTTGAATCCAATCTTGGGCGAGGTCTTCTCCTGCTACTGGGATCTTGAGGAGGGGAAATCTAGGGCATACTACATTTCCGAGCAAACGTCGCATCACCCGCCCAAGTCCAGTTACTTCTACATGGTACCAGACCACCACATCCGAATCGATGGAACATTGAAACCTCGAAGCAAGTTCCTGGGGAACTCAGCAGCCAGTCTCATGGAGGGTATCGCCTACTTGAGCCTGTTAAACCGAGGCAAGGACAAGACGAAGGGGGAGCAATAGTGAGCGACTTCCGTTGGAGCGTTTGGTACAGTCACTCACAATATCGCAGTGTGATCACACAGCCCAACATGTACGCGCGCGGCATCATGTTTGGAAAAATGAAGTACGAGCTCGGCGACCATAGCTTCGTTCGCTGCCCAGAACTAGACCTCACGGCCGACCTAGAATTCAAGGTCAAGGGCTGGGTCGGTGGCACTTACAACGCCATTGGTGGTGCTATCAAAAGGGAGAGCACAGGCGAGGTTCTCTACGAGCTCTCCGGTTTGTGGAGTGATGAGATGTTCATTCGCGACGTGACGGTAAGCACCCTTTCCCCCTTATTTGAGCTGTTGCAGAGACTCACGACTGGTAGACTGGCCATCGCGAGATGTTCTTCAACGCGACCAAATCCAAGCCAAGCCCACCCAAAGTCCGACCTATCCGTGAACAAGCTGATCGCGAATCCCAACGATTGTGGGAAAAGACGGCCAACGCGGTCAGGGAGCGCAACCATGAGGTTGCGACAGATGAGAAGACGAAGATTGAGGATCGCCAGCGTGAAGAAGCGGCCAAGAGGTCTCGCGAGGGTATCCAATGGCATCCGCGCTTGTTCCGCGCTGTCAAGGGTGCCCATGGCCAGCCTGAGGAAGGCATGAGTGATCTAGAATGGATCATTGATGCGACTGTGTGAGTTTCTCGATGGGTCTTCATAGTCGCAAAGCTGACGCGTAGATAGTGACCACACAGCGACCTCGGACCAGCAGGCTGAGCAGATCAAGGCCATCTATCCGATTGTGGATGGTCAGCAGGCCAACTTGGACTTTCTCGACGGAAACCCGTCCAGGTCAACCATGGTTGAGCCCAAGCCGCCTTCCGATGAAGGAACGGAAACAGACAGTGGCAGAGACGCACCCAACGAGGAATTGGTAGAGACTGGCCACGGCGACACGACTCCGACGACAGCGGAGCCAGCTTCGTTGCCCGCGCAAACGCCAGATGAAATCGATAAGATGCTGTCATCGACGGGCAAGAAGCCTGAGGGTCCTTTGATCGACTTTACAGAGGAAATGAAGGCGGATCTCCCGGCCACTCAGAGTAACGGCCAAGCACCACAATAAAGCAGCCTCACTCGAGTGGAATTAGCTATATGGCGTGGCAAGACATATGGAGAAGACAGAATCTGTTGTATATACCCGCACGAAGACATCACGTTAATGGGCATGTCTGTGCATTTGAGCACGAGCAAGGCCCTCATGTCATTGGATGATATGCAGTCTACCTCTTCATTGAGGCTATGAATCCCTGAAGACCAGAACGCCTGACCGTTAAAGTAACAACACGTAAATCCCCAAGTTTTGTTCCAAACAGACGATTCAACCACACTCTAATACCGTCTCCTCGTGGGCTCAGGAGTAGGCGACCTGCTAACACTCCTCTCGTCCCGTCCCCTCATCTTCAGCCACTTCTTCGTCGAGTTCGTCAGCTCGCGATCCAGCTCCTCGCTAGGGTTCTTGCGGTGGATGAAATTGCAGAATCCACCACGGACACAGCCCTCGCCGCTGTTCAGGCGGCAGCACGCCTCACGGAAATCGGTCACCGGGCTGAGCTCGCAGTATATCGGGCGCGCGGCGTACCAGCGCGAGTTGAGCTCGTCGCAGGCTTTCTGGGCGGACTCTTCGTACTTGAAGCGGGCGTACACATTTCCGATCAGATCTGGATTGCTTGTTAGTATCTCTGCTCACGCGTGGACTGTGGGAATCCGATTGGATTGGGGGGATGACTTACGATCATTGTTGTTGTCGCACACGACCAATTCTTCCAACTCGCCGTACTTGCACAGCTCGCACCATATATCCTCGTAGAACGCATCAAAGTGGTTCTGCAGCTGCGACGGGTTCATGCGACTCTTGTTGTCGTACGCTGGGTTCTGGTACAGGTTCGGCATGAGGATGGTCTGCGAGTAGGACGGCTTGACATGTTTTCTCGAGCAGCGATCGCCGTGGCGGCAGGCACCGATCTTGAAGTAGAAAGAGCAGTTGACCTTGTCAAGCTCGGTGCCAAAAATGGAGGCAAGGAATGAGGCCATGATTGCGCTTGTTGCCTGCTTGTCGACAGTATAATGAGGCTGATGATGTCGTGGGAAGGAAACGGTGCTGTCGGGATTCGATGCGCGACCGATTGAAGTTCGTGATGGACGTGTGGCGTTCGTTTGATAAATTGTGGGTATTGATGCTTCTTAGTGTGGCGTTTTGTCAGCCTCGTCATTAGTCATCAGAAAGTTGATTGACTTTTGACACATTATCTTCCGCTTAGTTCCCCCACATTCGACTACAGTTCAGGTTGGAGGGAACGTCCACAGGCTAGGATTACTTGCTATATTTGAAGCAAAGCTACATGTACCTCTTACTAGACGCACAGCACCTGATCAGAGCAGGCGGAGTCTTGGCATAGATCAAGTCGTCCTGCTGCTTAGGGTAACCGTCCCCTGCTTTCGCCAATGTCTGCAATACCGGGTAATAGACTAATAGTTGTAGAGGGATGGTGCATCCACCATGAAAGACCAACTGTCTGTGGTTATAACTTATAAGTTATAAGCAATTGCATTAAACGTCTATTGTATGCTTATACGAGCTGAGTGGAACCAACAGGCTGCTCACTAGCCACAAGGACCCCGGCCGGTAGGCTGGTGGGCCTGTAATTAACCCCTGATGCGAGTGCTGTGCACCACGATAGGTACAAGGGTCCAACGCGACAAACCTTCAACATCCCCTACCGGCTTCCTTTGCGCGCAGCCCACTTTCCCAGACGATCTGGGGCTTCGCATTTGACTTGTCGAGTTACAACAACGTCGAGTGAAAACAACGGCAGCAACAGCACTCAGCAATGATACGATCTACTACACACACGCTGTGACCTACAATAGCCACCGGCAGCTCGAGCGACTGCTTCTCGACAATGGATCAAGGAGATATCCCCGCGCTGCTGTCGCGCATGGCGAGCGACGAAGATGCGTCGCGCAAAATGGCAGTCTTCAAATTACAGAGCTCTATCAACGACCCATCCTTTGCCGACGTGTTCATTTCCTCGGGCGGGCTGATGGTTCTGCGACGCCTGATCATGACCTCCAGCGGCAACACACTGGCCTACTCGCTACAGAGCTTGACACGCTTGCTTGAGGTCGACATGGGGTGGGATATCTTTGAAGGGCCGACCGCGAGCGACCTTGTCGAACGAATCGTCGAATTGATCGTCAAGAATCCACTGGTCAACATCCTCAGGGGAGCAATGTCCATACTGGTGTCGCTAGTGGGCCATTCACAATCCCATACCGAGTCGAGTAGAACACCCGGCACCTTTGGATTCCGCGCACTCAAACCAGCGGTAGCAGTGCACCCTCAGTTTCTGGAATTGGTCATCCAGCAACTACAAAGTGCAGATCATGCGCTGTGCGCGAGCGCCCTCATGTTAATCAACGCGCTAATACGAGATGCGCTGTCAGGCGAGGTGTCTGCGAACAAGATTTCACCCACTACGGCAGATGGCGAGGATTGGTCCCTCATGATCAAGAAGTTGCATGATCTGGGTCTGATCAAGGCCGTGTACAATCTCATGCGGAGCTCGACACTACAAGACCTTGCACACCCCATGCTGGAATTCCAGTCGCTGACGAAAGTGCTCCTACGGAAATGGCGTCAAGTCCACGTGGACGTTGAGCGAACAGAACATAGACGGGCGCTGAAAAGCCTGCATCTCGCGAGCAACCCAGACCGAGGCCATGTCAATGGCCATTCGAGGGATGGCTCAAGTGAGCGAACTGGGAAGAGCAGCAAGCGACACAACCCGGAGAAATGGAGGCGGCTTGGTTTCGAGTCAGAGTCGCCCGCTGCAGAATTTGGTGATGCTGGCTACCTAGGATTGATGGATTTGACAGACTACGTACGAAGGCACGAAGATGGGTTCCAAAAGCTTCTCCTCGAGCAAGCTTCGACACCGCTGCGGGACCGACTACCCGTAGCGCAAGCCAGTCTTGCTGTTACAATGATTCTTTATGAGCACTTCGGGGTGGACAAGACAGACTTGGAGGAGACGCGGGGCTACCGCGGCATTGACATGACGGACCATGAGATTCTCTTCCGACCGCTACTTCTTCAGTGGTCTCGTCTCCATGCCTCCGGGCTTCACGGGTTTTTCCGCGTGTGGAAAGCCACCGACGCCAAGTACGGCGACTTTGACAAGGTTGCTGAGCTGGTGCGTATCTTGATCGAACAGGTTGTGGGGCAGGCGACGCGGACAAAGGACTTGCTGGAAGTTGAGGACGACCTGCAAGAGTACGACGTACCGAGACTTCGTGAGCTGCAGATGAGTCTACTGAAGCTGTCATTCGAGGAGAAGTGGGGTCAGCACCTGATACAGGTTCGTGAGGAGTTGAGGCAGGAGGCTTTGCACTTTGTGAAAGAACAGCGAGTGCGATGTCTTCTCGAAGGGTCTTGGTTCGAGCGGCCGGCCGCTCAGAACTCGACGGGTCTGCCATGGCGATACGCCAAGCTATCGCACAACAAGCGGTACCTGCACTACGCCGACTTCCACCAGCAAACAGCACAAGACCCTGTGCTTGGCACACTACCTGAGAGGGTGGCACTCAACGCGATCAGTTCCGTCGTCTCAAATGTGTCGGCCAGCGATGATGTTAGGAGCATCACGAGCGGTTCGACACTCAAGCTACAGCATGCAGCAAAGTCGACGACCAAGATCACGATAAACACGGAAGTGGGTGGCAAGGAGCAGGCCATGCTTACTCTATGGCCAACGAGCCACAGTCTTGCTTCGGAGTGGCTCGATGGGTTGTTGATGTTGCTTGGGCAGGCCCCAATCACCGCAGAGACGAACAAGCTGATTAGCCTGGTGAGTGACTATGGCCTCAAGATCAGGCTCCTCAATGTCAGGATGGACGCGGCATTCGAAGGGCCACCGCCAGGGGCAGGTGTGGTGCCCAGTCGGAAGGACCTGGATGAGGACTATTTCTTTGAGGTGTAGGCGAGCGGATGAGCCAGCGTTTGGGAAGCGCGGTAGGGCAGTGGAGGAATTTTTACGTTTTCATGTCCGTATTTGCTGTTTGCAACGTTATATACCCTCTATGCGCGCAGGTAGTCTAGGTAATGCAATGGATGTGGCTACTATGAGCCAATTCCAAGTCTACGACGTTATTCTTGGACCAAGCAGTGCGAGACGGCATGTCGCTACCTGCCAATGGCTTTGCGGGGGGCAAGCGTGGGAAGAGATGATCTCTCTGGGCCTTCTGTCATAACCTCAACTTGATTATGTCGAAGAGACGCTACACACTTGGATTATGTGAGGGACTGTAGGGTAGCTTCACTTAGCACCTCGTCGAGGGTTCAGTCACCTGCTGGGGGTCCCGATCCACGCGAGGCCACACAAGCCCAACTTCTGGCATCCATGGGCATGAGAAGCCAGTCAATGCCAAGAAAAAGAATAGCAAGTCGGCTTGACTAGTGTGGCTACCCGTACAGCGTGGCTACTGAGGGGAAAAGACCAACAAGGATAGGCAGTTAACCTCGGGCACGCGATCGCCTCACTGTTTGGGTAGCAATACGTACAAGTACTTCACCCCTCGACGACGGCATGGTTAGTTACCCTATGTTCCGTAGGAGCAGCATAGCGATTCATCTCAGACAAGACTAGGCACTCGCTGCCACCGAGACAAAGAATTCCAGACGATGACTTGGCCAACCCTGATTGCGTTCCCCTTTGCATGCATAAGCGGATGCTGAAAAGAGGGACGAGTGAACGAGGTGGTGACGATGAATGGATCGGAATTCCACTGTTGCAGCCCAGCCTTCACCGTTTCTTCGGCAAGCCAGCTTTTGTACGGACACGGAGTATGGCATCCTCCATCCAATCCCCCCGAGACGCCTTTCTACCCTTTCTGCTCTGACCATTCTCCCCACACCCTCTTGACGTATAGCTCTGAAAATTCCCCCGGTCTTCTCGTTCCCTCTCTCCTTCAACTCCAAACCTCGCCGCATCCCACACTGTTGCTGGCGAATTTGCCGGCGTCCAGATGAGGGGTGTTCCGATCGGATCCACTGTCCAGTTACCACATCGTCCAGTCGGCACAGGCCACAGGGCCATTGTCGGCCAAGCGCTGGGCTGGGCTGGGCGCTGACGGGGCCCGTCACGGCTTGTCACCAGCCACAGCCTCCAGTGAGCCGTGGCTGAAGCCAGGCACTGGGGCGCAGCAGCTCCGCTACGCGTGTACCTTCCACGTCGACACGTATCGGCCAGCAGGCTAGCAAGGATTTGGACCCCCTGATTGACATTGCAGTCACAAGCAAAGTCGCCCTGGATCTTCCCGAATTTTCACCTTTCAGCATACAGAAGATCCCCATAGAACATATTATCGCTTTTTCGACAACGATAGCCAGTCTTTACTACTGACGCGCTTGCATTCGGTAAGTTCACACCCGCTTTCTGACTTCAACCGGCCTCTTCCAAGCGCAGCTATGCACTACTGCGATATGGGTTGACTTCTGCCTACGGGAATGTTATCCGACGCATGCCTAAGCCTCTGGGTCCATTGCTGCTATTGCGCGTTACCACATACCTACAAATAAGGGTCGCTAACCATTTCCCTCTCCTAGTAGCTGTTCAATTCAGTATCCCCAGCAAGCAAAACAGCCTATCCTCTCGTGTCCGCAGAGCTGTCGATCCTACCCACGAAAGCTCAACAAACCCAGCGCCCACGCGTTGATCATCAGTACACAATCACGACACGATGTCGCGCATTCAGATCCCACTCGAGGCCATCACCTCTCGCATCAATTTTGGTGAGCGGTTCTCCGGCTTTGGTTCGGGTCCTCTCACCAGCCGGTTTAACAACCTGCGCCCTGTTGGCGAGTTCCTCGACTTCAAGCGCCTAACCAAGCCTGCCAACTTCTCCGAAGCCCAGTCGCGTGTCAACTACAACCTGAGCCACTTCTCGAGCAACTATGCCGTCGTCTTTGCGATGCTGAGCATCTATGCTCTTATCTCCAACCCTCTGCTGCTTTTTGTCATCATCCTGAGCGTCGCTGGCATGTACCTGATCGGCATGCTCGACGGTCGAGATCTTATCATTGGCAGCTTCAAGGCCACCTCTTCCCAGCTCTACACGGGTCTGCTGATTGTCACCGTTCCTCTCGGTCTGATCGCATCGCCTATCACAACAGTGCTGTGGCTCATTGGTGCTTCTGGCGTGACCATTCTCGGTCACGCTGCTTTCATGGACAAGCCTATCGATGAGGCTTTTTCAGGGGAGGCGGTCTAAATGGTCGGCCGCGAGCTCCCGAATTCGCGCCCCAATGGGGAAGACCATCGAGGCGCAGTCGGAGGAGAACGGACGGGGACGCTGCGTCGCACGGACTCTGGGGAGGTGACTCCAGAGTGCGTGAACTAGGTTCGGACGAGGACGATGACACGGATTCTCAGGGCGTAGGTCTCACAAGACGCGGCACGCGTTTTGTGAGTGACTCTTTGAAATTTACGGGGACAGACTTGGGGGATAGACGGAGTGGACTTTCACGGCGGATTCCACAAGGTGATGACGACGATACGGAAAGCGAGGAAGATGACGAAGACGACTACGATCTGGCTCTGCTGACTCCCGAACAAAAGGAGGAGGCTCTGGTGCAGACGGCTATGGCACGAATTGAAAGAGCTCAGGCCCGGGGCAGATCGGACGTAAGCTTGACAAAGGACGAGCTTGCTGCTCTGGAGCGACGGAAGCAGAGAATGGAGGAGGAAGCCAACAAAAGGAAGCGCAAGAAGAGCAGAAAACAACAGCGTGTGGCAATCCCTCTGACGAATCTGGAGCCGGTGTCGCGCAAGAAGAAGTCGCCGCCAGTGGCTTTGGAGGGATCACCGCACGATATGCTAGAGGCCTCGGATAGACAAGGGTACCCACCTGTTGGGTACTTTCCACCGCCTTCCGGGCGCTCTCGGCCAAGATCTGGAACCACGCTCTCATCACGGCCTCCCAGTCGAGCGCACGATGATCGACCGGACTCGCCTTTCCAGTACGAATACGTCCAGCGTCCCTCCTCCTCAGTCGGACGGCACGTGTCGGACGTGATGCCTCGACCACTTTCCTCGCGGGGTCATCAGTACGATAATGGATCATCCACATCTCTCAATTCGGCCAGTCGCAATCAGCTTGACCCTTTCATGTTCCAAACTGCAGGACCGCGTGCGCCCTACCCTGGTGGCGCTGCGGCTGCTTCGAGGAGACATGTCTCGGGGCCAGCGGATGGGCTGTACATGTCTCGGCGTGACGAGGGAAGGTCCAGTCGCAATAGCCTTAGGTCGGTCTACGGCGAGAGTAGCGAGGAGAGTGAGCCTAGCGAGAGCGCCAGCGACGAGCTCAACAACGGAGCGCGTATTCGGGAGCCAGCGCGAGGGGGCAGATCGGAGATCGTGGTGCAGCCTGACCCGGAGCCAGAAGTGGCGCCCAAGAAGAAGTCGTCAGAGTCGTCCAAGCGCAAGCCTGTGCCGAGTTCAAGTTCAGGAAGAGGGGGGAGGAGGAAAAAGAAGTAAAAAGCGATGCGACTTTGCGAGGTAGTCTTTTGGTTTGTGCCGATACCAACTTGCGATTGTAATGACTATAGACTGTAATTTGAACTTTTCTGGTCGCGAGTACTACAAGTAATTGTCCCTGAATGCAAACCTCCATGATAAACGTCGTCGTCGCTTAGCTGGAAGCCGTGCCTCGGCAGTGCCCGTAGATCCATGCAGAGTACGGATACAGGGTCCAGTCCAGTCCTGTCCGCGTCAAAGCCCCGGCTGGCCCAAGGTCACTGCTTTTAGCTCCAGTTCCATCTTCTCAGCATCCAGTCTCATCCTCATTCTTTTCGCATCAGCGCGCGCATCTTTTGACGGTGGAGCTAGAACATTATTTCGACACAGTGATCGACCTCGCGCGCGCGTAATGGCCGATTCAACCACGTCCTCGTCGTCGCGAAGTGCCACAAAGCGACTCACCAAAGAACTGGGCACCTGGCACGAGGAGCAAAAGAACGAAAAGGGCATCGAGCGTCTAGAGCCCATTGGCGAGAATGACTTGTTCACATGGGAGGCGGTGATCAACGGCCATGGCGTAGGCGGTGGCTACGACGGTATGTCTTATCCATCCACAGGTTTCATCGTGAGCGCAACACAGTACTAACGCCGTGCACTATAGGTGGTCGCTGGCTACTGAACATTGAACTGCCCTCGAATTACCCCTACTCGCCCCCGACGATCAAGTTCGTGACGAAGATTGTACACCCCAACATTGCGCTGAACACGGGGGAGATCTGCCTGGACCTGCTGAAGGATGCGTGGACGCCGGCGTATAGCGTGCTGGAGAGCATCCGGGCCGTGAGGATGCTGCTGAGCTGTCCAGAGGTGGACAGCCCATTGAACGTGGATGTGGCGGCGCTGTTGCGGGGTGGTGATGTGCTCGGGACGCGCAAGTTGGTGGAATACTGGTGCTCGGATGAGACGGGTCGTTACGACGGTCCCTGAGGGCTTTCGGGGACCCGTTCCCTTTCCGTTTGGCGTAGTACTTTTAATGAGCGAGGTTAGCATATTGATCCCTTGTGCACTGGAGACGACGGCGAGGCTAGTTTGGTAGCTTGGTATATCATGAAACATTGCCGGCGCCCCCGTCCATTGAACCTCTATAAATGATCCAAGCCCGTCGAATCGTGAAGACACTGGCGCGATTCTATTGTACATAATTGTATATGAAACCCTCGCGGCGAGTCAAGCCGGGAGGGGAGGGATAAGGCTCGAAGCCAAGCCTAACCAGATAACTGCCCAGCATCCTACAGCAGGCAGAGCATACCACAACAGCCAACGCCTCGCACCAGCAAACCATGTGTCAGTGCTACTTTTTTTCATGGCTCCGACTGGCGGAGCAGGCGGACGAGCTTTCGCTCCTTTGGACGTGAAAACACCAGAATACAAATACAACACTGCACGGCTCATCATTTCTATTCGTTGTAGTGGTAGACCTGGCGTCATTTCTCGTTAGCAAGTTGATTGTTCCACATGATCGCACCAACGTACCTTGTAATTAGGCAACCCCCAGGGTTGCCACCCAAGTCGCTTGGCCATCTTCGCAAAACCTTCCGTCTCAATCAGGTTATAGAAGGCAAAGGGGGGAAACATGGCGCCGTCGCGGTGCACATCAGCCTTCACGAGGAGGGCGGTACCGCCAACACCATCAAGCGGTATCACGAGGCTCTTGTCGGCCTGCTCGGTCACCATGTATGCCATGAGGGCGCGGTAGGTGGCCATCTCCTTGTAGCCTTCCAGCAGAATGTCGTCCGGCCCCATTTGCGCGGCCAGCTGTTGCGCAATCTCGCTGTCCTGCCAGCTATTGTAGTCGTAAGGTCGCTCGGACATCTTCTTCGTGTCGCCGTCGTAGTAGCGCTGGAAGCAGTTTGGTACGATGAGTGGCTTGTCGTGGGAGGCGAGGTCCTGGATCAGGGTCGGCGGTGACTCGACGATGTCGGCATCCAGCCACAGGACCCATGATGTGCTGGGGCCCAAGGTCGTGAAGAGTAACGAGTTGCGCGCTTTCGCCATGACTTCACGTCTCGCCTTCTGGTTCGCCATTTTGTGTCGCTCGCTCTCGTCCTGCGACATGACAGCGGGCTCAAAGTCCTGGCGGAGGATGATGATGCTCTTGAATCGATCCTTTTCCGGGCCCTGCTTCTGCGTGCGCTGAATCTGCGCCTGGAGCGCCGTCGTTGCCGCGTTGCCCTCCTTCGTCTTGGGCAGGATGAACCCAAGTGTGATCAGCTCGTGTGGGTAGTTGAGCTTGAGCAGGTTATCCCAGTACTCCTGGTAGAACCGCGCCATTGGCGTCAGGATGAGGACGTGCTCCTGGTTGGCGATGGGGTCGGGCGTGATTGTCACATTGTTGAGCTTGTAGTGGGTGACAGGGGGCGGACCGAGCTCGCCAGGTCGCGACGACTTGCGGTACGGTGATGTCGGCGGCGACAGATGGTGGGATGCGGTATTGACCGCGAGACGAGCGGTCTTGGTTGGCGTCGAAGGGGAGACGAGAAAGATGATTATAAAAATGCAGAGCACAGCGCCGAGAAGGAGAGTCGACGGATTGGCCTTCTTCAGACGGACGGACCCCATGGGTCGAGCCATGGTGGTCGTGAAGGTTGCTCGAACGTCGTCGCTCGTCGCGCGGGTTTGCGTGTGTGTGCGGTTGGCCGGTCGATCGCCTATCGACACATTGGGCGGATCGAAAGTATCGTCGTCGCGATAAGGAGGATTCAGATGACAGAGAAGAGGAATGAAGAAGTGGTTTCAGATGGTTATTAGAAACAAAAAGGTCGAGGTGTGATGCGATTCTGCTGCCCTTGAGGCCCTCGCCGACAAGGGATAAGCTCACCTCAAATTGCCAGCTCGTGTCAAAGGACCCTGGACCGTCGAATCGAGTACAGAAGCAAGTAGATGGGCAGTTTACGTACCACGTAACTGGCCATTCCAGTCGGTATTAGCGGACGGGGCCTCCAGCTACCAGGTAAGCTAAAGCGCTGCACAGATGAGTAAGCCGAATTTAGCACGCTGATTGGTGAGGAGACGATTCAGGGGTAACGGCGCATCATGCGCTTTGCATGGCCTAGGTTTAGTTAGGCCACGGAGTCTTGCACCACGAGCATGTACATGACAATCATCTGAGTCTCACTCGAGGTTGAATGAGTGATTACATGAGTGATTACATACATGCACCTTGACGACCCTGCACTTATAGCGAACAGAGCTGTTGCTGTCTGGGGACATGGAGAACTGTCGTGTAACATCCAGCCGACTTGCAGCTCTGCTATGCAGCCATAGTACGGGGAGAACCCGCCTTCACGGCTCTTTTGACATCTTACAGTCGTGTTAATCGTCTGTTATATGCAGTGGAACTGTCAAATGATCCGTCGCCAAGCTCATGCACGTCAAGCTAGAGTGCTGTATTCGGGACGGGCATGTCCCTCCGAGGGGTCATGTCGGTACTTGAACAACCATGGGGACGCAGAGATCTTCCATGCGTACTCCAGGAAGCGGGGGACGTTGCAACGCGATTGAGAATGGGCGGATTCTTGACAGAGTCGTAACATACGAATCTGATAATGTATAAAAGAGTCGGTTCTCTCTCCTCCACTCAGGGGGTCTCGGGCTGTTATTGCGGTACGGTTCCACAATCTCTCGGCTACCTTACCTTTTGAAATATTCATCATCATGATCGCCAAGTTGGCAGTGCTCGTGGCCTTTGTGGCAGCTGCGACAGCAACGCCTGCGCCCAAGCCTGGCAAGGACGGCAGGTATACCATCTCGTCGCGCGGCATCAAGGCACAGGTAAGAGCCGTAGGGCTGCTGCAGGGCGAGAATAAACATTGACCCTTCAAGTTCATCCCTTATGGCGCTACATTGACCAATCTATTTGTCAAAGACAAGTATGGCAAGGACGTGGATGTTGTCCTCGGCTACGACGATGTCGATTACTACCGTAGGCGTCTTCCTACGTCTCTTGGGAGACTGACTAAAATTGGACGAATTAGCTGTCGATCCCTCTCACCCGGTGTACAATGCGATCCCGGGACGGTACGTCAATCGCATTGGCGGAGCCAACTACACCATTGACGGTGAGCTGTACTTGACCGAGAAGAACGACGGGGACAACACTCTCCATAGTGGCACCAACAACTGGTCGTTCCGCGACTGGGAGGTTTCCCATTTCACAAAGGACTCCATTACCTTCTCGATCCTCGACGCCTCCAACTCATCGCAGGGCATGCTTGGTGATGTCTACGCTTCGGTGACGTACAGTGTCAAGGGCAGCACCTGGAAGATTAGCATGGAGGCCACCTCCCCGGAAGCGAAGACACGTGCGTTCCATGCCTCAACTCGTCCTGAATCTGTCCATGGCTGACGATACTGACTTTTTCCAGCGCTCATGCTGACGCAGCATACATACTTCAATCTGGATGCGTACAAGAATCCCGACACGGGGAAAATCTGGAACCACACATTGTACATGCCGTACTCGCAAAAGTACTTGGTGGCAGACGATTCGGCCGTCCCTACCGGCGAGATCGCTGTCGCAGAGCCGGGAAGTATCAATGACTTTGCCAGCCAGCGTGACATCCAGCTTGGACATGCCTCAGATGATCCCGCGTTCCCTGGAAACTGCGGCGCTGGCGGCGCTTGTGAAGGGTACAACGGCTACTGGTTGATCGAGGACGCGCCAAAGGACGCTGTGGTCCTGTCTCTCGTCAGCACCTTTTCTGGCATCAGCGCGGACCTCAAGACGGACCAGCTTGGTGTCGTGATCTACTCGTGCAACTGGTTCGATGGCAGTCAGTCGCTGAAGAGGACCCAGGGCTTGGAGGGCAGGACGACTGTCGACCGCAGCTCGTGCGTCGCCATTGAGGCTCATGACTATGTCAATGGAATCAACGAGTGAGTCACTCTGCAATTGATGCGATGTTCAACAGCTGGCTGACGTTGGCTGCAGGCCGCAATGGGGTCGGAAGGAGGCCCAGCTCACAGGCCCAGGAGAGACCTACAAGTGGGAGAGCGCGTGGACATTTGGGCTCACCTGAAGCCCGATCCATCCTACGCGGAAGGGGTAGAGCGTTATGTTTGTTTGTGTAGCCGGATGACCGGGGCCTGGTGAAGAAGGATGAATCGTTGTTACTTGTTTGCGCGTGATGTTGAAGGCCATCGTAAGGCATCCATTGTTGGCGGCAGCTTGTCAGCCGCGACCATCAGCCACAATGCGCTAATGTGGCGTCGCGCGACGCTTCGCAGAATCCAGTCCCAGTTCCTCTGACAGCATCATCCTTTCCTAGACCACCGAGCTTTGCAAACTTGAGCCGCGAGACTTCAGAGGTCGATTGTCAATTCGCGGAAGCTTGATCTCCTTCACTGCCTCAATTGCGCCTTCTCGAGCCAGTTCGAAGGTCACGACGTTGCCAAGCCCGTTGACTCGCTCGCGCTGCACCAGCCTCGTGTTCTCTCTCTCCTCCGTTCACCATGACCGACAAGATGGATCGTGGTCTTGACGAGATCATTGCAGAGACTGTGAGTCCCTTTCACTGAGATGCTAGCATCAGCTTGGTTAACACGACGCAGCGGCCCTCTGGCCCTCGCAACCGTCGAGGCCGTGGCGGAGGCGGCCCTGGACCTCGCCGCGACCGAGCCGAAGGACCTCGTGATGGTATCAGAAAGGTAAATGATGCCCCGAAAGAGCACAGACAAGCTCATTACCTCACACAATTCGCGTGGCTAACCGTTCGCTAGGTTCATCCGCCCCTCCCTCCAAACTGTCTTGCGACGCTTGTCACCGAGAAACGACTGCAACCTATGCGTCAAATGCTTCCGAACCGGACATAGCAAGGCTTGACATGTGCGACAAACGTTGCTGACTCGGCTCCCTCCTCCTTTAGTCCTACCGAGACGAACCTCGCAACATTGACAGGTATGGAGAATCCCTACCGTCGGCATCGCGGACGGTATGGCTAACGAGAACAATAGCGAATGGGTGCACGACCGCTACGATGACAACAACAATTGTAACATGACCACGGCTATCAATCCCTCTGATGGCGCGCTTACATTTCGCAGACAGTCGCCGCGGCCCAACGACGCGCCGTGCGCGCGACCCATCCCCAGAAGCGTACGTCCACCCTGTCGCTTGACGAACAGCCACTGACGGCACAGCAGGGAGGGTAGGGGAGCCAAGATTCGCGTTGACAACATTCACTACGACCTGACCGAAGAAGACCTGAACGTTTGTCTCACCTCGACCTCGACATGGCGCTTGGCTAATTGTTGTGCAGGAGCTCTTCCAGAGGATCGGACCGGTGACGAGGCTCCAGCTCCGTTATGACCGCGCTGGACGCTCAGAAGGAACGGCTTACGTGACATATGAGCTCAAAGAGGATGCTTCGGAAGCGGTGAAGCAATTCGATGGGGCCAATGCCAACGGTAACCACGTTCCCATCCCAAGCCATAGAAGGAGCTAAACAATTTGTACAGGTCAACCCATCCGATTAACCATGCTCGGTGGACGGGGCGATCGCTCGCGCAACCCATTCGACTCGGCAGTCATGCCTGGACGACCTTTGTCGGAGCGGGTCTCCGCCCCAGGTCGTGCTCGCTCCCACTCACCATCGGGTCGATATTCTCAAGAGGACGCGGCCCGCAAGGGTATCGATAGATATATCCCCGGTGGTCGGTCAAGGACGCCACCTCCTGCACGACGCCGCGGCGCTGCTAACACCGGACGCCGTCCTGGTGCTCGCCGGGAGCGTGGACCGCAAGACGATACCCGTGGTGCCCGTAGCGCGCCCCGCGGCAAGAGGACCCAGGAGGAGCTCGATGCCGACATGGCCGACTACTTTGGTGGTGGAGAGCCTGCGCCCGAAGCCAACGGGAACACGGCTGAAGCACCAGCTGCTGCGCCAGCCCCGGCCGCGGCCGCGACCGACGACATTGACATGATTGAGTAGACTGGGGGGATTTTGAAAGAGGTTCGTACACCTTGGTGGAAATGTACTATCACAATCGAGGATTCGACTACGTCTTGTTGAAGTCAAGAGTTTATAGGAATGGACTTGGCCGAAGGCTGAGCACCCTTTGGACTCGTGTATCACGAAAAAGGGGGCACGGAACCTGCAAAGGACCAGCTAGGAATCATTGCTCGAATACAATACTGGCGTGTCGGCGTTACCAAATCTTGAGAGACATGTTGCTACTCTATTTGTTCGCCTTCTTTGTCGCTGATGCTCGACATCGAGCCAAGCGTCGTCCTTGCTCATTCTATTGTGTTCGTGTTTGCTATCTCGTTAACTGGCGAAGTACTAGCAGTGTCAGGCCTATATTTGATCACAATCGTAACCTAGTTCCACTTGTTCTCATTACTATTCTCTTAGTTGGACATGAATTGGTCGAATAGTAGGCTGACACTAACACAGTCGAGGAGATACTGACTTATGTACCACCTCTAACGTTGGGCCTAGTCAAGACCTCCGCACCTCCAACATCACCGAGCTTCATCTTCACCAACGCACACCCACTGCAGACTCTCGTTCTTTGCGTACCTGTACATTCTGCAACATGGCAAGTCAGAGCGAGAAGGTACCCAAAGTGGGCATATTGTCGCTGGGTTCTATGGGTGCGGGATTAGCCCGCCTTCTCATCGCGCATGGTTTCCCCGTTGCGACAAACGTCCAAGGCAGAAGGTGAGCTTTGCTGTGCCTGGTATGCCTCTTTCGATCTTCATCTTCCAAGCTGACCTTGGAATCTTCGCTTGAACTAGCCAGGACACAATAGAACGGGCACGCGATACCGGAGCTGAGATACTGGCTTCTGACATCGAGCTGGTGGAGCAATGCCAGGTCATCTTGTCTGTGTTGCCTCCCAAGGACGCCGAGGCCACAGCGCAACGAGTGATCGATGCTCTGTCCGGGACCAAGCCAAAGGAGGACATCTACTACATTGACCTCAACGCCATCTCGCCTGCCTCGACCAAGGCCTTGGCGAACCTGTTCGAAAAGGCAAGGACACCTATCAAGTTCATCGACGGATGCATTCTCGGTGGCCCGCCTCAACAGAAGTCTTCCGGTAAAGAGGCCCTGCTAGTTTCCAAAACACAGAATGACGATTCGGACTGGATCGTACCCAGGATGCCCATCTCTGGCCCTCATTCGCTCGCCAGCGTTCCGTCCGGCGAACGTCTGGCTTCGCTGCTGAACTTCCGATCTATATCACCCGAGATTGGTGCTGCCTCTGGACTGAAGATGTGCTTCGCCTCCATGGCCAAGGGGTACACTGCCCTTGTCACCCAGTCCTTCACGACCGCGCATAGCCTCGGGGTTGCGGAGGCGCTGCGCGAGGAGATGCAGGAGCTGATGCCGACGCAGCTGACCGCGCTCGAAAAGTCCGTTTCAGACATGGTGCCCAAGGCCTATAGATGGGTGAGGGAGATGGAGGAGATTGCAGCGACGATGAGTGACGCGGGTGGCTGGAGCAGGGAGATGTTTGAGGGCGCGGCGGGCATCTTTCGAGAAGTAGCGGCGAACGAGGTCCTCAAGCATGAGAAGACGGAAAAGAGAAGCAGAGGCCAGACTGTAGATGATGTTGCTGCCCTGATGTCGGAGGGGCTGGCGAAGAAGAGGAAGAAGATGGAATAGACCTTGTACATATTACATTGATACATAGATATATACACACACATTGATGTGTGGCGCCTTTACATGGCATCTTCAAGAGCTGTCTTGAGCTCCATAGGGCAGATTGAGCAGGGAACCAGGCATGTTGACCTTGAAAGGTTGGCCTTTGGGATCTGCGACAAAGAACCCTTGTTCTGACGATACGCCGAATACACCTTGGGTTATCTGAATCTCGGACCCATTGTCATCCCTCAGTTCAGGCGGCGGCAAATCATCGACAACACCAAACGTAAAGGCGTGAGATAGGTCGGCGCCGACGGCAACGGCAGGATCTGAATATGAGCCCGCGTCGGGCATGAAGAACTGAACCTCAGCTCCCACTGGCGCAAAGCTACTGGTCCCATCGTCAGAGCCAAATAGATTGGCGAATTGCTCCTCTTCCGTAGGCGGCAGCGGTGAGGTATCCGGGTCGAGAGATAGGAGGCCTGCCTTGTCGCCCCAACCACCACCTCCGCTCACTGGCCTGATTAGCATGTGCTGCGGCATGTGACCGATGTGACTTACATAATTTGAATAGACGGCCGCCATTCTGAAGGCCTTGTTGGATGGTTTCAAGCCGCACGGGCTTTTTGGTGCCGGCATCCACAGTCCTCGAATCGACGGTCCATGGGTGCTCCCCAACTCCCCCGCGAGAGGCAGGACTGACCATCGCCCATATGCCGGGGAATCCACCATCGCTCCGGCTATTGCGGGCGTCGATATGATCTTGGGAACTGTTGATGGCCTTTTCAAGTTCCGTCGACGCCGGAACAGACTTGCCGTTCACTTCCACGCGACGCAAAATATTGCCAAAGCTCTCGGCAATCTTCCTCGGGGGTGTGACGGCTTGGAGAGGCAAGCGTAAGTGCCGATCATCCTCCGTAGCAAGCTCCGTCCTGGGTAGTAGTACATCCCTGCTGAGAACGCTTCTGCGCTCAATGAGCTTCGGTCCATCTGAGCCAAGCTGGTATCGCAGTGCGACCAAAGTCGATGAAAGCCCATTGCGGAACGTGGTGCGAGCCAGAGGCATGGTGACTGCCGAAACACCCTCCAAATGGAAGCCAATTGAGCCCATATCATGCTTGTTGTCCGGTGTCCGGGCTCCTGATGATTCCCACAGCTGTGGGCAGCAGCTGTTCAAGGAGCCTCGCATGAGAGCGACACCCTCACAGTCTCGGCGGGTATGTGGCGCGCATGCCACCGCGTCAACTATACCAAACAGCAAATTAAACTGATCGACTTTGTCTGTGCTTGGGGCGAGGTTCTGCGCCAAGGCCTTGCAGATGTCATCATCCGCAGCGAACTTGGTGAAGCCGGGAGTTGCCAGAACGAGGGCGGCGTCATGACCGCTATGACTCGAGGTCTGGCTTTTGAGTAGAGTGAGCAGATCCCCGATGGCTGATGCATCGACCTAGCGCCAGTTAGTCACGCTGGCCTTGATATCCTGGGAGGCAGTCTTGCTTGAGAAGAGGCAGGAAAGTTAGCAACGGCCAGCGCCGGGGCCGGAGCATTGCTCAATCTTGACGAGGAAAACCGCCTGCTGTGTACCGTCTCACGAGGTGTGCGGCGTATGACGCATCGCCGAGTAAGCGACAACCATGGCAGTGCTCTTTTTGTCGCAGACATCCTGCAGCTCAAGGCATAAGGTGAGATGTGAGAAGGAGTCAACAAGCAGCATGGATTTTGGGCAGTCACGCTGATGACAGCGCCGGTGCTACAGGCGGAAAGAAGAGTCGTCACCAAGGTAATCACAGCTCTGCAGCCCTCGTTTATAAGACCTTGTCGCTGGAAGCGCTGGAGTTGGATATTCAAAACTGCGTTATTGAATTGCTGATCATTAATTAATTGATTACCCGTACTTGTAGATTCTTGATCGAGTCGCGAATGTGGCTGCAGCTTCCCCAGATCGAGCTGCGCCACACTTGCACCTGAGGTAGGGTCAGGCTCAGGCACCTCAAGTACTCTGCGCCACAATTGGACCCCTCATTGCGAGGGTGACTAGATGCAGTGCCGATTTTATCCCACCTTCACTCGTGACTCAAAGTTTCAATTGTTATGACTCTGTAGACACAGCGTTCTGATCACAACGCTTGTCTGTTCTGTTCCATCAGTTGGCGTAGGAAGTATAAAGAGGCCCTCTCCAGCGGGCTTCACGTCAAACTTCCCACCACGACGTTCAGACTCGCCGTCAGAGCACTTCGAGTGCGATCTGTTTCCCCACGACGACCGTTGAGTACAACAGCCGCCGCCATGGCTACCAACAGTGGGCGAACCAATCCTAGTAAGCTGACGACTCGTCTCCTCGAGAGTCCGCGGCCTTTTCTAATCAGTCTCCAGTTGCCGCCTCCGATAGTCCAGCGCAAGGGGGAGGTCACCCGCCTACAGTTTCGGCCGATGCGAAAAGTGAAATTGCGAGCACGACCCAGCAGGGTGTCCATGCCTCTGGTGCCGATACGAGCGGTGCTCCCAAGGTGAAGTCGGAGAAAGAGCGTGTGTGAACCCATCCATGTCTGAAATCCTCATACTCACAGTGACGGTGCAGTCGAGAAGGAGCGCAAAAAGGCAGAAAAGGCCGCCAAACTCGAGGCCAAGAAAGCGAAACAAGCTGCCGAGGCTGCTTCGAAACCCGCCAAGGAGAAGAAGGTCAAGGAGAAGAAGCCCGAGGAGGTCCTGCCCGATTACGTCGAAGAAACACCAGCCGGCGAGAAGAAGCGCATCCGATCGTTCGACGACCCCCATTTCAAGGCCTACAACCCAATTGCCGTCGAATCTGCCTGGTACAGCTGGTGGGAGAAGGAAGGTCTGTTCAAGCCTCGCTTCAAGGAGGACGGCTCTGTCAGGGATGAAGGCAAATTCGTCATTGTCCACCCTCCCCCCAATGTCACGGGAGCGCTTCACATGGGTCACGCTCTAGGAGACTCCCTTCAGGATGTCTTGATCAGGTGGAATCGCATGCAGGGCAAGACCACACTCTGGCTCCCTGGTTGCGACCATGCTGGTATTTCTACACAGAGCGTCGTAGAGAACATGCTGTGGAGGCGCCAACAGAAGACTAGGCACGATCTTGGGCGAGAAAAGTTCATTGAGACTGTCTGGGAGTGGAAGGGCGAATACCACAAGCGGATCAACCAGGCTCTGTCCAGCATGGGTGGCTCTTTTGACTGGAGCAGGGAGGCATTCACAATGGATGAGGGCTTGACTGCTGCTGTCACGGAGACATTTGTCAAGCTTCACGAAGAGGGTACCATTTACAGGGCCAACCGACTTGTCAACTGGTGCACGAAGCTTAACACCGCCTTGTCCAACCTGGAGGTCCAGAACAAGGAGCTCACTGGTCGCACCCTCCTGGACGTCCCCGGCTACGACAAGAAGGTCGAATTCGGCGTCATTGTTCATTTCAAGTACCCAATCGAGGGCTCCGAAGAGACCATCGAGGTTGCGACGACCCGTATCGAGACCATGCTGGGTGACAGTGGTATCGCTGTCAACCCCAAGGACGAGCGGTACAAGCACCTGGTTGGTAAGACTGCCATCCACCCCTTCATCGAGGGCCGCAAGCTTCCCATCGTTGCGGACGACTACGTCGACGTCGAGTTCGGTACCGGTGCTGTGAAGCTGACACCCGCCCACGATCCCAATGATTTCACCCTCGGTCAGCGCCACAACCTCGAGTTCATCAACATCCTCACTGATGATGGCTTGATGAACGAGAATGCTGGTTCGTACAAGGGCATGAAGCGCTTCGATGTCCGTTACGCTATCCAGGACGACTTGAAGGCCAAGGGCCTGTTCGTTGACAAGAAGGACAATGCGATGAAGGTGCCTCAGTGTGAGAAGTCCAAGGACATCATTGAGCCGATCATGAAGCCCCAATGGTGGGTCAAGATGAAGGATCTAGCTGAGCCTGCCTTGAAGGCTGTCAGGGACGGCGAGATCAAGATTCGGCCGGACACAGCTGAGCGTAGCTACTTCCGCTGGCTCGAGGATATCAACGATTGGTGCATCAGCCGGCAACTTTGGTGGGGTCATCGATGCCCTGTTTACTTCGCGAGAATCGAGGGTGAAACGAACGACAGCACAGATGCCAGCCGGTGGTTCTCTGGTCGCACACGAGAGGAGGCGGAGGCGAAGGCCCAGAAGGCTTTGCCAGGCAAGACCTTCACCCTGGAGCAGGACGAGGATGTTCTTGACAGTAAGAGAATAGTCAACTTATCTGGAAGCGCAGTGTACTGACAACTCACAGCTTGGTTCTCATCGGGCTTGTGGCCTTTCAGCACCCTTGGCTGGCCAAAGAACACTAATGATCTCGACAAGCTGTACCCTACCTCCGTACTGGAGACGGGATGGGACATTCTGTTCTTCTGGATTGCTAGGATGATCATGCTTGGTCTCAAAATGACTGGCAAGGTTCCTTTCACCGAGGTCTACTGCCACAGTCTTGTGCGCGACTCAGAGGGCCGCAAGATGAGCAAGAGTCTGGGCAATGTCGTTGATCCTCTTGATGTCATTTCCGGCATCGAGCTTGACAAGCTGCACGAGAAGCTCTCTCAAGGCAACCTCCCGGCCAACGAGGTCGCCAAGGCCACCAAGTACCAGAAGACAGCTTTCCCTGACGGCATCCCCCAGTGCGGTGCCGATGCCCTGCGCTTCACCATGGTCAATGCAACAACTGGCGGTGGTGACATCAACCTGGACGTTAAGATCATCCACGGTTACCGCAAGTTCTGTAACAAAATCTTCCAAGCTACCAAGTATGTTCTCGGCAGCCTGCCAGAGGATTTCAGGCCTGCTGCGAAGGGTAATGTCCCTGGAAAGACCCTCGCTGAGCGATGGATTCTTCACAAGATGACCACAGCCGCCAAAGAGATCAACCAGGCTCTGGCCGACCGCGAGTTCTCGAAATCTACCATTATTGTGTACCGCTACTGGTACAACGAACTGTGCGACGTGTACATTGAGAACTCAAAGGCCATCATCCGTGATGGTACGGAGGAAGAGCGCCAGTCAGCGCTGCAGACTTTGTACACCACACTGGAGGCTGCTTTGACCATGATTCACCCCTTCATGCCTTACCTCACCGAGGAAATGTGGCAGCGCATGCCGCGCAGGCCCAATGACGATACCACGTCGATCATGATCGCGAAATACCCCACGTACGATGCTGCACTCGACGACCCTCAGGCAGAGACTGCCTACGAAGTCGTATTGGAGTGCGCCAAGGGTGGTCGTTCCCTGATGTCCGAGTATGCCCTGAAGGACAATGCTCAGCGTAAGTCTACTGCAGTTTCGCAGTATCCTCATGTTGCCAAACTAACGTTCTTTCTCTAGTCGCCGTGCAAGCATACAATGACGAGACCTTGAAGACTGCGAATGATCAGATTACCTCTATCAAGACCCTCATCGGCAAGGGTGTTTCTGACATCAAGATCGTTGGACCCAACGAAGCTCGCCCCACTGGAAGCGTTGCCTACCCAGTGGGCATGAACGCCACCGTCTTCTTGCACGTCAGTGGGCGTGTCGACTTTGACGCCGAGATCGCCAAGGCTCAGAAGAAGCTTGACAAGGCAAAGTCAAACATTGCTAGGCAGGAGAAGACCCTAAACGAGGCTTCCTACAAGGAGAAGTCATCGGCTCAAACACAGGAGCTCGATCAGTCGAGGTTGGCGGAATCCAAGCAGGAGGCCAAGAGCTACGAGGAGACGATTAAGCAATTCGAGCAGCTCAAGCTCGAGTAAAGGAGTTCTTTGTACTTTGATGAAGACATGGCTTTGTACGGATGTAGCTAGACACACATGTGGCGGATAAAAATTGCGTAGAGTCAGATTTGCAGAGATTGCCAGACAACACATTGCTCGCCGAGTTGTCCTTTGGGACTTTCACGCTGACATTATTAAATTAACTACGTCTTTGCTCATCGTCCACCAAACTTTGGTCCTGACTCCTCCTTCTTTGCGCCGCCTCCGCCGCCACGCGTGGGCTTTGATTGCGCAGCCTCGTGCCTCCTGAGCTCTTCCGGAACCTTGGAGATGGAGCTCTTGCTCAACATCTGCTTCAGGTCATACAAGACCTCGGTATCTTCGCTGCCCAGGAACGTGATCGCCACACCACTCTTGCCTGCACGACCCGTACGACCGATACGATGCGTATAGCTCTCGATACTGTGGGCCATGTTGAAGTTCATGACCAGGGACACGTCCGGAACATCGATACCACGCCCAGCAAGATCCGTTGCCACGAGGACTTGCGTCTGTCCGGCACGGACAGAGTTGAGAGCGGCTTCACGCTGCTCCTGTGTCTTGGAACCGTGCAGGGTGACGGCCGACCATCCCATGCGTTGGATGTCCCGGGCCACAGCATCGCAGTTTCGCTTGATGTTGACGAAGACAATAATGGGTGGGCCAAACTCGTTGGACGCAAGGATCTCCTGCATACGCTTCTTGCGGCGGTCTTCGCCAGGCACAAACTCGACGCGCTGCTCGACAGTGTCGACGGCCTCGCCTGCGTTTCCGATGGTAACAGTGGCTGGCCGGCGTAGATACTTGCGTGCAATCTTCTCCACGGTCGGCGGCATGGTTGCAGTGTACATCATTGTCTGTCGGTAACGGATCCCCCCGAGGTACCGTTGCATGGCTCTCGAGTCCTCTGCTTCGTCCGTGTCCGGTTTCTCGTTGGTCACGGGCAGGGCGTCGAGGATCTTGTTCAGCGACTCCTCGAAGCCAAGATCAATCATGCGGTCGGCTTCATCCATGATCAGGTAGCAGCACTGGCCAAGCACCAGAAGCCGACGCTCGATGCAGTCAACAAGACGACCTGGCGTGGCCACAATGATCTCTGCTCCGTTGCGAAGGGCGAATGACTGCTCCTCCAGAGAGTGACCACCGACAATGCTGACGACTCGAAAACCAAGGGGCGAGGCAAACTTGCGAGCCTCTGTCTCGATCTGCTGAGCCAGTTCTCGAGTCGGCGCCATGATCAGCGCGTACGGTCCCTCGTTCTTGTTGTATTCGTCCAGAGGCGGCAAGTCGGAAATGTAGACGAGCAACGGCAACAGGAAGGCTGCTGTTTTACCTGAACCGGTAACGGCCACGCCGATGAGATCTCGTGCCTGAAGGGCGATGGGTATGGCCGCTCGTTGAATAGCGGACGGCTCCTTGTAGCCGACCTGATCCACAATCTCGAGCAGACGCGGTGGTAGGCCTGATTCCTTCCAGCTTCGCATGGGATTCGGGATGAGACCGCCCTTTGTAGCGATGCCGTAGTCCTCCTTGAAAATACGCCAGTCTCGTTCGCGCATGTCCGATAGGTCCTTCTCTGACCAGTGTCGTCCCAAGCCCGTCTTGTCTGCGCGCTGCTGCGCTCGCTCTCGTGCCCGGTAGAAGTCCTCCATGATCCCTATGGCACGCTCTTTTCCATGCTCGACATCCCGTTGCTCAATCATCTTGGCCCTCTTCTTGGCTCTTTCTTCTGCTTCCCTGTCGAACTCGCCGCCTATGCCTGCCAGTGTCGAGCCTCTGTTGGCTGTCTGCGCCGCATACAGGGGGTCCGTGTCGCGGCTCGTGTCTTCGTCTAGGTTCCACTCGAAATTGAACTTCTTGTCCATGGTGCGCATACGCTTCTTCTTGGCTGAGAAGGTGGATTCTTTATTGACATCTGGCCCGAGGTATCGTGCCATGACCTGCTGTCGCTCGACGTCTTCTTGTGATCGCTTGTCGCCGGCGTTCTTCTCGTCCTTCTTCGCAGATCTTCGATCATCTGGTCGACCACCATCCCGTCCACCTCGCCCAGCTCTCCCGCCGGGACCACGGCCGCCGCCTCGCTCGTCATGATAGGACCTGGGCCCGGTGGGAACACCGTTGGCTACGCCATTAGGCGTCGTTGCGTCGCCGTTGGTGGCGGCTGCCCATTTCCTCTCGTCCTCTGTCCGTCTCTTCGCTTCCTCTTCGGCTTTCCTCTTCTTCTCGTCTGCCTCTTGCTTCAACTTCTCGGCAGCAAGCTTCTCACGTTGAGCTTTGGGTATGAATTTGGGCTTTGCAGCCGCTGCGTCCGCTGCCTTCTTTTTACGCAAGATTTCGTCAATGTCGAGCGGCATGTCGAACGTATTAGATATATCTCGCCACAGAGTCGAGACATGCGACTTCTATAGTGATAATGGTGGCAAGATCGAATGTGGGAGCCGACGTTGAGAAATAGATAGAGGCAGCAAGGCTGAGTCGAGCAAGCGAGGCGCGTGTATTTGCGCCAATCAGTATTCTGGTTGCTTGTGTGGGTCCTCTCCAAACCAGGGTCAGAAATCTTGACGTGCAGCCTTGGGTAGACGTTCTCTACGTACCAACATTGAATCGTCACTCGACACAGACAGGCTCCGAGCCCACATCTACGCGATGGCTGCTCCAGCTCAGAATTTCATCCAGCTCGCGAAAGCGCTGCCCGAGCCCCTGCAGCGCTTCTTCGCACGCTGGCCACCGGCCGCCATCCTGCCTACAGGCAACACAGCGCCTACGCCTACGCGATACCAAGAAGAGCGACCGAACCCATTTCAACGATATAAGAACCCCGAAACCGGTGCATGGCAGGACCCTGTGTACTCCAGTCGACGGCAAGCGGAGTTGCACAAGATGGCCAGGGAGCATGGCGTTGAGCACCTCCTCCCAGAGTCAAACAAGGCGGCCGAGACCAGGTTGGCGCATCGCGTCGTGCACGGTCTTAGGGTCAAGGGTACTGGTGTCGGACAGAAGGTCAAGGGTCATATCCACGAGAGGCACATGATCTCAAAGTATGCTTGGCCAAAGAACTATCGGCATTGGGAATCATTACTGACAATCTGCCAGGATGGAGAAGAAAAGAACAGCAATGCTGGAGATGCCACAGCTCATCAAATCTTTCAAGAAGGTACTGTACATGTGTCCCCGAGTGTTAAGTGTCAAGAGTGCTAACTGACTTGTTTAGACATCAAAGTACAAGTGGACGAAGTGGCCGAAATAAGCGATCTACGCAGGGTCTGCGCGTGTATATACAACTCTGTACCTCTATGTACCATCATAGTTCTTCGATATCCTTGGAAGCACATCTGTTGTGCCTGGTTTTCACGGGCTGCAGGTGTTATACAAAAAACGTATCATGTCACGTGACGCAAATTCTCAACATCTTCCCTCATCCGCTGGCAACACTCAAACTTGAGGGACCAAGAACACTCTACGTCCGAGAAGAGGCTGGTCCTCATTCGATGCTCAAGATATTCCAATGGCTTCTGCGCAGTCTGTCACTCACTACCAAATACTGAAGCTTGACCCGCTGTTGATCGACGACCAACAAGATCCAACGGCACTCATCAAGAAAGCTTACCACCGCGCCCTCCTCCAGAATCACCCGGACAAAGCCGCGGCTTCCCAGGAAGCAATCTTCAGCGTTGATCAGATTACACAAGCGTATAATGTAGTATCATCGCCAGCGCAACGCGCTTCGTACGATGCTTCGCTACGCCTTGAGCCCCAGGCGAACAGCGGCTTCGCAACAAAATTTCAGACTGGTGTGGAGAACGTCGACCTTGACGACTTGGCCTTTGATGAGGCAGAGGATTGCTGGTATAGATCATGTCGTTGTGGCAATGATAGGGGCTATCGATTCCGGGAGGACGACCTCATGGAAGCTGAGGAAGAGGGAGAACTCATGGTGGGATGCCTGGATTGTAGTTTGTGGCTGAGAGTCCATTATGCGGTCCTAGAAACAGACGACTGTGAATCACCCACCAATCAAAAACAGAATTGACGCACAGAGGCAGCATCATTGTGGTGCTCTCAACTGATAGTGCTTTACAATCGCCTGAGCCCGTATGTTCAGTGTATTGAAAGCAATTTTAGTTATTTTGAATTGTCCAGACGGTTGCGTAGTCGAGTCTAAAAAGCAGAGCCTAGGCTTTGCTCCTTTTCAGCCTTCCGTGCCGAAACCATTGGCAAAGCCAAACCCTCTTGTGTGTTATGGTTTACCAAAAAAAAACATGCCGAAGCTCTTGATACGAACCGAAGTCTCCGTCCACTCCAAAGACACCGATCCGCCCCGACTCCAACGCGGACCGAAGCCCAAAAACACTCGCTGTTCAGAGCATTAAGTTTACTCGGCAGCCTTGGGCTCCTCCGCAGCCGGTGCCTCAGCGGCGGCAGCGGGAGCCTCATCCTTAGAGGCGGCGCCCTCAGCCGGAGCGTTGGCATTGTCAGCCTCCGAAGAAGTCCAGAGGGTCTACATGTTCGTTAGTAAGATGCTCCACATGACAAGTGTTGGCAGGTACGCACCAGGTTATCGCGCAGCAACTGCATGATAAGGGTCGAGTCCTTGTAGCTCTCTTCGCTCAAAGTGTCAAGCTCGGCAATGGCGTCATCGAAAGCTTGCTTGGCGAGATGGCAGGCCTGGTCAGGAGCGTTGAGAATCTCGTAGTAGAAGACTGAGAAGTTCAGGGCCAGACCCAGACGGATAGGGTGGGTGGGAGGCAGCTCGGTCTGCGCGACCTCAGTAGCAGCCTTGTACGCCTCGAGGGACTTGTCGGCAGAGCCCTTGCGAATGTCGCCAGTGGCGAACTCGGCGAGGTAACGGTGGTAGTCACCCTTCCTGGAGAAGCATTAGTGATCCGTTCGAGTGTGACAGGCGAGGTCGGTTACATCTTGTGGTAGAAGACCTTGGACTCGCCGGATGTCGCAGAGGGGATCAGGTGCTTGTCGAGAACATCGAGGATATCCTCGCAGATACCAGCAAGCTCGTTCTCGATCTTCTGACGGTACTCCTTGATGAGGGTGACCTGGGAAGAGTTGCCCTTGGTCTCCTCCTTCTGCTCAATCGAGGTGACTATTCTCCAAGAGGCACGGCGAGCGCCGATGACGTTCTTGTAGGCAACAGAGAGAAGGTTGCGCTCTTCGACACTAAGGTCGCGGTCCTCGGAAGCGACAATCTTCATGTTCTCGACCATCTCTGAAGCGGATTAGCCTTGGATGCACGATTACGCTGCAGGCGTGTCGAATATGTACGTACCCTCGTAGCGCTCAGCCTGCTCAGCGAGCTTAGCGAGATAGACAGCATCTTCTTGGCCCATTTTGACGGTTTTGGAGGTTGTAATAACTAAAGCTAAGTGTTAGCAGATTTGACGTGCTAGGCAGAAACAGCTCGCGAAGGATCGCAGGGTAACGGCAGGTGTGGTGACGATATTGGTTTGCCAATTGCGCAATTGCTAGGCGCCAGGGATAGCAGGTTGGTCAATGAGAGCCTCGATCGAAGTTCGTCGTCGGCTTCTGGAAGGAGTGATTGCGCGCGCGCGTGGTACGACGAAGGGGCGGTAATCGTTGGTGACGATATTCCCCGCTCTCCCTGAATCCATGGTGGGGTTGAACCGACAGCATTTAGGGGTCATCGTCGGTTGCGTGGCCATGCTCCCTTCCGATGGCGTCGCCGGGAGAGGTCTGATTCATACTCGACCATGGGAGGTATTTTGCGAGACCTCGCTCATCCGAAGGTTGCAGCCGCGGCCAGGGAGTCGTCTGGGTGGCAGAGGGACAATGACGACAGGGCGAAGACGATAGATGGGAGGCAGGCAGAGCGGTATTGGGCTGCGCAATGGACGAGGGCATACGTACCGGTTTGGTGGTTTGATGAAAGAGAGAAAATCCCTGGACGAAGAGACGATAGAGATTCCGGCGGGTGAAAGTCGGCGGTTGTGTTGATTTAGTGGTGGTCTTGGAGAATGGAAGTGCGAGGTGGGTTCGAGGTGCAGAATAATAATAAGAGCTCAGGCAGGTAGACAGGCAGGCCCGACTGGGGGTGGGCGAGGAGAATGGCAGGCAAAGCAGGAGACGGGTCGGATTGGACAGACGCGTCGCAAAGTGGAAATTCAAGCAATTGGTTGCCTTCCGGGGGCTTCAGTGCACGGGACCACCTGATGCTGCACTAAGGACTGCTAACGCCCTCAACCAGTCATTCTCAGCCACGACGCCATTCGTCACTCTTCTTCACAACACCAGCTTACGCCCAATCATCAAGCTGCATGCGCTCTACGCGGTGACTACGAGCACAGTCCTGCGTGGAAAGAGACAATAAAATTCATTCTTGCCTTGCGGACTCTTCGTGGTGGATAAAACCTCACTTGTCTCGATCACGTTCCAGATGGTGGCGGTGGATTAATGCGCTATTGGTAATGTCAGAGCCTAAAAGTATGCTTTCCCTGGGGAGTTCAATAAACCACACTTGCCTGGTCATGACCTATTACTACTGTAGGTACGCACGTACGTACATTCGTCGACAACATATAGCTATATTATATACAAAGCCATCAGTCGATGAATGAGCCATGCAAAGGAGGCGAACAAGCTTCGGTACGCCGTGCACAGGGTAGCCACGAGAACACGCGGCCATGTGGACTAGTCGAGACTACGCTGATATCCAGACATGCGCCACATTCGTACGGTATTCGGAACATCTTTGCTATGAGTACGCATTGGCTTTACACATGTGTACTGCCTTCAAGTCATCCCGGAGCAATGCCTTCGCAAGGAGCACCGTGCACGCTCAACTACGAAAATCTGCTTTTGAGTCGGAAGTTGGAAGATGGAAAATCAGATCATGCTCCCTCCACAAGCCGGCCAGTCCCGTTTCGGGTTTCCCGGTACCTTGTGAGCCCCCAATAACTGGCGGGTTGCTCAGGTAGTGGTACCTCACGCGTATGACGTACGAGCTTGATCGCAGCTCCACTTACCTGCCGCCGCACGCAGCAGTCAGCAGCCAGCCAACCTCGAAGCTCCCAGAGCTGCCGCCCATTTCCTCCCATCCCTCTTCTTCAACGTCACGTCAACAAGCCAATACCGCTAGCTGACACGATCTTCATCATGCTTCGCACGACTGTCACCAAGGCGGCCGCCTTCCGTCCCCTTCGCACCGCCACATTCACCACGACCGCACGCACCATGGGCGAAGGCGACACTGGTGCCCCCCCAAAGATGGGCGGCCAAGGGTAAGAGAGGACATGGCCCTGGCACACGCAGACGCGCGCTGACAATTGCACGCAGCGATGCCTTCCAGCGCCGCGAGAAGGCCAACGAGGACTACACCATCCGCCAGCGCGAGAAGGAGAAGCTGTTGAGCCTCAAGAAGAAGCTCGCTGAGCAGCAGCAGCATCTTGATCGTCTCTCGGCACACATGTATGTCCAAATGAAACTGACCGGTTAGATGTGAAGCTGACTCTTCGCCAGCGACGAGATCACCAAGGACCAGGGCGGTGAGAAGAACTAAGTGGTATCGACCGGATTCGGCTTCGGTAGGAGATCTATAACCGGCCACCCGTCAAACATGTAGTAACCATGTCACTTGTCGACGTCCGTATTGTGGCTCGGAGCCTACGATCATTAGGTCTAGGCTGTTGTACATTTACATAGGGCTTGCCTTAATCGAGTGTATTACCAACACAACAGCCCCCAACGTTTGTGCCATTGCCCAAGTAGCTCCCTTGCACAATAATTTGCAATCCATAAACTCCATAATGTCTACTATGCCCTGTCCGGAGCGGGAAAACCTTCCTACCTTCGACCCATGTATGACCGATAGAAGCTCTCGGCGGCATCACTGTCCCCGACGCCGTAGTGGCTTCCCATGTTGCTTGTCGATTTCTGGGCAGAAGCAACCTTGGACTGCAGAGAGGAGGCATTCTCGTCGATCCATTGCAATTGGGTCAAGTGTCCATTGAGGACACGCACGATTTGGCTCAACTAGATAAAGTGTCAGTTCAATGATACGCTCTAGAATAACTGCTACACATACCGGATCCTCGGGTTTGGAGCTCTTGTTGAGCGTTCCAGAGATGTCATTGATCTCCGTGACCATCTTGGTCAGATCTCGTGATTTTTCATCCAATTGCTGGGTGAGTTTCTCCGCCAACTTGTAGGTGCGCTCACGCTCCTGATCGGGTCCACCGAGCTGCTCACCGGGACCGACCTGCTTTGAGAACATGTCTTGGACTTCATTTTCGTAATGGTCCAGCCACTTTTCGAGCTCGTCCTGCTGGCCCTCAACGGCAGCTAGTTGCCGTTCGATCTCGTGGCTTGCGCGCTCCGCCTCATATGTGTCGAGATAGAGTTTTTGAATCTTCTCGCCATTGTCAACCAGTTGTCGGTCCCACGAGGATACCGTGGTCGCCTGCTCCTTGAATTCCTTCTTGTACTTGTTCAAATCATTGGCCCATCGCGTCACAATATCCTCCATAGTCTTGTTCTTCAAGGTCGCAATCTGGGGCGGAGGTCCAGCAGTTGATGCCCCAAGTGCATTGGTTGTGGGCTTGGAAGCGTCAGCACCTGCAGCATCTTTGCTCTTGTCACCAGCAGGCTCCGCAGGCTTGGCACCGCCGAACAAGTTCGAGGCCGGGGCCTTGCCCGCCTCAGTGCCTGTGCTGGTCTCAGCCGGTTTGGCAGCCCCGAAGAGACTAGGGGTGCCAGAGGTTGCAGGCGCGGCAGTGCTAGTCGTAGCAGGCTGGCTTGTTGCGCTGGTCGAGGCAGCGATTGCCGATGTGCCCGCCGCAGGTTTCGCACCAAACAAGCTGGGGCCTGTGGTTCCGGCGGTAGCTGTCGTCGTTGACGAAGCAGACGTGGTGGCCGCAGGTTTCGCTCCGAAGAGGCTTGGAGTTCCGGCTGACGATGTCGCCGGCGTCGCCGCTGCCGGCTTCGCACCGAAGAGAATCGGAGCAGAGCTGGTCGCAGGCGCAGCCGCAGCGGATGGGGTCGAAGCTCCTCCAGCAGGTTTTGATGCTGCCGCGCCTCCGAACAGCGAGGGCGACCCGGAAGTCGCAGCTGGTGCTGCAGCAGTTGTTGAAGAGCTTGCGGGAGTAGAACCTGAGCCACCGCCGAACAATTGTCCAGATGAAGGTTTCGCGCCGAACAGAGATGGACCCGTAGTAGCAGCAGCCGCAGGCTGAGAGGCGCCGGAGGTTGATGTGGTTTCAGACTTGTTGTTTGCTCCGAAAAGATTAGAAGACGAGGGTTGGCCTCCAGCTGGTTTGTTGCTACCGAAGAGACTGGGTGTAGGGGCAGCGCCAGAGTCCTTGCTCTGACCCATGGGAGGAAGCCCTGCAGGTGTTGTCGAGCCCCCTAAAGAAAACAGAGGCTTTGCAGGAGTGGTTGCGGCATCACCCGTTTGGTTCTCATTGGACGTCTTGCTTCCTCCAAAGAGGTTTCCACTGCTTCCTGAAGTGGCGTTCCCAAAGCCGCCAAAACTGGGCGCAGTTGTAGCGGGCGTTGAGCTCGCGGGCGCGTTTGCGCCAGTGCTGCTCTGGGCATTACCAAACAGGCCTCCAGAACTAGGCGTCGAGGAAGAGCCGCCGCCGCCGAAGAGGTTCGAGTTCGCCGGTTTGTTGCCTGTACTGGAAGCGTTTCCAAAGAGCCCGCCGCTCGCCGGTGCCGTGCTGCCAGTGTTGCCAGTGCTACCACCGCCACCGAAAAGCCCACCACTTGGAGCAGAGGTTGTAGCGGTTGTGTTGTTGCCAAAAAGCCCTCCCCCGGAACCCGTAGTCGTGCTGCCCACACCACCGAAGAGACCACCGCTGCTGGGAGCACTCGTACCCGGCGCCGAAGCAGGTTTCCCGAAGCTGAATGATGGCGTGCCACTTGTTGCTCCAAAGGGACTCGCCGCTGGGGCAGTGGAAGTGGTGTTGTTCGAGGAGGCCCCCGAAGTCGGTTGTCCGAACATCTTCGCTGTTATCCTGTCGAAGTTGGGCGCGAAGGTGTCAATGTGATTGTGCGCGACGCAGGGAGCTTGAAGTCGTGAGCGAAGGCAAGGTCGTGCTTAGGCGCAAGGCCGAAGCAATGGTTGGACGAGATACGGTTTCAATAGCCAGAAAAATCAGAATACAATGCCAACTGATTGATTGTCAAAGGTCTCTGCGGATGAGGTGAGCTTGTCAAACAATCTCCTTGGGACGGCTTGAATGTTTGTGATGATGGTTGGGTCTTTGTTGAACGAGACCTCCACGCGCTCCCAAGAATTTGCGGTTACGGCGCGCCGCAAACTGGAGGTTGGAGCGTGCTTTGCAGCGCAGATGTTAAGCCACAAACGCTGCGCTTGTTACGCCACACCTGCCTGGTCACCTACCGGGCTGGTATCGCCTTCCCGACAACGGGCCTGGGGCGCGAGCTTCGAGGCCCACTGACCCCACGTGATGATGGACGGCATCAGGCAGGCGATCGCATGTTCTCGACCTAGATCAACCTTACGGACCTGCACTACCCTTGTATGACACTGCATTTTTCCATCAAGTATCAAACCTGTGTACAAGAGCAACGGGAAGCGTGCCGAGCGATATGCCGTTCACCTGAGCCCTGGTGAACTCGGCTTCAAAACCCCTTTTCGAACCGACCGATCTCGTTGAGCGCCCATCCACTACCTGTCTCGCGAGGGCAAAGTATCTCCAACAAGCAGCATGGCGAGTCCAGGAGAACTCGATCCACCAGTGGATATTCGGAAGCAAGAAGATACTGGAGCCCATCAGCTAGGTAGGCCTAACCTATCCCAAGTGAAGACCTACCCGGCTTATACCACTGTAGCAGATCATTCCGACTCCGAGGACCACTTCACAGACGCCCAGTCAGCCGCCAGCGCGCACGGAAGCTCGCCCGTACCCACTACGAGAGTCGAGAGAGTCGATGACGAGCCTGCACATGGCGAGGTGCCGGGTACCGAAGCCAGCAAGATGAGGGAGGGCGATGCCCAGCCTGATGAGATTGCGGTGATACCCGAGGATGACACCGAATCACAAAGCACTGGGCACAGTGAGAAAGTACCGGCGACAGTTGTCGAGGAGGCGCCTGGATCGATGGGCCCTCGATCGCAGGAGTTCGTGGATAAGAGACGAGCGGACGCTCCTCCTGACGTCGTGGTGAGCCCGAGTGCCGAGGAGAAGGGCGAGGTCGACGGGGAAAGCAATCATGGTATGGGTAAATGATGATCTCATGAGTAACGCAAGATCATGTATTGACGATTCTTCCATAATTATAGACGAACTTAATTCACCATCGTTACGGGCACCTGACTCTGAATCCGCGCCCGCGGGCCGGCCGAGGAGAAAATCTTCAAGATCGATCAGGCCAACACTCGACGAAGCCAGTGATTTTGGCGACGATGCAGAAGATGCGTTTGGCGACGATTTCGATGACTTCGAGGAGGGCGCTGGGGACGATGACTTTGACGACTTCGACGACGATTTCCAACAACCAGAGGCCCAGGCACACCCAGTACCCGCGGCGCCTCAAAACTCGCTGCCATTTGTACGCGCCCACACTGCGAGGGGACTTTGATTATTTGCTGACCTGGAGCAGGCGATACCGGATTTCGAGGGCCTCAACGCCGATGATATAATGAGCTCTACCGAGTCGTATCTGGCGTATCTCTTCCCCCCCGAGGAACTCGATGTACCGGAATTCCCTCCCTTGCCCAAGGAGTCAACGTCATTCACCACACCCCGATCCGCCTCATTATGGTCACAGCTCATTGCGCCGCCACCACTTGCACCACCTGATTGGATACGTTCCCGTACGCGTCGATTGTTCCTGGTCTCACTCGGTGTCCCGGTCGATCTCGACGAGATCCTCCCTGCCTCGAAGCAGAAGAAGCTTGTCTTGCCGTCATTGAGTGTGCCCTCAGGGGCCTCACCGCGCACGTCCAGTGACTCCCGGTCTGTATCACGCTTACGGCAGGGCGAAGGTAATGCCTCATCCACGTCTGTAGATACACAAGGGAAACCAAAGAGGCGGAAAGGGCCACCTCCACCGCCTGATTTTGACATGGTGTCCGCACGGCATGCCTGTAAGACTACTGATGAGGCCTTGGACGGAATGACGAACCAAGAACTCCAATCTCACGTCACAAAGCTGCAATCGCTTGAAGCCACTGCAAAAGAAGTGTTGGAGTACTGGACCAAGAGGACAGATGAGAGGATCGCTGAAAGAGAGACGTTTGAAGGCGTCATTGAAAACTTGGTGAAGCATGCAAGAAAGGTTCGCAAATAATTGCTAGTACTTAAGACTCGGGTACACCCTTGTAGGAATTCAAATGGGACTTCACATTGGTCATATCAACAACACTGAACATTCTAGCCGCTAGCCTGTGCCTTCTACCCAGAACTCCAGTCCGTGGAAAGAAAGAACCCGACCCTCCGCTCTATGTTAACAGAGGGCCCTGCCTAGGCGTCGCCAGGCGCTTGGATGCAGAGACCCAACACAGGTGACATACCGTTGTCTCAACCTCACTACGTAGAGCCAACAGCTGTCTGCGGCCGGTGTTTTGGTACGTACGCACTCATCATCGTAATCGTGATATCCTCGTGTGGAAAGGAAATTCCGCTTCTGCGCCACGGGAAGCAAACCCCAACGCCAACCACATCTAGGGACACGCCTAATCTTCAACAGGCCTGGTTCTATGTGCCACATCTCGACCTTTTTCTTCCGTGCAAAGACCATATCTTTCTTAGTTGCTGGGCTCTACGGTAACACCGCTACAAGGAAATTCAAGTCAGCACAGACCAAACACTGAATAAGGGTTCCAATGATTTGACTTACGCTCGGATGAAGGCCCATCCAATGAGACGCCAATGCTTGTCGATACGGCGAGACAGCGAGATCTTCTCACCAATGCTTGTGCAGGCAGGGGTGGTCAGAACCAGCTTGGCGGCATCGTGCTTGATGGCAGAGACCTTGGCACCAGTTGACGAAGAACCAATGTTGACCATGATGACTTCGTTCTTGACCAGCTTGGACACCTTGGCACCCTTGCCATCGGCAGTGCGCACACCCAGCAGACGACGCAGCAGGTTGAACTCAATCTCAAGCTCGCTGTAAATCTCGGGCAGAGTGCCCTTGAGGCCGAGAACGAAACCAACCAAACGATCGGCACGGCACAGAGTAGGGTCAATACGTGTACCCACACCAATCAAGCCACCGGGCACGGCGTACTTGAGGTCGTTTGTTTCGGAGTTGAGCGAGATGACGCGGCTGAAGATGGGTGTGCACTTGAGCGCACCGCTGTCGTCGCGGGACACGATACCGGGACGAATCTCGACCTCGTCGCCGAGCTTGAGGACACCGTGCAGAATGCAGCCACCAGCGACACCACCCTTGAGCTCGTCGATAGACACACCGGGCTTGTTGACGTCGAAGGAACGGATAATCATCATGCGGGGGTCCATGGAGAAGTCGCGAGGAGGTACCTCGATGGTGTTGACAATGGTGTCAAGGACGGCATCGACGTTGAACTTGAGCTGCGCAGAGATGGGGATAACGGGTGCGTTGGCTGCGACGGTACCACGGATGAATTTGCGGATCGACTCGTAGTGCTGCTTGGCGTCCTCTTCCCGCACCAAGTCGACCTTGTTCTGTAGAATGATGATCTTGTCGAGCTTCATGATTTCGATGGCGGCCAAATGCTCAGCGGTCTGGGGCTGAGGGCAGGGCTCATTGGCTGCGATGAGGAGGAAGGCGGCGTCCATGACGGCGGCACCTGACAACATAGTGCTCATCAGAATATCGTGACCGGGGCAGTCGACGAAACTGAACTTGTTAGACGTCACGTCCTGTGCTATTTCCATGTTCTGACTTACGAGACATGTCGCACCAAGCGGTATTTGCCCTCACATCCGGGGCGCTCGCAAGGGGGGTCGACCTCCTTGTCACTGCCAAAGCTCCTGTAGCAGCCTGGTCGGGGGCACGCCGAGTTGTCGCATTTGTAGATTTTGGCGTTGGCATATCCCAGCTTGATTGTGATGTTGCGCACCAGCTCGTTCTTGAAACGGACGGTCTGCACACCGGAGACGGCCTTGACGACCGTGGACTTTCCGTGAGCGACATGGCCGATGGTACCGATGTTGATGGTGGCTTGGCGCGCAATGATTTCGGGCGTGAGAGGCGAGAGCGTCTTGACGTCGAGGTCCTTGGGCTCTGTCTGGGGGGGCAGGTAAGGCTTCTCGTAGGCGGGGCCAGGAGCGAACGTCGACTTCTTGAGGGCCGACTTCAAGGGCTTCTCCTCGGTGAGGCCCGCATCGTCTTGGCCATCGAAAGACTCGCCAGACTCGGACTCTGACATGGGGTCGTCGTACTTGTTATCTTCGGCAGACATCTTGGCGGCTGTTGTTGTTTGCGTGAGTGATGTACCTGGTGATGGCCTGTCGTACATCGTGTGAGCAAAAATTAGTGGTGGGGGTTATGACTCTTTGGAGGCCCCATATTAACTAGAAAAATGGAGGATTTTGATTGGCTCAGAAATCTCCCAAGGTCACTTCTCGTCGACTACGTACTACGTAACTTAGTACGAGCAGCAGCGGTGGTCAGGCCAGTATTCGTCAAATGTGTAAATCAGTACTATGGAATAACTTGAGGTTCAGCTGCTATGGGCGCAGCCATGCTGGAACAGCCGAACAGCCTTGATCATGTATCGAGGGTAACCTCTGCTGCTCTACTACAGTAACATCCTTCGGAACCTACAATGCCCTTGTCAGACACAAGAACATAGTGCTTTTCCAGGACCGTGTAACTCCAAGCTTCAAATCGAGGGACAGGTGAACAGAATAAGCGACTGAATATTGATTACTTGTACTTTAAATAAGGCACATCGCCTTACCTTTCACATGGGCTGCATGGTAGAGGTGTGTCCTGTGAAACAAAGCGCGGGGTAATCCTTATCGGCTTATCGGCATGGCAAGCTCACGCTGAGTCTCGGTGTGCACTGTGCAGGCAAAGTTGTTGGAAACGACGCCTCGAGGTCCTATCTAGATCCTGAAAATTGGTACTCTTCAATGCCGGTTTCCAAAGCTGGTGCGATCTGTCGAGTCTTATAGAACCTTTCTTGCCCCTCGCATGCTGAGCGTTGACTAAGTAGTATAATCGACGCCAAGTACGTACATCGCTGAGGCGGTTGGCTCCGGTATTGCAACCCTAGCTCAAGCCCGTGTTGCCAATCAATACAACTCCTGCCGAGAGGCTTACTACTGTACGGATTCTGCGTAGGCGATTAGGCTGAGAGGTTGATGCAACGACGGGTAAACCTTGGCTATGTACGGATAGACGTGCGCTAAATTCAGCTCGCAGGTTAGGTAATTAATAACCTTGCAGCCCAGCTTCCGGAGACATTCGACGGCAACGTAATCGGGTCGATATTGCGCTGACTGCGATCTCCATGTCGGCAGCTACGGATCAAATAGTACTTAGTAGAGAGAAGGGAATGAGCGTACCGCATGAAACATTTCGATAGCAAAGAGAGCGACGACGAATCCCGACATGTCGTTTACCGCCCAGATCTGCATGTGGCTGGAGCTCTGGGTGCTCATCACGGCTGTGGCGCGTCTCATTGGCTGCCGGCAGGTGCAGACGTCGGCGGTTGTGCAGACTGTCCGCCAATAAGGAGGCATTGCCAGCCTCCAGGCTAACCCCAGCGGCAGGCGGTTAATCGCCCGCCCTGGCCCGCTCCAGGGTCCCTCCAGTCCAACGACCAATCAGCCCCTCATCGCCCGACGCCCGCCTTGCTCTTTGCAGATTCAAGCAGGAGACACAGCAAAGTCTTGGTTGTCTTGCTGTTTGCCATCATGTTTCTCCAGTCGTTGGCAAGGATATGGCCGTGGAGGTGCTGCAATGGTCGTTCTTGGCTCGAGGTCTCGCCACTAGATACTCCTCAGCTCGCCATCCTCACATCGAGTCAAGACTCAACTCCTCCCCAGTCGCAAAACTCCTCTTCTCGTGGAGAACGCCTTTAGTTGCCTTGTTGCAAGAGCTCTACGTCGAACAAGTATATGTGATTCTGTCTTCGCTCGCCAGACTACGCTCGCTGAGTGACGCTATTTTGGAGTCCTTCCGGTACTCGAGCTTACACCAATCCGCTGGTTCACACGGCTAGCCGCCGGGTGGGAGCGTCGTGGGCGTCTAACCATCCACATCTGCTGGTCACTCGATCTTGATCAAGAACCTGCCTATCAGGAGGCGTCTTCGTGGTCTGTCAAGCTTCTAGGTAAGCCCCATCTCCTCTCTCCCCTGTCATGGGCGCCTGTCTTTCGTCGAATGGGCTGCTCTCGTTGCCGCGTCACTCTGTCGCTTCAAAACCCAATGCGTCCCTCTTCGTATGCCTTGGTCCATTTTCCCTCTCCCTTCTCGGATAGCTGGTCTCTCTATCTTGTGTCATTCTCCTTCTCTTGCGCAAAAGCTTGCCGTAGACTGTGTCTGGGCATACTTCCTCATCAACTGCATCGATCTCTCCTCCAGTGGCCGACTGCATCTTTCGAAATTCTTCATATTGGTTCTTAATACTCATTCTCTACACAATGCCGGGACGAGGTCCGTCACATGGAACAGGAAACACTGAAAGTGCGAGACGACTGACCAGAACTGCAGACGAGAAAAGGCGGCCTGCCGCCCTCAACCTCACACCAGCACGCACTGGTACATCGGACTCTTCATCATCAGACAACTCGCTCAAGCCGCGGACGCCTCGCTTTATGGAGGCCACGACTGTACACTCGCCTATTGAAGCAAAGTCCCCCTTCGCAGACCCCGAGAAGTCACACATGGCCCAAGCGCAACCAGGTGACATTGGGTTCGGATACATCAACAACCGCGAGTCCATAGCCGTGCCAATGACGCCCAAGACTCCCCTCAAGAGCGCCATGAAGGTGCCGGGGACGCCGGCGAGGAAGTTTGACAACCCCCTCAGCCCGACATTCCGTGAGGACATTCTCGAGAAGCAGGAGAGCGCCACGGACAAGGAGCAGGCCCGCGACATCAAGATCAAGACCCGCGTACGCCTCGCCAAAGTTGCTCTCCGTGGTGTCAACTTCAGTTGCGCCCTGATCATCCTTGCCATGCTGTCCTCCAGTTTCGCCATCTTCAACGCCACCAAGACCCTGCCCAGCCAGAGCAAGATGCCCGCCTGGGCCGAGAATACCAATACCTGGCCTCAGATTCTGGTGCTGGTCATGGCCTGTCTGACACTGCTCGCATGTATTGTTGTGTTCTGTGCCTACTTCCGTGGGGGTCACAAACGAGCTGAGAAGGTGGCCACCTACTATACTATGTTTGCACTTGGCTGGGTACGTACATTCCTACCCTGTCCATGCTTCACCTTACTGACAGACACAGTTCATTGTTAGCATGGTCTTGTGGGCTGTCACTGCTGCCGTCTTCCAGAACTCGCGCAGTAACTCAGACAACAAGGACATGTGGGGTTGGTCCTGCGTCCAGAATACCCGTTCAACTGTCTACGGTGACAAGGTCGACTACCAGCTCATCTGTCGCCTCCAGAACTGGACCCTGATCTGCATCATCATTGAGGTTGTGATCGAGGTCATCTGCATCACGCTCTACAGCATCGTCTTCTACCGCTACTACACCAAGCGCCGTCTTGCCAAGTCCATGGATCTCCGTGACCGCGCCCGCTCCGATCTCTACCTCGCTCAGCTGCGCAGCCAGTCCGCCCCCAACACGCCCGGCTTTGGTCCCAAGTCTCCTGCTCTGAGCCAGTACGCCATGTCTCCGCGTCACCCCCCGGCTGCCTTCCGCAACCTCGCCGACATTGAGGAGAGCCCCTTTACCCCTGGTGGTCGTGTTGCCGAGCCAAGCTCGCAGTTCTCTCCCTCGCAAACCCAGTCTGGCTTCGTGCTCCAGGCTCCCCCAGTCAAAGCCCCCTCGGCAACTCCCAAGACTAAACAGGCTGCGTTCGTCGCCGAGGAGCCTGTCCGCCAACCCTCACCTCCTCATATTCATGTCCAGCCTCCTGCTGCAGCAGCAGACGACGAGCCCGTCTATGATGCTGTGCCGATTCCCGGCGCCTACGCTGGCCAGGCCATCAAGAGCCCGCCGCCCAACCAAGTTTCCTTTGGTCAGGCGAGCTAGGCGATCGATCGATGGATGGCTGCGTGCGTTGCATTTACTGACATGAACTTCTCTGGGCTGGCGGACTTTTGGCGGGGCATTATACCAGGGGCGTTACAGGATCATTCATACACACCCGAGATGTGTGGAAAGAAGAAACATGGAATTTCCTCTTGGACACAGGCATCTCTAGTTTTTCGTATGTATAATTTGGTATGCGCTCAATAGGCGTGATGAAGTAGAATGAGCTAGAGAAATGAGACATTTACACAAGATACCACGAGCAGTCCCAGGTGTTCGCTGACGATGATGGTGATGATGATTCGATGTAGTTACGGCGAGAGAGATAGGCGTGGATAGCAAGAACAATCACAGCAGGAGGCGACACAGGCATTTTTAAATTTTTGATTCATTTCGTGAGAAGGACCCCGTAAATACATAAACAGCCGCGGAACAGCATAAAGGTCATTGCATTACTTTTTGGCGGCCCTGATGCACCTTTTTTTGTCGTTAAGGCGCTGAGGGCTTCCCGAGCCTTCATCACGGTGCCATTCTTCATTGCTTTCTCCCCGGGCAGAGACGTCCCCAGACCACATTCCTTTTTGTGGCAGCCTGGAATAGCCCTCTAAAAACGGAATCGAAGTTCTATCATCACTGGACAGTAAAAATTCTGACAAATGAAAAGTTTTGTGCCTGAACAGTCCTTGTGTCGTCGAGTCGCTTCAAGTAGATAGGGCTTCGATGAGCGGGAGGACCCAGGCGTATACGTCGTATTCAGACTCCACACTTAGATGAGGTCGGCCACGTTCATGGGCATTTCCTCAATCTGGGTGCTGTAGAACTGCTCGATCTCGCGCATCATGCGGACATCGTCGGCGGTGACGAAGTTGATGGCGACACCCTTTCGGCCGAAACGGCCACCACGACCGATGCGGTGGATGTAGTTCTCACGGTTGGCGGGGAGATCGTAGTTGATGACCAGGGAGACCTGCTGGACATCGATACCACGGGCCAGGAGGTCAGTGGCGATCAGGACACGGGAGGAGCCGGAGCGGAACTCCTTCATGATCAGGTCACGCTGAGCCATCTCCATGTCACCGTGCATGGCCGAGACAGTGAAGTCACGGGCAGTGAGCTTGTCGGTGAGCCAGTCGACCTTGCGGCGGGTGTTGCAGAAGATGACAGCCTGGGTGATGGTGACGGTCTCGTACAAGTCGGACAGAGTGTCGAGCTTCCACTCCTCCTTCTCGACGGCGATGTAGAACTGCTTGATACCCTCAAGGGTGAGCTCATCCTTCTTGACGAGAATACGGACGGGGTCGCGCATGAACTTGGTGGTGACCTCAAGGACGTCCTGGGGCATGGTAGCGGACAGGAGCACGACCTGGGTGGACTGGGGAAGCAGCTGGAAGATGTCGTAGATCTGCTCGGTGAAACCACGCTGGAGAACATTGTCAGTACGTTGCATCGCATGGAAGGCTGGATTCATCTTACAGAAAGCATCTCATCGGCCTCGTCGAGGACGAACATCTTCATGGAGTCGGTGCGCAGGAAGCGGCGCTGGATCATGTCCTGGACACGACCGGGGGTACCGACAACGACCTGAGGACCGTCCTGGAGGGCCTTCATGTCATCGCGAACGCTGGTACCGCCAATGCAGGCGTGGCACTCAATGTTCATGAAGTCGCCAATGGCGACAACGACCTTCTGGATCTGCTGGGCCAGCTCACGGGTGGGAGCAAGGATCATGGCCTGGCAGGCCTTGACGCTGGGGTCGATCTTCTGGAGGACGGAGATGGAGAAGGTGGCGGTCTTGCCAGTACCGGACTGGGCCTGGGCAATGACGTCGTGGCCCTTGATGACGGGCATGATAGCGCGCTGCTGGATGGCAGAGGGACGCTCGAAACCGTAGGCGTACACTGTGGGAATTTGGTCAGACTTGTTTCGTTGATTTGGCCAAGGGCGCTGGACTAACCACCACGGAGGAGCTCCGACTTGAGGCTCATGTCATCGAAGGAGTCGACAGTCTCGTCGTAGTTAGACTCGATCTGGCCTGGAAACAGAGTATCAGCATCGCGCTCATGATAGATGATTGGTGGTCGTTCGCATCGCATCGCCGCTTGGACTATTTCCTCGTCGTCGCCTGGATGGCGGGGCTGACTGGGGTTTGAAGCAGTCGAGGGCAACAAGCCCACAACCCTTGGCGACTTGCCCCTCAGTCGCCCACGCGGGGAGCTTGTACCAAGCGACAAGAGCGACAGGACGAGACCGATAATAAAATGGTGCGCAGGATCTTTACTCACCCTCAGCGACATCCTCGAGACCTTTGTCAGCCATGATTGCGGTTTGGTGGTTATAAAGGCTAGATCAAGCACAGCTCGACCTAGACTTGAGAGATCGTGGGGTTGGTGAAGAGGAAAAAAAAGTCGCAGAATCCTCCAACGGGGGGCTGCGAACGGGTTGCGAGTAGAAAGTAAAGTCGACTAGATCCAAAGGCACTCGAGTAATACGAGGGCCGGCTGAAATCTAGGAAGAGGTTCTTTGTTCTTGGATGATCAGGATTTTCCCTTTGAAGGTTGAAGGAGAGAGAGAAAACTTGGGTCGAGGGGCGCTCTTGAGGTATGGGATTTTTTCGACGAGTGGCCTGCCCGCTCGAGTAGTGGAGCCAATCACGAGTCTCTGGAGGACTTCAAAGTGGGCCTCACCGCTATTCGCGAATTTTTGGGTTTCTGACTTTTTTTTTTACAGCACCTCTCTCAGTAGTTGGGAGTATACTGACACTGGCGGCGCCACCAACAATTGACCCTGTTCGACAATGCCCTGGCAGTCCAGCCCCGTCTTGTGACATTGGACATGAGCTGAGAACGAACAGTCATCTTTGAGCCTCACACACCCCTAGAGTCCTGACTTGCGACAGCGTATCCCTGGACCACACTTCGACATTTATTTGTGACTCACCTTCTGGGAGCATTGAAGCTGAGTTTAGCTCACTAGACTTCACGCCTAGATACCCGCCATGCCTTCAGCCGTGCCTGTTGAGAATGGGCTTGACCAGGCATCTGACTCTATTCCGAGTCACCCTCTAGGAGTCAAGCCTCTGGGCAACCAGTACTTCCACGGTGGTGAAATCGCTAGGAGCGCCATTGGAACATGGGCCTCGCTTCCTGATGAGATGCTGACAGTCCTACTCGAGCATTTGGATGTACCTGGTCTTTTCAACCTCGGGCACACTTGCAAGTACTTTTACGCCTTTTGTCACCTTGACGACTTTTGGAAAGCGCTTTTCCTGTAAGAGACCACCCAGGACGAGGAACCCGCCTTATGAGTCGATCTTCACGTCACAAATAGATCAACCAGAAATCCCGGCCGCTGACATGCCAATAGGTCACAACAAGCCGACAGTGTCAACCCAGTGCGCTGGGCCGGGACTTGGAGGTCAACTGTGCTAGGTCTCCAGGAGCAACCTTGCAGGCAGATCGACTGCAGCAACGTTTTTTCCGATGTACTGCACCGACCCTTTGCTTGCAGTAATATCAATCTACAAAACTACGTCATGGGGATACCCAAAGCAAACCAGATTCGACGGTTTGATAACCTGAGCTACGAGGAATTTGCAAAGCACTGGACGAGCGAGCCGTTCGTCTTGTCGCAATGTATCCAAGATTGGCCTGTCACCTCTCAATGGACTATTGACAGTCTGCTGAAAGATTATGGCGACATCACTTTTCGGGCGGAGGCAGTGGACTGGACCTTCAAGACTTACTGCCAGTACATGATGGATAACGCGGATGAAAGTCCTTTGTATCTGTTCGATCGCGGCTTTGCCGAGAAAATGGGCATCAAGGTCGGGCGAGATGCAGACGACGCAGCCTACTGGCGCCCTGACTGCTTTGGACCGGACTTTTTTGAGGTCCTGGGGGACGAACGACCAGCTCATCGATGGCTCATTGTCGGCCCTGAGCGAAGTGGCTCGACATTCCACAAAGATCCCAACGCCACGAGCGCTTGGAACGCTGTGCTCCAGGGGTCAAAGTACTGGATCATGTTCCCTCCCACTGCACAAGTGCCGGGCGTCTATGTCTCCAAGGACAGCAGTGAAGTCACGAGCCCGTTGAGCATTGCCGAGTGGCTCCTGACTTTCCACGAGGAAGCAAGGCAGTTGCCTGAATGTGTGGAGGGAATCTGTGATGCAGGAGAGATCCTGCACGTACCAAGCGGCTGGTGGCACCTAGTGGTGAATCTAGAGGCTGGGATTGCCTTGACGCAGAACTTTGTGCCCAAGTCGCCGAGCCTGCACCACTTGTCCGAGGCCATCTCTTTCCTGCGTGACAAAGCCGATCAGGTGTCGGGTTTCCGCCCTCACATTGAGAACCCATACGAGCTCTTTGCGCAGAGACTTGGGTCAAGCTACCCCGAAGCGCTCGAGAAGGCAGTGGAGCTGGCAGACCGGAAGAGTGGCAAGAAACGGAAATGGGATGCTGCCGTGGCTGTTGACGAGACGGAGTCAGGGGGTGGTGGATTCAGCTTTGGCTTTGGAGGCGATGATGATGACATTCCGTGAAGAGGACAGTGGAAGCTCAGAGCTGTCTGAAGCCAGCGCAACCTCGGAGATATGTTATTTACAATGCCTTCTACTTACCCCACGAGGGCGACCTCGATTGACCAAAGTAGTCAAGATAAGATGACGAAGGGTAGTGGCTGCAGCGGCCATGATCTACATCCACATATTAAGTAGGTTAGACCATCACCGCTAAGAGTCTTAAGACTCCTGCGAAGATGAGATGACACAACTTGAAGCCCTTGAAGATCCTAGCTCTGCTCCCTCAGTCGATGCCCCATCAGATACTTGTATCCATTAGTGATTCAGCGCCTGTATCGTACTACCTTAATAATATATGCTGATGAGCGCAGGTCAACTACTGGTCTAATAGTACGTAGCACCTAATTCAGGTCGTTGCTACTGGACTAGACTTGGTGATCGTTCGCCCAGGCTGCCATTCTTACTGGAGCGCGGGCCAGGCCACGCTAGGTTGACCACTGGCCCTGGATGGCCCACCTGAGCTCCAGTCCCCGCAGGCTCGATCGACCCTTGCTTGCACTGGCCTGGGCAGGAGCAGTTGGCAGCAGCCCCGAGCAGCAGGAGCTCTGGCCGAAAGTCCAGTCCGTCAAGCAAACTCCCATCACCGACAGACAACTTGAGCCAACCATCAATGCCCATGTACGATCATCGCGCGACGCACGCAATGTAAGCCGCTCGACGGCCACTTGGTTGCGCATTTCCATCGCCATCGTTCCCGCGCCACTGCTCTACCTGTTTAGCTTTGTTCGTGCGCCTTCTTGTCTGCGACATTTGCGTTTCATCAGCATCTCGTCTTTGTCCAAAGAAAAGGGTCAGTGCCACAAGAACGCCCCCCTCAATCTTAACACCCCCGGATCTGTTCCCATCATTCCTCGTACTCAACTAGACCATGACTGACACCGGATCAACCATCCAGATCATCAGCCGATTCATACGTTTCGTCCTTCCACTTCCTGCCCCCTCGACCGTCGATGATCCGAGCCGCAACCTACTTCCGCAATAACGCCACGCCCAAGACAGACCCTTGACGGACTAGACTGCGAGGCGCCTTTCCCGAGTCCGATACCACCGACGCAACGCCATCATGGTGTCCGACGAGCATTACGACATATGCTTGCCCGTTCTGCAAGACGTCAGCCTTGAAGATGAAGACAAGACCGACAAACTGGAGGAGGTCTTGAAAGCGCAGACAACTCTGAGCGGGCGCTCGCTGGACAACGCCGTGCTCGACGTTCTATGGAGGTACAGAGACGGCGGGGCTGTATCGGCATCGCCTCCTCCCATCCGACACTCTATTCTCCGCCGAGGCTCACCGTTGTCGTTTCGATCCCCAACTCCCATGTCCGGCTCACCGAGACTAGGCGTGAGTCCGCTTGCGCCACCGGGCTTTGTGCCTTCCTCCTTCAACCGAACAGTGGCGGCATCGCCTTTCTCTTCTCCCCGAGCGTCGCCCCGTCCCGTCTTCGCAACGCCCGTCGTCCCACCAGCCATACCCCACAGTCCGAGCCTTACAGCTTATGAATTCGCAAACGACCTGACGCCCGCGACAGAGATTCTGGGGGACTACCAGACAGAAAATGTGGAATGGCTCACCAATGATGATGTTGCCAGCGTCACCTCTTCTGTGGGCACACCTAGTGGTCTCAACGCGACGGCTCCGGAATTCTCCTCCTCCATGTCTTCGCAACAGGTGGACATGTCTCCGTATGACATTTTGCGTTCCATCCTTGGCCACACACGCAGCGACGAAGATATCGAGACCGCTCTCGCGGCTCATGGCTACGATCTCTCGGCAACTATCACTTCCATCATGGAGAACCAGCCATTAGACGAGGGCGCACCGCTTCATGACGAACCTAAGAATATCCTGGTTGGCAAGTCTCTGAACCCTGAGGCTCGCCCCAGCACGCCTGTTGGTCCAGGAAAGTCGGGCGTGATTTGCAAGTTCTACATGTCGACTGGTCAATGTCTGCGGGCCGATTGTCGATTCAGCCACGACCTCAGCAATCATCTGTGCAAGTGAGTGCCGCACCTTGACCACGCATTTATGACACGCACGCTAACGTTTCCCGCGGGTACTGGATGATGGGCAACTGCCTCGCTGGGGAAACATGTATTTTTTCCCACGATCCGACCAAGCTAATGACGAAGCTCTCGCTCGACGGATCGCAGACGCCGCCTCTGAAGGGACAGAAAGACCTGCAGCTGGGGGACTTTTCCTCGTTCCCCTCGTTGCACGTAACAAGTGACCAGTACGGCGAACGTTCAAGCAGCCCAGCTTTCGGCGCTGGTTTGACGCCACCGCCAGGCTTGCGGCCCTTTTTCAGTGGCGATGGCCAGCGCCCACGGTCACGGCCGGGCAGTAGGCAGCAGCCGAGGGAGCCCGCGCCCATTGCGCCGGCGCTAGACGACACGGAGGCTTTCCCCTCGCTAGGGTCTGCATCACTGTCCAAACAGGTCAGGAAGCAGCCAGGCAAACGCACAAAAGAGAGTGCTACGCCAAGCTCCTTGGCCGACGTTGTGAAGATGAGCCCCTCTCCAGCCTCGTCGCCACAGCTGGAGCCCAGGAAGCTTGCACGAAACGGCAGCGCTACTGCTATCAAGAACGGCGAGAACAGTGCAGCTGCGCAGTCCATCCCCAGCCCGAAGCACATTCCGTGGCTGGAAACAGGCGAGCGGGCCAACAAGGCGTACCTCAAGGCGCGCCAGGAAGCTATCAAGCACGGCGGTCTCCGCAACAAGTTTCTACAGAGGTGGGTATTTGCTTGAGCTTGTGATGTATTCTGTGTCTGACTTGGACAGTGCTGCGCAAGCCTGGAACCGCAACGATGCGCGAGCAGCCAAAGCGCTGAGTCTCCGTGGTCAAAGCGAGAACGACCTTATGCGCAAAGCACACCGCGAGGCCGCACGCGAGCTATACGAGGAGCGGAACAAGAATCGCACCGGGGGGACAGAGATGTACGTCGATCTGCACGGACTGCACCCCGAGGAGGCCGTCGAGTACCTGGAGAAGGTCCTCTTGGAGAGCAGCAAGGAAAGCAAGCCCATTTATGCAATCACCGGGTCCGGACATCACAGTAAGAACGGCAAGGACAAGGTCGGCAAGGCTATCAGAAACTTTCTGAATGAGTGGCGGTACGCTTATCGCGAGTTTTCGGTGCCTGGGGACCGCAACAGTATGGGCGGTATCCTGGGCATTGATCCCAGGAGCTGGGACAAGACTCTGGCCAAGGACGGCGTGAACGGCCCTGCGGAGAAGACCGCACCAGTGGACATTCTCGATCAAGCTGTCGAAATTGGGGATGGCAAGGTGAGGCTGTTGGTGAGAGAGCCGCCCAAAGGCCCCAGCAGGCGGTGACGACGCCGGCCCAAATCAGTAAAAAGAAAATCCACATCTACAGTTATCACAAGTCGCAATGCAGTGTTTACCTCGTAGCTCATGAAAATAAAGGGGTCCGTCAGGGGTCCTTCACGATCCAACGCACGTGGGGAATCTTGGTCATGAACAATTAATTAGTGGGGGCAGTACCTGCCATTTGTTGCTCCGTAGCTGCCGGTCATCGTCGGCATCCGTCATATCTGCCTGTCTGACTGTGACTGTCTGTCTCACTTCATCCAAGCAGCCACTCGCTCGCTTCATCATCACCAAACCGACCTGCGTCGCGTCTGGCTGGCTGGCATTTCTTACCTGGCCCATTCCGCCGTCCTGGGATCTCTCGATACACGTTCACATCACGACATTCGTTCGTCTGTCCATCTCCCTCCACCCCGACTGCGACTGCGACTGCGACTGCGACGCATGCGAGCCACGCCAAGTTCATACCAAGGCAGACTTGTTCTCCCTTGACCAACAAGCACGCCAGCCTTCCACGAGCCACCGCAACGCATCGTCGTACAGAAGATTGCCATTATGCCGGCCGACTACTCCACGGCGGCGCAGAACCTCGCCGTCTCTCCCTCCAATTCACGATCGTCCTCGCCGCCGCCGTGGGCACGCCATGGCTCCTCGAGCAACGTCCGCCGTCTCTCGTCCGCGCGCTTCCGCAACTCGCCACGGCTGCGCCAGGCGTGGACGACCCTTGACGCCTGGAACAAGTACACCATCGAGACATACAGCCGCATGACCGTGCTGCAGCGCATCGTAGCCGGCGCAGGCATCATTGCCGTCTACGCCCTGATCATCCTGGGTTGGGTCTACTCGCACCGGCTGTTCGACTGGCTCGCCGGCGTGTCGCAATCCTGGCGCGAGCTGCGCGGCGGCTGGCTCATCATCTTTGCCCTCGTCTTCGCCGCGGCCTTCCCGCCCATCATAGGCTACTCGACGTTCACGACCATCAGCGGCTTCGTGTACGGGTTCCCTTGGGGATGGCCCGTGCCCGCCCTGGCCTGCACGGTAGGCAGCCTCTGCGCCTTCATCGCGGCCAGGACTGTCCTGAGCAAGACGGTCGATCGCATGGTGGGCAAGGACGCGCGGTTCGTGGCCCTGGGCCAGGTGCTGCGGCGGGACGGCATCTGGTACCTGACCGGCATTCGCTTCTGTCCGCTGCCGTTCAGCATGAGCAACGGGTTCCTCGCCACCATTCCCAGCATCACGCCTACGGCCTTTGCGCTGTCAACGGCGTTGTCGAGGTATGTTCACCTCTAGTGCAGATTGCACACACCCCACTCCCTAAACAAGGACGAATACTGACTCCCTCTCTCTAGCCCCAAGCTGCTCGTGCACGTGTTTATTGGGAGCCGCCTCGCCATCCTCGCCGAGTCGGACGATAAGATGTCATGGGGCGACAAGATGGTCAACTACCTCAGCATGGCCGTCGGCGCCGGCGTCGGCATTACCGTGGGGTACATCATCTACAAGCGCACCATGGCCCGCGCCGCCGAGATTGCGCACAGCCAGGCCCGGGAGGACGAGGAAGCCGAAGAGGGCCGCGCGCACGGTGCCTACCTCGACCGCGAGGACACACTGATGGACCCGGAGGACGCCGCCAACCTGATGACGGACGATGACCTGTCGCTGTGGGAGACGCAGGTCGACGAGGACGCTGACTATACGAGTGACGGTCCCAAGTCGACGAGCAAGGCGTCGAGCCCTAATGAGGCTGGTCGACGTTCGCCTTGGTGAGCATGCATATACGAATGACATGATTGCGATTCGCACATTGGATATACTAGGGTTCACTATACGAGATGGGACAGGGATATGACTAGAAGGTGGCGAGGCGTTCCGGTATCCAAGACAATAGATGGATGGGGGGCCTTGTTTTGAATATAGCACACACAAAGCCCATTTTGATACGTGCGAAGGAAGACCTTGTGATTAATATTAAAGCAATGTTTGTCTGTCTGCCAATCTGTCTGTCATTGATTTCAAGTTAAATAATCATATGCTATGCTAATGCCCAACGCCGTCGCTTGTGAAACGAATCGCTATTACAATTTGCAAATTCTCAAAAAAAGTTGGAACAATCATGGATGGCTGGGCCTGTATTGGCTCATGATCTGCATGGCCTGCTCGACAGGGTAGCCGATGAAGACAGGACCGTTAAAGACCATCTGCGGCGTACCAGACGTCGCCTTGACCGAGTCCGGGCTGATGAAGGCGGGTTGCGCCAATGGTGTTGGCTGAGGGACAGACTCCTTGGCGGGACTCGGTGTGTGCGGCGCCGGCGGGTGAGGCGTCCGCGTCGTGGGAGACGTGGGTCGCTGATGACTTGCCATGCCCGCCGCCATGGCCTGCATCTTGGTGTGGTCAAAGGGACACTTCTTGGCCGGTGTCTTGGCGCTCCGCGAAGGGCTGGGCATACGGACGGGCGCGGGTGGTGGGGAGAAGGGGACCTGGTCGTCGTCGTGTGAGTCGAAGACGGGGACACTGATGCCCCAAGGACGGCTGGGCGACTCGCCGACTCGAACTTCCTTCATCGGGCGGTCGAATCGACTCTCGCGGTCGCTCTCGGCGTTCTCTTCGACGACCTCGTCCGCGGCCGAGCCGGTCGTTTCGGTGATGGCCCGAGCCCAGTCCTTGACGCGCTCGTTGGAGACCTTGTCCACCTCGCTGGGACGGCGAGGCTGACCTTGCTGCGATTCCGGCAGCATGGACTGATGCAGTTGGCCGAGATCCTCAATCATGTTGATCATGCTACCGTACTTGTTGTCGAGCTTCCGGATCTGGTCTTCGTTGTGCTGATACCGGCGGAGGCAGACCTCATGGCTGCGAGGCAGCTCATGCTTATGCGTCTCCACATAGTGAGCAATCTCCTCGGCCGAGTGCTGGTCGAGGAAGCGGATGGGACACTTGCTACCGTTCGCGTCCTGTGCGCCGGTAGTTTGCGACGTCGCTTCCTCGTACATGGCCGCACAGATGGGGTCGGCGGAGTGATGTGGTGTTGTGTCGGGTGGCATGTTCTTCTCATGGTCGTCCGCCTCGTGCCTCTCGCCAGAGGCCACGAGCGGCGGCGGCTGGAAGGGACAGTCGAGGTTGCCCCTCTTGCCCTGGACGGTGAAGTCCTGCTCCAGGGCCGTGGACATGGAGCTCTTCTCCTCCCCCGAGGTGTGCGAGTAGGCGTCTCGGGTGGAGCCGGTGGTCTTGCTGGCCTCGCCCAATGAAGCGAGCTGCGACGCAACACGCCGTCCGTCGCGGATGACTAATGCGACCTGATGCTGAGACTTGGGTGAGCCCTTTCGTGGCAGGGGCACGGATGAGTTCTCGTCGATGGAGGTGTTGTGAGGGGGCAGTTGGAGATGGGCGAGTGCCTCCGTTATCTCTGGCGTTGCGGGAGCATATTTATCGGCCAGGTACTGCAGCTTTACGAGGCGAGGGGTCGTTAGCAATGTCGACATGTGGAAAGGTGCAAGGTGTGTAAGAGGAGAAGGGTTCCAAAGGAAATAAAGTATTGTCAGAGGTTTGAAAAATGTTTTCACTCTTGGCAGACGATGCTGCTCGTGATCTAGAGCTAAAGATTATTCATCATGTTGGAACGGTTGGTGGAATGACGCGGGAGGCTGCTTGTATGTATGTATGCGACTGCGTTCACCCAACTGCTGCAAAGGACAATGACTGGTACGAGAGAACCCCTACGAGGAACCCCAACCGACCGACGTGCGTGATGTGATGTAAGCATCCCGAGCGGTCTCGGCGTCGGACTGAAGGTGGTGCCTGCGGAGGGACCCAAGCCGAGGTCGCAGCAGCAGAGGGTGAGCACAGTACCTGCAGGTACGTACAAACAAACACACGCCTGAAGGGGAACTTGAGAGACGGAGAGGGCTGGCTTACCTGCTCGTGTGCAAACCGAAGCTTGTGCTCGAGGACGATGCGACGGTCATTCAAGCCTTGGGCCTCATCGGCCAGCTCATTAAAGGCATCGGCAAGGCTTTGGGTGAGCTCGAGATGCGAGGCGCCCATGCCGAAGGATGCCGGAGGAAAAAGGTTGCGGAAGAGGCATCGCGCTGAACGGTGGATGAAGAGAGAAGGGCGGAAGGGTTTTTTGGGCACGCGGCGGATTTTGGTGCTGGAATGGAATGGCCCGGCCAGAGTTGATTCGGTCGGCCACAAGCCACATCCGCACGGTGCACGCGCGCGCAAGCCACATCAGCCACAGGACGCTCGCTCATGGCTTAGGCTACATCCTCCTCGCAGCCATTCGGCTCAAGGTCGCTGAACAAGTAACGCGTGGCTTTGTGTCGTCCAAGCCAGTTCATCCTGGTCAAGAGCCATGCTGGAGACTCGTCCACGGTCCGCGGACTCGCCTAGTTCATGTTGGCGGCCACACGAATGCCACGGGCGCGCCACGGACTTCCGTGGCTTCATCTCCAGGGGTATATATACAGCAGCGAATTCACGAGACAAGCAATAGAAATGCCACTTCACATCGTCCCAAGCATAATTCCTTATTTCAAGGAGCAAGTAGACGTTTACTTCTTACTAACTTTGCAATGTCCCGAAATATCCTCATCACCGGTGCAGCTGGCTTCATGTACACCGCACCAATCCCTTATACATGTTTCTTCGCCCATCATGCTAATCATAGACAGCGGTGGTACCATTCTCTCCCAGCTACTCGAACGCCAGGACGCAAGCACAATCTTCACCGTCGTACGCACGGACGAGCAGGAGCAGCGCATCTCTCCGCTGGGTGTGCATGTCCTGAGGTTGGACTTGACAGAGGAGGAGGCTGTCACTCGCGCTATTCTGGACAAAGATGGTACGTACATACACCAACTAGGGTCAGAAGGACAAAAGCGTTGATCCAGAACTCCTCAGTGGATATTGTCATCAATACCGTCAGCGCCGTCGACCCTTCCTACAGTCTACCCTTGATCGCAGCCGTTGGTGTCAGGGCGGCCAAGACAGGCAAGGCACATTCTGTCTACATCCACGTAAGACTGGCCGCCAGCGTGGTGGAATATATGCTCTGACTCGTCCGCTACCGCGTAGACATCGGGTGCCACTGCCTTTGCCGACAAGTCAGATTGGACTCATGGCCCCGTCAACGATACGGACAATGTCTACAAGCTTGTCAAGGAGACATCGACGCCCTATCCTGTCCGCCAGGTGCCAACCCCCCCACATCACCATGAGAAAGCAGCCCGGTGTAAGGTTGACCACTCATAGACTGATGTCGCCGTCGTCGAACAGGCAGAGAAGCACAATGTGCTGGCATATATCATCGTGCCGGGCTTGGTTTGCACGTCGACCCCCCTCTTCACCGAACCCAGAGGTCTCTCACTAACTGGAGCAGACGGTCGTGGCACCGGGCAATGTAACAAGATCTCTCTCCAGATCCCTAGCATGATCAGGTCCGCCATCTCAAGCAGGGTTAACCACAAGTTCTCAGAGAACGGGGTGAGCCAACTTCTTCTTCTTCTTGTCCGACTTGCGCGCCGGCACTGCTGAACCGAACACACAGCGCTGGCCGGGAATCCACGTCCAAGATTTGGGTCGCCTCTACGTAGCTTTACTCGCGTCGATTCAGCACAACACAGCCTGTCCGCCATCGGGAGAGCAAGGCTTCATATTCGGAACCGGCCACAGCGTCTCGTGGTGGGATGTCGCGGAGGGTCTGGCGCCGCACCTGTACCGACGCGGCCTTGTTGATGGCCCACGAACGGAGCTCTGGGCAAGCGACCAAGAGGCGTCCAAAGGACTTCTCGTTCCACAAGTTTTCATACCGATTGGTTGGAACTCCACGTGCGTCTTTCTCTCCATTTTTTGGCGTTTGGTTCATGTGATCCATGCCATGCCCGCATAGATGTTGACCAACGCAGTGCCTACGGGACCTTTGCCAGGGAAGACCAAATACCATGGAAACCGGAATGGACCGCAGAACGATTTACCAAGAGTCTAGGCGATGAGATCCAGGCGACCATCGAGGCGGGTTCCTCAGCCAAGACAGCCGCCACGTACGCTCCTGCTGAGTAGCCACGAGCACCTCCCTGTCCCTGACGGACGATAATCGAGGAGACGAGGACCTCCTGCACAGAGAATCTAAATGAGTAACACAAAAGACACGTCTTTGAATAGTTGTTCGTAGCTATAATAGTATTAATGCCTTGATTCTAACACATTTGTCTTGCTTTCCATCAAGACTTCTTGCGCCAAAGGCTTACAAAGGACTCCTGTCGCCTGGACGGTCGCTTCCAAAAGCACGCCTCGTTCCCATACAGGTACACGCTCCATGTATTCCTTTTCGTTGTAAATGCCCAATCAAAAACGCCTTTGCACACCTCGTGCAACCATGCAGTAGCAAGATATCCAAGTTTAGATGCCACATTCAGTAAGAAGGCCAAACGTACGCTGCGTCCACCCGCTTCTTCAAGACAGAAGATTGCGTAACGATGGGTTGGCACTTGCACCACTAGTAGGCCTTCCGTCGCTCTCGTGGCGGGAGCCGTTCGATCCACTTGACACTGTGTGGGCGTGGCGTGCTGGCCCTGCCATTGTCCTCACAGGGCTACCCATGGGCGCGGGATATGGTCCTTGACGAGGCGACATACTCGATGTATACGGTCCATTCCGAGGGGGCGGTATGCCGTTTGTCAACGTGTGATGTGGCCCCATGGGTGGAATGGGACCGGGTGGCGGCCCGTGTGAGGAGCTCACAGCGAATGTCCCAGCATAGGGCGAGGGCGGCGCTGCCCCTGATCCGCGGCGGGGAGATGCAGGGACTCCGTTGGTGAAAGGCAGGGAGCTGTGCGCAGGACCGTGATGATGGCCCATCGGCAGTGGACCTGGTGGTGAAGGACCTCCCAGACTTGGCGGTCGAAGTGCAGACATGTTCCCAACAGGAGGCGCGCCAGCCGCCGGACCACTCAGACGCCTTGGTGGCGAGCCATGTTGGCTCTGAGGGCGCGGTGGCCAGTCATGATACGAAGGCGCTTGGGGGGCCTGGAGGGGTTGCGATGGCACGCCGACTGGGGGTGGCCCGTGGGCCGAGACTGGAGAGTACCCAGGGTGTGCGTGAGCAGGCCGGTGAGGCCCGTTCAAGTGTGTCTGCACAGGAGCATGCGCCGCCTGTACGGGCTGCAGAACGGACGATAAAGACGCGGGCTGCAGCCACCCTTGGACGACCGAACGGGGTTCTCTGCTCTCGACATTGTGTGGCTGTCTCTCGGGACTGCGGAGTGCGACAGCTGACGCAGCAACAATGCCCGCCTCAGGGAGCTCAGTTCTCGGCGTTGGACGCGGTGGCTGAGACAAGAGGGCAACAGGCGACTTGGGCCGCATTGGAATCTTGGCGGCGTGGCATTTGTGACACTGCACTGTCCGTTGAGAAGCATATTTCTCTGCCTCCTCGCCCAAGTGAACACCGTTCAACATGGTATGGAAGGGACCTCGGCCTCCAGCTCTGGTCGCAGCGTCGATAGGCCACCATCGGGGGCTTGTGTCGACTCCGCAACTGATGCACACCTTGTCGCCAGCCTTCTCGTCTGTCGGGATGTCAGGGGCAACTCCGGTGCGCTGGCCAGTCGCGCCGTTGCCCACAGTCGTCGTCGTGGTCGAAAGCCGTCGGAGTCCTGGTTGGAGAGCCGTGGCGGATATCTTGGCCGCCATGGTCACCGTGTTGGCTTTGCGTACAGTTCCCGTCAAGGTCAAGTCCGCTTGTTTGTATGTCTGGACGTAGAGTTGTATCACGCTCAGCGCAGGATTATCAGTCCGACCGTGCATTTGATGGGTGAGCGCGTTCGTCTTGGCCGGGGGGTGATCCTTGCAGCAGAGGCCGGGCGACAGTACCCCAGCTACACCGTCGATGGTAACGAGAAGGGACTGGTCTCTGCGTGACCCTTTCACAGGCAGCAGCTCGAAGCCAAGCTGGTGCCCTTGCTTGTGCGCACACTCAACGTGATCTGCAACATCATGTCAGTTCTGCACCGCGCCTCACAGGAAAGGAAACAACTCACATGAAGCCTTGCAAATCATGCAGCCCACGCAAGCACCGGACGGGATGTTGCAGGCGCTGCATGTTTCTTCATACCTGGTGCGTGCGATGGAAGGGATCCCTTCCGAGGGCTCCATAGCCTTGGCGTTCCCAAATTTGACCTCGGGGGTGAACACTGCGCACGTTACGTGCACCCAGTTGTTGTCGGCAGTCCGCTTGAGAGGTTCCCGTGGCCCAAGAGGGCGGTTGAGCTCTTCCTGCTGTTTTCGGTACAGCTCCAGCGCTTTGCGTGCCTGCTGCACCTCGAGCTTCTCCCTTTCGCGGTCCTTGTCTGACATCTTCTTCTTGTGGTGTGTCAGCTTTGGTTGCTCGATCAACTCATGTTCGGTATGCTCCACTGGACAGAGCACGCATCTGTAGGACGTCGACACTTGCGGGTTTCTGTCGTTGACGCACATGTCGCAGGTCCATTTGCCGGCGTTCCGACCGTCCACAACGCCGTAGCACTGGCGGTGAACGGAGAGCCGACACTCGCGACACGCAACGTGGTCGGAAAGAGGCTCAAGCTGATCGCAGATGGCGCACGGCAGTGTGCGAGGTTGGGGCATCGGAGGAATGACAGGCTCCTCGGGGACGACCTTCTCCTTCTTCTTTGCGACGCCTGTGCCACCGCCACCGTCAGAGTCCGTTTCCTTGTCATTGCTCTTGAGCTTTTTCCTAGGCGGCTCGGAGCCATTGACGGCATTGTGGACAGGGCTTTCCGGTCGATCAGGCGTGGCAATGCCCCGAGAGCTCGCAGCTTCAAGTTCCTTGACGAATTCTTCATCGAGCTTGCGCTTCCAAGCCTTGTTCCCGGTCGCGCCGGCCTTTTTGGCGAGCTCCTCGTAATCTTCCCACCTGATCGCATAACGCCTCCACAATTCGGCGCAACGAGTGCAGAGTGCTTGGAGATACTGCGTGCCTTTGTCTTTGCTCGTCGCCTTGACGCCATTCTCATTGACGAGACCAGCCGCAGCGTTGGGCGCGCGTCGCCAGCGCCGGGAGGAAGTAGAGTGGCAGAATTGACACATGAAGTTCTTCTTCATCTCGGACGCTTTACCGGAATCGAAGGCAGAGTCATCCTCTGCGTCGGCAACATCGTCGGCTAGCTTGTGGGCTGCCACAGCAGCTTGCTTGGCTTCCTTCTTGGCCTTTCGCCCCGTGACGTTGCTCCAGATGGCCTGGCCTCGGTCGGTCTTCTTCCAGGTGTAGTAGTACCGAGTGATGTGGCCGGGTGTCATGGTCTTAACATGCCTCTTTACAGACCAAAGCTCTGAACCGTACTTGCCAATGGCCTCGTCAAACTTCTTCTGTTCAGTCGCTGTGGGTAACGGCTCGTTGAAGTCGGCCTTTGGTGTGGCAGCAAGGGCTTTCTTCGCTTTTTCTGGCGAATAGTCCTTTCGGTACAGATGCTCCAAGGCCACGTCCTGCACGTTGGTCGACCTCTCTGGTAACCCGAGGCTTTTGGCCATGGTTCTGGCCTCCTCGACAAATTTCTTGATTTTGCCGTCGACATCGCCCTCTGGTGGCGGTTTCCAAATGAGCTTTGCAGATGCATTCGGGTCGTTTGGATCGACTGGATCTTGACCTCGCGTGATGTACCCTGGCGGCATGTCCTGTACCCATGCTGGCCGTTGTCCATTGGGGTACTGCTCAGCGGCAGGAATAATCGCGGCGGCTGCTGCGGCGGCAGCAGCGCCTTTCTTGCCTTTCTTCTTCTCGGGTGGTTTCACGTACTGAACTGGCCTCCCGGGCCAAGGCAAAACCACTGCCTGATGGCGAGGTCCAATTCTGGTGCCGGCGCGGGGATGGATACGGTCATCGTAGTCCAGCACATCCTCGACCTTGCAATGTATGCCGAGGTACCGCCATGGCCATAACTTGGCATTGTGGACTTGCTCCGCGGTCGCCTCGTGGGGTGCGTCTTCATTTGCGTCCACAGAGGTCGAGCGATCCGAACCAGCCGCTTGGATGTCTTCTTCTTCCTCTTCCAAGTGCTCTTCTTCCTCGGCGTCGCCGTACAGATTTGGCGTGTGTCGAGCCTCGAGTGCAATTTCCTGCTTACGACTGCACGCGGCACATGACCAGCCAAACCCACGGGACGGCTTCTTGAGTAAGGGTGGCCGGACGCACTCCATGTGGTACGTTTTATGACACACGGCGCAATCCACCGAGTTATTGCTACGCACAGGAGTGTCAGCGCCATTTATTACACTGAATGTCTGGATGGAATTCCGCCTGCGACTGCTTGCCCTACCGCACCGTACCGGTACCTCGACAAGGGTGTTGTGGTGGCGTCGACGCCCAGCAAAGAGTGGGGCGGCACAAGTCGTGCAGCAGGACCCCAAGAACGGAGGTCGGACAGGGAACAAACAGGTAGGGAGGGAGGGGTGGGGGGGATACGTACCTTGCGCAATAGTTGGAGCAACGCTTGCATGTCTTGACGGCGCTAGTGAGCTCCTTGCCACGCCCCTGCTCGACTAGCACAAACCGCCAGCGCTCATCCAGCACCTTCTTGACCTTGTCGGGCACGTTGACGATTTGGGACGTCGGGATCAGGTCGTAGTTCTTCTGGATGTATCTGTCATAGAGTTTCTCATACCAGAAGCAGTCGGGCGTGCGTCGATAGTCGTCCAGATTGCTGATTTCCGCACGATGAAGGATGCGACATTTGCCGCGGAGCGAGGTCAAGAACTGGGTATCGGAGTGCATCGTCGCAAATACCAGCCGCATATCGTCATATCGACGGCCAATATCCTTGGGCCGGTAGAACCAATTGACTTTGATAGAATGCACCGGGTTGGTCTTGTTGCCGTCAACGTGGAGGAACTCCATGATGCGAGCAAGGTAGTATGGCTCGCCAGCTGGCTCGCACACCAAGTAGACCTGGTCTGTGAATGCATGTTAGCGAATCTTGCCCATGGAAATCTGCAATTTTGCGCGACAGTCAAAGCGTGGTGGTGCAGTGCGTGTGTCGCTGCTGGGCTGGGCTGGGCTGCACTGCGCTGCGCTGCGCTGGGTTCTCAGATTGCGTCTCACGCGCCAACCGGCGGATCGTGTGATGATCGCCAAGTGCCTGCCTGCCTGCCACATCCACAGCCAGCCACCACCACGGCTGCTGCCAGCCAGTACGTACCATTTGCCTCCAAAGTTGTCCCATCGTCAGCGACCAGTCGGTCGCCTTGCTGCAGGCGTGCCTCAGTATTTGAAAAAGATAGTATGTTGGTTTCGGGCCACGGAAACGTTGTCGCTGAATTTTGTGCGGACGGGGCTGCTCGCTTGGACGTGGTGGCGCCAGCTGGCGTGCTACCACCGGTGCTGGATGCCTGTTGCGCCGCAGTCGCAGCCTTGCGCTTCCTCGACGGCTGCGTCGTGGCCGTCGTCTGTTCCTTTGATTGCGACGTGTTTTGTCGGCTGGGTGTCTGCTCTTTGGACCCGTTTTGGGGTGCAGCTGTTTTCGCATCCTCGCCCAGCGCCTTGCGCGAGGTCGCGTTACCGCGATCGCCCTGGCCAGCAGCCTGCGTCTGGCGCGCCGACTTTTTGGCGTCCGTGTGATCGTAGTCATACATTTCCGCGTCATAGTCACGGTCCTCGGCGTAATTGATGCGTGAATTGCCATTCCGATTGCGAGAGCGGGTGCCATAGCCGGCAGCCAACTCCAGACTGAGCTCCTTGTCGGAAGCCTCAGTCGATGCCATGGCGCTGGGCTCAACAGAACCCTGATTGCTGTCCGGATCGGCGCCCTTGGCCTCCTGCTGTGTGAGATTAGTAGCTGATTGATGGTGGCGGGCTGAGTATGTGTTTGGCAAGCGTGAGAGAGCAGAATGCAGATTGAGCTGGAAATTTACATGGGCCGCCCAGCAAACGCTGAATGTAGAGGGAGAGAGCAGAATATGAACTTACACTTTGTTGGGCCATGACTACAACAGTAGTGCGTGAGATTCACTAGGGTGAGGTGTGAATCACAGGGTTAAGAGGCATGCTATGCCTGGGGCGAGGTGAAATGGCACCGTCGCATGCAAGATACCGTTGATGATGAGGTCGTTCGAGCCAATGTGACTGTGGGGTGGCAAGGGATGGGATGAATGTATCGTACTTAGAGAGGGCAGAATGGTCAGGATGTGAAGAATACGCTTGAATCAGGTCAGTGGAAGAAAGCAAAGTCGGTAAGGTAAGGTATGGGAGGAAAATGGTGACGGGTGGAATGTCTGGCAGAGGCAGGAAGTGTAGGAGGAGGAAGAAGGCGGATGGGCAGGTGTGGATGCAGATATGATGAGTGAGGATGGGAGTGGTGGATGTGTGGCCTCGGGACTGGACCTACTAAGACGGGGGACGCGGACGGGACTCCAGCCAGTCTGTTGGTACCGTACGAACGGACGATGGCGCGCGCGTGGGCTGGCGAGGTAGCAAGGCAGAGAGCAGGAAGAAAGATTGGGCAAGGTTTGTTGGTATAGTATGGTATAGCATGGGCGTGACAGGACGGGCACCGTACGGTACCACGTCTGTTCGCGTTGGATTTTGATTTGTAGAACTTACTGAATTGTTGTTGCTCCAGAAAGGGCATCAACGGTCACAGTTACACACTCCAGGTCTCTGGTCGAGTGCAAGTGACGGATGGATGGTGTGTGGAGGACAGAGAGTGCGTAAAGTGACAAGTCGACAGGAGAAAAGGCAGATATTTGATAGGCACGGCCGATCTTGAGGATCCGAATGAGAATCAGACAGACTGGACAGACAGAGACAGCGCAGAGCGCAGAGCGGAAAGTCCCAAGGGGACCGAACCTAACGCTCTTCCCGTCGTGCGTTCTCTGGTGCGCCGCTCCAGTCCAGTCGCTCTGTCCTGGTAGGTACGTATTCATTCTGGCGTGCCTTTGATGAGTGGTCGCCCACTGCCCAGCCTGGGGCTTTTCCTTGGAGCACCCGGGGGTGGGCTCTGGCCCAGGTCGCACTGCAGGCTGCGCTAACAGCGTTGCGTGTCCCGCAACGCCTGTCTCAGATACCAGACATTTTATATCTACTTCCGCCCATCCCCTGCTGCTGTCCCCACGCGGGCATCCTGGCTTTGCACCAGCACCTCAAAAGCTTGCAGCGCCAGCAACAACCGCACGCACACCGTCTGCCAGATTCCCGCCCGCAGCCCAGAAGCCTTCCCTCAAGTGCTTTCCCCTTTGATGTACTGGAGGGCATCTTGACCCAGCCCCGGCCAACACTTGCCTCCTGTACACTTTAATTTTGCTTCCCGTACCCAAGGAGATCCGAATTCCTTCTTGAGACAGTCGAGTCGATGGTTTTCATAAGGTATATGTCAGTCTATGATGCTCGACTGCACCTACGCTCGTCGCCAGCAAGTGCCGGTATCAGTCCACTTTGCTCCGGCCTCGCCTTTTCTTGCCCTGTAGTAATTTGCAAGTTGACTTTGGGCTTGGTTGGAGTCAATTTTGTTAATCCAGCCAAGAGACTGTAGTGCGTTCGGGCAGTGGGAAAGCCTGGCCTGGTGCGTGTCTCGCGCGATATCGACAATGACACACCATCGCAGGGACCCGCTAATAAGCGCGTTCTCAGCCACCCAGTGACACCAGCAGGCTCGGTGCAGATATCACGATCAAATGTTCAGAGCGTTGGCGGGAACTGTCCGCCTGGATTACTGCATTTCACATGTTCAGCGGGTTATAACCATGGTCCATCGCTTGTCGAGTCCGTGGGAAATGGCAAGGCGGGCTAGTACCCGTCTGCCAGTAGGCTGGGTGCGGTGTGGCAATCCTGCCGCTTCCTTCAAAGACATGCAATCATTTGCCCGCTGAAAGACTATGATGACAGTGGGCATAACAGAGGTGCCAGAGGCGCACAGCATGAGAGAAAATGCCTGGCGGCCACGCCCACCACTGACCAGCCAGGAAGAGACTTTAAATGAGATACCAGCGCATCCGCATTTTCCGCCACCGTCTCCCGGGCCCCGGCTGCCGGTGCTTTTGGCTGACTTCCCTTGGCGTCAATCGTAGCCTGAATTATGACGGGAAGGAAAGCCTTGTCTGTCCACTCAATATTACCGATTACCGAGGGCGCCTGCCAGCCCCGATGTAATAGGATCTTCAGGGCGAATTCCCAGCATCAGAAGCTGGACGCTGGGGCTTTGGCTTGTACAGTAAGGAAGCATCACACTCGACCGTAATGATGGCTTGAGTAAGCTCCCACTAGTCATGCTGGTCCAGAAGACGGACCTGGAGTTTCGGGAATCCACTAGGCGCCGTGCGTCGTTGGTGTGTGGCCACGTTAGTGCCAAAAACGACGACAAGACTTTGCCAGGGATCGTCCCACCTCCCACCACGTACCAGCTGGCAGCAGCCAACAGCAAGCGCGAGGAATATCAGTTGTTCACGTGTACTGCCAGAATCAGACACACGCACGGAAGGGCCGCTCCTTGATCGCCCTGGCCCATTTGCCTTCGGCGAACCCATTTCGCGACGTCAAACACTAATGGCGCGGATGATAGATCATGTGGTATTAAATGGTGTCCGTAGTGAATAGTGATGACCCCCGTTGGGGCGACCAAAGACAATCCTCCAAATGGCACCTACCAGCAGCCGGAAGGTGAAGGAAGACACTCGTGCCCATTGCGTTAATAAGTACGAATATGCGCAGCACAGATAGATGCAATCAAATTCATTTCCCTCAAACGGGGTGTCAGTTGGGGCAAAAATTCAGTGCGTGGCGATGCTCCCGTGCCTACCCTGCACAGGAGGTGCGTAGGGTGCTGGCTACGTCGCTGGCGGCTTGATAGCATCGCGCAAATGGTCCGAGTGGTAGCTCCATCTCTGGTTAGTCAATCATCGCGCTGCCTTGTGCATAGCTGACTGGCCTTATGTTTTGCATGATTGTATGTTTTTGTCTCGCTCGTACAATATGTACTTGATGAGCTGCACGACGGAATCAAAAAGCAAATGAGTCGCCGAAAGAGTTCACCAACACTAGAAATAAGTCCTTTGATGAATCTCAAAGAAACCTCGACAAAGGCAAGCTAATAGTAAAACACGCGTCGATGTTGCAAATACAATGTGAGTTGACCTCCTCATAATCGTCGTGCTTATTATTTGATAGACGTCGTTCGAACACACGACCCCGACCAGACGGCACCGTGGGGCCGCACCCGCCGCTTGACACGCCGGCAATGTGACGCCACCATGGTTTCGACAGCACAGGCAGCGAGCTGCGGTGAGCCGAAACCAGCACTCACCACGAAACCGCCAAGTTTGTCCGACGTGCGACACTAACTTAAAATCTACCAGACGAGGAACGTGGGATGCTTATCTCAACGGCAACTTCTCATTTCACGGCGCTCAATCTCAGCAGCGCTGCTTGGCTTGCTCAAATCTCATTGCTGTCGCATATTCCCGGTGGTCTGGTTGGCGCAGGGTTTCTGCCGCCGGCCAATGGCGGGCCGTGGGGCTGGCCGCTGGCCTCGATCAGGCCCTGCAAATCGGCTGCAGCCTTTCAGGTCCCGCCAGCCAACCAGAAGCTGCCAGCCGCCCCTGCCTGTGTCAGGAACGCCCCGCGTCAGTGTGGCCCCGAGCATGTGGGCATGCACCAATCAAAGCTCGTCATTTCAACGCAGTCGCCCCTAACCTGACGTCGCACCTGTCTTGGGCTTGATCCGTCGTCGGGTTGCGATGTCATTTTTGGTGCGAAAGGGCTGGTAACTACGATACCAGGGGGAGATCGAGAAACTTCCACCGCTTTAGACGGAGATATCTGCGCGTGTAGCAGCCAGAGGGGGTGGGAGCGAAGCCACTTGTCACTCGGAGCCTAGGAAGGAAGGCTTGAACTGCGAACTACCATACGGATACTACAGGTAGAATTGGCACACTCTGCTCAGATAGCAAAGCGAGACCGACGCGCATTCGCTGATCCCTACCAGCCAGCCATTTTTTAAAGTGTGCTTTGTGGAATTATCGTATCACTCCAAGAAGGTATATTTGGAAGTCTTGAAAACTGTGCATGCACCTGGACGGTCACGTGGCTGCGCGCCTGCGCGTTTCCAAGGTACGCTGCCCAAACGCGGTCACGTCACGTCACGCCCTTGCAGGCGAGATCGATAGCACCGTCCCAGCTCGCGTGCATGGCACAATGACAATTTTCAATCTGGAATAGACCGACAAGCTGCGCTCCCACAAAAGTGGCCCATTTGCCGCCCAAATGAGGCTTTCTTGCGCCGCTCACTTTGCTCAACATGAAGAGCATGCAGGGCATCCTGCATCAGACAAGTGTGCAAAATGCCCAAGCTCAGTCCACCACCTTTACCTCAGCGACTGTCGTGGCCGGCCAGAAGCGAAGCTGGTCGACTGCAGATGCTGAGCCACAGCAGTCAGACTCGAAGCCCAGCGGATCTACTGCACCATTCCAGAGATCGCTGAGCCTTCCTGACGGGCCAAGCAGACTGAAACCAGGTCGCATCGTCAACCTGAGTCGATCCCAAGGGCCAACCGAGTATTCGCAGCGTCAAGTGATGGCGGCGACTCCTACGGCCTCTACTGATCCTGAGCTGAGCCTTGGGCACCCGACATACGACCTACCCCCTCAACTGGTTGAGAACTTTGCATCCTTGGGGATCAACCAGATCTACCCGTGGCAGAAATCATGCTTAAAAGGACCTGGCTTGCTCGATGGAACGAAAAATCTTGTCTACTGTGCTCCAACAGGAGGTGGTAAATCCCTGGTTGCTGATTGTACGATTCGCCGCCAAATTTGATACGCACTGGCTGACCACATACAGTGCTCATGCTGAAGCGTGTAATGGAGGAGAGGGGCTCAAAAGCCTTGCTCGTGCTTCCCTATGTTGCTCTTGTACAAGAAAAGGTCCGCTGGCTTCGTAATGTGATCAGTGGCTTGCGGCTCCCGAAACTACCCGAACAAGACGATACAAAGCGGATATGGCGGAGGAGAGCCGACGAGGACTCCATCCGAGTAGTAGGATTCTTTGGCGGAGGCAAAGTGCGAGCAACGTGGGCTGATTTCGATATCGGAGTCTGCACCATGGAGAAGGTAAGCCAGTAGGTGTCTACTCTGCCGCATGAGCTCAACTGATCACAGAACAGGCGAATGCTCTTGTGAACGCGGCTATTGACGATTGTTCAATCTCGTCCCTACGAGCCGTGGTATTGGACGAGCTACACATGATTGACGATGAACACCGAGGGTACCTCCTGGAGTTGATGACCACCAAGTTGCTTAGCCTTGAGCAGCCTATGCAAATCATTGCTATGAGTGCAACCTTGCCGGTATTTTCCTGCCCGTTGCTCAACTGTGAACAAGCTGCATCATGCTGACAGTTGCAGAACATGAGCTTAATGGCCGAGTGGATCGACGGACACTCGTATGAGACTCGCTATCGCCCGGTACCGATATATGAGCACCTCGTGTACGAGGGCAAGGTGTATCCGGCAGCCTCGACGGGAAGTCTTATCAGAACAGCTACACATCTGAGCACGCACACGCAAAGACCGAGTCAGGGGCAAATAACGCCACTCAAGGAAATCGAGAGGTCAGAACACAAAGAGTTCCGCGACCCTGTTCTCAACGCAGTCGTTGCCCTGGCGGTGGAAACGGCCATGACCGGCTTTGGCGTGCTTGTCTTCGCCGGCAGTCGAGGCATGTGCGAGACTGACGCGCGCCTCATCAGCCGCGTGATGCCCCAACTTGAAGAGATCGACCCGGCTATATTGGACAAGAGATTGGATTTGCTGTCAGATCTGCGAAGTCTGAGCACCGGAGCTGACCCAGTGTTGGCAGAGACTGTCCTGTTTGGCGTTGCCTTTCATCGTATGTGCTGCGCCTGAGAGATCCCCGAACGTGTACTGACAAAAGGCAGATGTGCGTCTGCAAGCTCACGACGTGGCTCTTTGCTAATATCGGCGCAGGCAGGCTTGACCACAGAGGAACGTGACCTCATCGCCGGTGCCTACGACGCCGGCACGCTGCTCGTTTGTGTGGCCACTTGCAGCCTGGCTGCCGGAATCAACCTGTAATGCACCCGGCCCCCTGCTTGCTCAAGGAGCTGTTATTGATGTCCTTTAGTCCTGCGAGGAGAGTCATTCTCCATGGTGCACGTATGGGCCGTGACTTCGTCGGGCCAGCCCTTCTCAGACAAATGCGAGGACGGGCAGGACGACAAGGAAAGGTTCCCGTTGGGGAAACTCACCTTTGCTGTCGTGGTAGCGATCTGGAGCAGGTCGTCCAGCTTATGCACGCTGATCTTCCCGAGGTGTCCAGTTGCCTCAACACCGAAAACCGACGTTTGCAACGGTGCTTCCCCTCCATGGTTCGTGTGACGTTGAAAGTACTAACCTCTATAGTGCTCTTCTTGAAGTTATTTGCACCCGTCTGGCCAATAGCTACGAGTCTGTGCGTGACCATTTTCGGCGCTCGCTTCTTCGACATACCCACGGCATAGAGCACGTGGACAAATTGCTGGAGGCTAGTGTTACCGAGATTGAACAGTTGGAGTTTATCGTGAGAGACGAGCATGGGAATTACGTTGCTACTCAGCTGGGCAGGGCCATTGTTGCTTCGGCAATAGATCCGGACGATGGCGTCTTCATCTACAAGGAGTTGAGCCGCGCTCTTGCAGCGTTTGTCATGGATGGAGATATGCACATATTGTACACCTTTACACCAGTGCAGGACTCTGGTGTTCCCGTCAACTGGCAAATCTTCAGGAATGAGATGGAAGGCTTGGACGAGAGCGGCATGAGGGTGTTGAATTTCCTCGGGATAAAACCGACAGTTGTGGTGAGGCTGTGAGTAAGCTGGCTGGGGTGAATTTGGTCCTTACTGACATGCCGTGTAGCGCACAGGGCGCAGTGCTCAAAGAGACGACCAAGGAGGAACGGGAGCTTGCGAGGGTATACCGTCGCTTCTACTTGGCCTTGCAGCTCCGGGACCTCTGCAACGAGATGCCTATTCATATTGTCGCGCGGAAGTACGACATGCCTCGCGGATCAGTGCAGAACCTTTCACAGACCTGCCAGGGCTTCGCTGCGGGGATGATCAGGTTTTGCGATGCCATGGGATGGGGGTAAGTGCCACTTGTGAGAGCTCTCTTATGCGCCCGCGTTGACCAGGATGTAGGGTCTTTGCAGCAGCACTGGACCACTTCTCCGACCGGCTGATGGCTGGCGCACGGACAGATCTTCTTGAGCTAGCCAAGATCCCCTTTATCAAGAGCAGGACAGCGTAAGCGGCAACGCTCATTCACGATCTGAAGATGGTACTGACGCCTCCTAGCCGAGTCTTTTGGGAGAGTGGGTTCAAGAGCATTGCCTCCATCGCCAACGCGGATCCGAAGGAATTATTGCCCGTGCTGATGCAGGCGCAACCTAACAAAATCCGACTGAAGGGGCAGGCCGAAGAGAAGTATGAGGAGAAGCTCATGGCCAAGGCGAACGTTATCTCCAACGGAGCTAATAGGCTGTGGCGTAGGTTTCCCACTCATTCTGTGCGTACCTTGCTAATGTGTTGCAGAAATCCAGATGCAAGCCGAGATGGATTTGGAATAGCATTTACATAGGATAATGATTGTACGAACGTAGAGCCAAGTTTGAGGAGTGGCTTTGGTAGCGGTCTGGTGAGGACAACGTGCCCCACTATTACACCGTGACGGTGACCGTTTGTCTGTCCCTCTCCTGGCGATCTGGCTGCTCACCGAATTGCCTCTGTGTCACCTCAAACGACCATAGACTGACTGTCATGACGCTGGTCGTCGTTCCACCCTTGGAAACCTCAAAAAAGGCCACCCCTCCAATCAGTTCTGCACCAACGTCAAACGTGGGCGTGCCGAAAGAGACAATGCCTCATCCCAAGCAGCACCCCATCCCCCCCGCGACACTCCTCTCCTCGGCCTCTCACCCCGCTCCCGGGCAACTGCTTATTACTGAGCTGACATTCCGCGTACCCCTTGACTACGCTCAGCCAGACGGCCAGCATGTCACCCTTTTCGCCCGGCGTGCGCAGAAATATACTCGTCCTCTCACCAAGGGCGACGGCGATGAAAGCGATGAGGAGAACTCCAAGCCTTACATTGTCTACCTCGAAGGCGGACCTGGGTTCGGCAACCGAGCCCCTCAAGATCATCCGCTTACCCGCCCAGCCCTCACCCGGAGCTACCAAGTCCTCATGTTGGACCACCGCGGGACGGGCATGAGCACACCGGTTGGTGCGGAAATGCTGGCGCACAAGTCCACTGATGAGCAAGTCGAGTATCTCAAGCTCATGCGGCAAGATAATACAGTTCGTGATTGCGAGGCTGTGAGGAAATGCCTACTAGAGGGCCACAAGGGCGACGAGGCTAAATGGTCGATATTCGGGCAGAGCTACGGAGGCTTTGTGGCGATGAGCTACCTGTCCATGCACCCCGAAGGCCTGAAGGAAGTCTATCTCACAGGGGGATTGGCGCCTGTCAAGAGGAACGCTGACGAGGTATACACAGCTGTGCTGCCCAGGGTGGCAAAGCGCAGCGAGGAATACTATGCAAAATTCCCCGAGGACGTCAAGAATGTTTGGGACATTGCGAACTACATTATCGAGAAGAAGGGCGGCAAGGTTGCCCTGCCCTCTGGCGGGGTACTGACCGTTGCTCGACTGTTAACCATTGGCATCGCCTTCGGTGGCCACGGTGGCTTTGACGGCGTCCACAGCACAATCTTGCAGCTCAAGAACTCACTCGACACATTCGGGTTTCTGGCGCGCGCGTCTCTGGCGCCGCTCGAATCGTACACGCCATTCGACACAAACATCATCTACGCCATCCTCCACGAGGCCATTTACTGCAACGGTCCTGGATATGCGTCAAACTGGGCCTCTCAACGCATCGGCGAGCAACACCCCTCGTATCCGTGGCTCAAAGAGACCAAGCTATCGCCAAGCGACGGGCCGCTCTACTTCTCGGGGGAGAACATCTTCCCCTTTGATTTTGAGACCTACCCTGAGCTGAGCGAGTTGCGTGCGGCTGCGCACAAGCTGGCCAAGTTCGACCAGTGGGAGTATCTGTACGACCTGGAGCAGTTGAGCAGGAACGAGGTGCCCGTGTATGCGGCGTCCTACGTGGACGACATGTATGTCGACAGCGACTTTGCGCGCGAGACGGCGCGGTTGGTCAAGGGGACAAAGGTGTTTGAGACCAACGTCATGTACCACAATGCGCTGCGGGCCAAGGCGGACGAGGTGCTGCAGCAGTTGTTCAACTTGCGGGATGATGTGATGGACTAGAGTCACACTGGCTGCTAGGATAGATATATAAAGACCGATTGCTCAATCTCGCACGCAACAGAGGTTGGTGACGATGGTTCTGCGCCTGGCCCCTGAAATAGATTGTGGCGGTGGTGGCTTGAGCCAGTATGCACTATTAACCCAAAAGCGGACTAAAAGCAGACGGCCCCGGTTCCTGACCAACGACACGTGATAATACCTGGTAATGTTGACCAGACTCCTGGCACCTGCCCTCTCTTGTACCTTACACTTCCCTGGCTCTGTAGAGTGTTCTTTGCCTTTTTAATCAGAAAAGAGAGCACGGTCCGAAACAGTTTTGCCCCGTGACATAAAATTCGTCGCCCTCAATTCAGAACATTCTGCCTCGCTTGAGCAGGTCACTCGCTCATCAAGGATACCTAGTGAATGATTAAAGCTGAGCACCGGTATCCCACCCCTCGTTCGAACATTGCGGTACGTATTAGAAGGCTACGAAGGACAGCCGTGAGTCATGCCACCAGTTGAAGATGACGTGGACGAAGACTTCCGGCCGCGACTACTGAGCAAGCAGCCCGGCGTTACCATCATAGAACTCGACCCTGGGATGGTTCGGAAGTATGGCGATGGCGTTACGCGCAATGAAGAAGCAGCTTTGCGAGTTGTGAAGGAAAAGGCCACAGTGCCTGTCCCCGAGCTGCATGGCGCGGACTACTTCATCATTCAAGGAGAAGAACATGGTAGCTTCCTTATGGACTTGACCGAAGGTTGTACACTGCGAAGCCAGTGGGACAGCTTTGGTGATAGCACTAAAGATCGCATTTGTCGCGAGATCTGGGGAATAGTTGAGCAACTGCGACGTATTCCACCGCCGGCGTCGTTCAGTCACCTCTTCCAATGTGGAGCTGACGGTTCTCCAAGCCAAGACGTCCTGCTTAGGGACCTTCACGATCCGCCAGCCCCGATCGAGACTGACGATGTGCTGAGGGCCCGGATTTACGAACGATATCTTCACTACAATGGCGGGTCATTCCCAGAGAACCTTCCGGATCACTTACCTCGCTCGTCCGCCTCTGTTTTCACACACGGCGAGCTCAAACCGCGCAATATCATGGTTGATAGTTCTGGTGGGATAGCTGGCATACTAAACTGGGAACTTGCTGGCTGGTACCCAGATTATTGGGAATTATGCAAATATTCAGCAGCCCTCAAATGATTGGGATTGGATGGGATGGATGGACCGAACAAAGCCTAGTGAATGGGACATCACTGGTATCGCGATGGCAAGGCGAGTACTCTTTTAAGCGAAGGGACGTGGAAGGCTCCTCGCATTGAGAGGCAAGGACAGCCTCAATTGACCATACTTGCTAATAGGAGGGGCTATCAAGCATACCACATCTGTTATTAAGCATACCTGGTGGAGTCCAGTGTGGCGTGATCTACCAATTGCTTGTGAGGCTGCCTATGTGTGCCTATGCATGCGGCCACGAGGCTCCCTTTGTGTGCGGCATCACCCTTGACCTGGGTGGACGAGCATGAATGCCAATCCCGGACTGCCTAGGCAACCCTGTAATACCGCTGCTGTAAGTTCTTTCCGTCTGTCGCGCTTCGTGGGCGCAGCGACTTCGCGGTTAAACTGATTGTATCGCAGCTTGAACACCAGGCCGAGGCTGAGGGCGACGCCCTCATTGCCGCCGCCGCCGTAAGTTCTCTCTTCCCGCGCAGCGCGTGCGCAGCGTGTGCGTAACGATCTTTGGCTTACCTGTCTGGTAGAACAAGCTCACGGACGAGTCTGCCAAAAGCTTCTGCAGGGCTGAAAGACTAGCGTCCCAAGTCTGTCTACTTACGCTTGGAAAGGGGCTCGCCATACTTAGCGATGCGGATAGCATTCACGTTGATAAATCCAGTTGTGTCTTCGACACTCCAATCCATCTCAAGAGTGTACATGCTGCTCTCTTCTTCGCTGTAGAGATTGGATGTCTCGCTGGAGCGGCCAACGATGATGACGTTGCCCTTGTATGCTAGAGCCTCGACCTTACCATCAACCTGCTTCTGGCTGATAGAGATCGACTGCCGAACGAACTTGCGCTCAGATGTAAAGTACATTCCGTTATAGATGCATTGTGCACAGTCATCCTAGAGACGGTCGCGAATGATGCGCACCTTGCTATCCATCACGAGACCCTCCAGGTTTTGATGCAGCTTGCGCAAAATAGTCAGGCCGGGGGTATCGTAGCAACCACGAGATTTCAATCCGATGAACCTCGACTCGACGATATCCTCGCGTCCAATACCGTTAGCACGGCCCAACTCGTTGGCCTCCTTGAAGATCTCCAGGGAGCCAGTAACGGCCTTGCCCCTAACTTCAAGCTTAACGGGAACACCCTCGGTAAAGTGGACGGTGAAGCGAGTGGGCTCATCGGGAGTGTCCAGGGGATCAACTGTGCGCTTCCACATGTCCTTCGGGGGCTCCATGTCTGTTTGCTCGAGAATACCGGGCTCGTATGAGATGTAGATGATGTTGTCGTCCATAGACCAGGGGACCTTGGGAGTGGAGCTGACGGGATGTTCTGCTCCTCGGCGAGCTTCCTTCATACGTATAGATAGCGTTGCACTAGATGGCGGGCCACACCAAGTCGTCAATCAGCTCCTGCTGGACGTTCTCGATGACCATCTTCTCAGCGCCGAGCTTCAGCGCCTTGGCCTTGACGGCATCGAAGTCTTCCTCCTGGCCGCAGTTGCCGAGGAAACACACGACCTCATAGCCTTGAGAAACAAGCCACTTGAGAATGGTGGGAGTATCCAGGCCGCCAGAGTAGGCAAGTCAAACACGTTCGGGAGCCATGATGATTGAAGGTTGTGTGTGTTAGTGCAAGATATCATATAAGCCGAGCCCCATGAATTCATTCATCAGCCAATCAAATGCCTCACGCCGCTGTAGCCTCATAGCCGCAGGACTAACCCGAAAGCGGACTAGAAGCAATGCCCACCCATCCAGTCTGACATGCGCCGCGCGCAGCACCGCGAGTCGTCAGCTCCGTCTGTAACTCCAATAAGTTGTCAATCGACATTTACTTCTTTGATGCTCAGGTGGTATACCCGTTGTGCTCCTCTTCCTGTCAATTCTGTCTTCCCAGACGCTTCAATTGCGGCCCCCCACGACCGGCAGTGGCATCCGAAGCCGACAGAGACGAAACACCACGGCAGCGCCAGCTTCAAGCGCAACGACGACAGTCGACCAACTTGGTCGGGCCTGTGCGACAGCTTGAGCTTCTCAACCTCCCAGCTCGATCTACCCGGACTAGCGTCCCACTCTAGACAATGGCGCAACTCGTCCTCGACCTCTTCTACTCGTTAGGCAACTGCCTCAACTGCTTCCCTGGCTCGCCGACCCTCAAGATCAACCAGCGCAGCTTCAAGATCCTCCGCCTGCTCGGCGAGGTTCGTCTTCCCCCTCCCCTCCCCTACTGCCAGGTAGCAGCTATCAAGCGGTGACTTACACGGTCGTGAAAACAGGGCGGCTTCTCCTATGTCTACCTTGTCGAGGACACAAACTCCCACCAGCTCCTCGCCCTCAAAAAGATCCGCTGCCCCTTTGGCGCCGAGTCCGTCCAGCAGGCCATGCGCGAGGTCGACGCCTACGCCCTCTTCGAACACATACCCACCATCATCTCGGCCGTCGACCACTCGGTCGCCACAGACCGCGGTTCCGGCACGGGCGACGATGCCGCCAAGACAGTATACGTCCTGCTGCCCTACTACCGGCGAGGGAATCTGCAGGACATGATCAACGCCAACCTCGTGAACCACACACACTTTCCAGAGAGGAAGCTCATGGTTCTGTTCCTCGGCGTGTGCAAGGCGCTGCGGTCGATGCACAATTACAAGCCCGCCGTGCAGAGAATGGAGATGGGCACCGAGGATCAGGGAAGCAGCAACCGGACGAGGGGGAAGAGGACGGAGGAAGAGGAGCAGGGCGAACAGGAGAGGCCACTCATGGAGGACGAGAATCACATCACGCAGGGCCGAAAGGTGCAAGCGTACGCTCACCGTGATATCAAGCCTGGTACGTCCCGCCCCGTCCACCTTGCAATAACACGCAGTCACTGACCAAAAGCATAGGCAACATTATGATCGACGACTCCGGCTCAACGCCTGTCCTCATGGACCTCGGCTCCGTCGCGCCGTCCCCGATCCCCGTCACCTCCCAGTCTCTCGCACTCCAGATCCAGGATACCGCCGCCGAGCACTCGACCATGCCGTACCGTGCCCCGGAGCTGTTCGACGTGCGCAACGGCTCCGTCATCGACACAAAGACCGACATCTGGTCCATGGGCTGCACGCTATACGCCTGTCTCGTCGGCAAGTCACCCTTTGAGATGCGCTCGGACGAGACGGGTGGCACCCTCAGCCTGTGCGTACTCGGTGGCGATTGGAGGTTCCCCGACGAGGGACCCCAGGGCGTCAAGAGGACAAACAGCATGAGGCACCAGGGACAGTCGCCCAACGGCGCTGGCACGCAGAACGTCGAGATCAGCGAATCGATCCGCGAGGTTGTGCGGAAATGTCTCAAAGTTGAGCCCGCAGAGAGACCCGACATTGACGAATTGATCAACCTGGTGGAAGAGGTCATCGAGGGCCTGCCGGAGGATGCGGAATAAAACGTTGATTTCTGCCACAGCGTCCCGACTCTACACAATTGTACACTTCGTTACAGCCCTTTGCGGCTGGGTATATTTTCTGATATTATGGGCATTGGCGTTTAGGAGACGGTGATCCGATTTTGCATAAGGTACTACTAATCAATGTACTCGATGCCAACTGTGTTCATTTGCCACTTTGTCGAGCTAGCCCCTTGCCGCCCTATTCCACTCGCTCATGTATATCGCCTGAAGCGGATCCCAGCCTCCCCAGGTTCGTCCTGTCCCTACAGCTCGAGCTTGAAGGTGGCCACTTCGAACGGTCTCAATTTGATCGGGATCGTGCCATCCCTGATGGAGACCTCACACAGCTCGTCTTCCAAGATGTTGACCTTGGTCGCGCGCTTCACATTGAATTTTGTGTGGAAAGTACCCTTGCTGTGGCCACCAAGGGATTCGTATACGCGCAGAATGATGCTCTGGCCCTTGTTCACTCTCAGACCCTCGTGGCGAGTAACGTCGTTATCATCGTGGCCGCGCTTGATTGTGTCGAGCACAAGCGAAGCCGACTCGTCTTCGTTGACCAGCTTGATAGGGCACCCGGCCGACTTGGCCAGGGCTGCCTCGCCCCCGGAGCAAAGCTTGAGGGGATTGTTGAAGGCATACGCTGCCCTGACTGTCGAAGAGCCCAAGGAACCATTGTGTGGGAAGATGGCCCAGCGAATATTGTGACGACCCATGTCTGCATGGGCGTCAGGAGCCTTGGGCGAGCGTAATAGTGACAGACGCATCATCTTGCCCGCTGTGGCGAAGCCATATTTGCTATCATTCAGAATAGATACGCCATAGTTATGCTCTGAAAGATCAGCAAATTTGTGGCAACAGACTTCGAACTTGGCCATGTCCCAGCTGGTGTTGTAGTGCGTTGGGCGCTTGGTAATGCTGTATGCTGTCTCATAGGATGCTTCCGTGTTGACAATATCCACTGGGAATTCAACCTTGAGGAATTTAGAATTCTCGTGCCACTCGACTTCAGCCGCACAATCGACCTGCGACGGCTGCCCCTTGAGCGATGCCGACAGAGTGATGTAGGATTTGAGTGAGCTGTTCTTGCTGATCGTGATATCGGTGACAAGGGTGACCTTGTGAGGCTTCTTCTCATGAATCTTGGTTGTTCCGTACTGGAGCGAGCGTTTGGTACCCAGGTGGTACACTTCCACGTCCCATGCCTGCCAGTACAGCGGCACATCGTCAAAGATCACAAACTTGTTGGCCTCACCACCCTTGTCGATAACTTCACGCTCGTTGGTGCGATCGTAGAGTGAGACAATGACACCGTTCGTAACGACCACGCGCAACTGGTCGTTCTCGAGAACAAAGGAATTGGCGCCTGTCTCGTGAACAGTGACAGCAGGCTGTTCCTCCTGCACGTGGAAGGTCCTCACTGCCAATGTCTGGCCGTCACCACAGGCAACACCAACCTCAGTCTCAGAAATCTCGACGAGCTCCTTACGATGCCAAGGCAAGGTGTTGATGGCAAGCGCCTCGCCCAAAGCGGCCGGCTTAGCATCAGAAATGCCCAGCAGCTCATACAATTCCTTCAGGAGCTTGTTGCCAGTCTTGAACACTTCCGCGTACAAGCTGTCGGAGTCGTCGTAGCACATTTCAATGCAGCTGCCGGGCAGACAGTCATGGAATTGACACAGGAGCACATTCTCCCACATGTCATCAATGTCCTTGGTCGGATACTGATACTTCTTCGTGCTGAGAGACGCAAAGGTGGCCAACTGCTCAATATCCCGGAGCATGACTTCTGTCTTGCGATTATAGTACTTGTTGTTGGCCTGTGTGGTGTACGTGCCACGGTGGAGCTCAAAGTACAGTTCGCCGTACCACGTGGGAAATTCCGAGGCCTTGGACGACAAGCGGTCAAAGAAGTCGTCAACAGTGTTGCCGAGCTTTACCTTTGGGATACCGCCAATCGTGTTGCTGATTCCTGCGCATCGACGCAGCTTCTCAAACTGCTCCCAAGTAGGGCCGCCACCACCGTCGCCTTTGCCGAAGAGGAGCAGGGAGGTGCTGTCGACAGCCATGGTTTTGTGCTGAGTGATACTGCGCTTGACGTCGCCAAAGTTTGCTTCGGCTGTGTAGGTTTCCGATGGCGGCATGTGGCAGATGACCTGGCTCCCGTCTGGGCTCACCCACATGAATGTTGTGTGGGGGAAGTTGTTGATATTGTTCCAGCTCAGTTTCTGGGTCACGAAGCGGTCCATGCCAGCGAGGCGGCACAATTGGGGAATTTGGCTGGAGTAGCCAAAGGTATCTGGCAGCCAGAATGTCCTGCATCTTGCCCCGAATTCTCGCTCGAAAAGACGTTGGCCATAGAAGAACTGTCGGACCAGGGACTCTCCGCTGGGCATGTTTGTGTCATGCTCGACCCAGCTACCACCAATGGGCATGAATTGACCGGTCTTCACCTTCTTTTGCACCCGTTCGTAGGCGGCGGGATAAAATTGCTTCAGCCACTTGAATTGCTGTGCTTGAGAGGCGGCGAAGGTGGCCTCGGGGTAACGGTCAAGGAGGTCACATTGATTTGACCAGGATCGAGCGACTTTGCGTTTTGTCTCGGCCCATGGCCACAGCCAGCACGTATCAATGTGGCAGTTGCCGATGCCAAAAACTACCGGCTCTGCGCCCGTCTCATACACACGATGAGAGTCAACATCGGGACCAAGAATCTCCTGGGCCAGCTCGCGGCACTTGAGTATCGACTCCTGGTCATCGACCTGGAAAGTGTCCATGATCTTCATTGCAACGCTCAAAGCTTTGTTCTGCTCGGCTGAATTCTCGGGTAGCTCTTTGGCGGCATCGCCAATCTCGTGCATGTCCACTTGCAACATGCGCGCTTGCCAGTTCACAGAGACGATGTCTGCCCTTGCGAGTTGAAACCGGCGATTGGGGTCTGGGGGCGCAATGCTCGTTTTACCGTCCGGAGCGTTCCCGAACATACCGTTGCAGGCCATCTCAACGTAGATGGTATGCTCTTTTCCGTTGCGGAAGGATTTGGGGAGAACCCATTCGATACGTTCGCCGCCTCCTGTTAGGCCTTGTAACGGTGTCCCATCTTCCGACCAGATCAAGCCTTCATTGTTCGCATCCCAGTGCAGCTCGAGATGCTCGTCCTCGACGATGTCGTTGGGAACAGTCAAGATGACCCTGAACCAATGAGTTGACCATGATGGACCAAATGAGTCGCCAATGCGCGCCTCGCGAAACTCATGAGAGGTCGCTTCCTTGAACGTGGGGCGCTCCTGGCCCGGCGCATCCCATACAGACAACTGGACATGTGGACGCCCTGAATACCTGCCTTTGTCGAGGTTTCTGTGGAGCTGTCAGCTCAGACAACTTGATCAATCATTGGGGACAAACGCTAGCAAGTTGATCTTCTCGTACTGTCCGTGGTTATAGAACAGGCCGATGCGCTCCTTGAGAATGCTGGTTTTGGGTACGCCTACGGGTCTTGATACCATCCGAGGGTAGGAGTAATCACTCTGAGACTCATTGCCGCCACCCATTTCGTAGTTGTCTGGGAGATGACCCGGTGCAGCTGGTGCCGAGAGATTTGACTGTCGACGTAGCTTTCCTGGCAATTTTCTGTGTTGGCCAGCAGCGGAGGCGAGCTTGGAATAGACAGCCGAGAAGGGAAGTAGGTGTTGGACGGGGGAGTGGACCTCGGGGAGGCTGTCTGTGTCGCTTGAGTAAAGGGTCAGCTAAAGGGATATGTTTGAAATAGTTCCCAGGCCATGTGGTGATTGTATTGATCCGAGGGCTGAGTATGCGCTGTAAACTTTAACGACAAGAGTTTGAAATGGAGCTCTACGCTTTGGGGACGATCTGGTGATGATGATGTGTGCGTATGGTGGTACGGGAATGGACTCGGGAGTGGCTGCCACTTGACCTCCCGGTCAGCTGCTTTGCGGGGGAGCGCGTGCCAAGAATCGACTGCTGCAGCAGGGGACCACAAAGTATGCTAAAAGGTGGGGAGGATACCTTCGCGTTCGGGCAATTGCCCCAGCAACTGAATTCAGATTGCGGGAGATCGGGCACGAGGCCCTGAAAGATGTACAAAACTGACCTCATTTTGCCTGCCCTTTGACGGCTGGAGATGCAATACCTGGGGCGCGGCGAATAAGTATACTGATGCGCTGTACGTTAAGGGACAAGGTTATTCAAAGTCATGAAGATGGCAGTCGAGCAATCAAAGCTATCACCAAGAGTAGTACCTTCGCCATTGGGGACCGGAACTTTTATTCAACAATAAAGGTAAGCACATTGCGATAGTGCTTGCCATTCCCATTCACGTAACGTGCCTTCCCACTGACAATGGTGTCGCTCGACAAAGGTACAAGTTGGCAATTCATCTCGGTTGCTGACGCACTGTGCGGAGAACTCCTCGCAGCCCAAACCCAGTGAATGCAACGCGATGTACTGTTTAAATTACTCCTCGACACTGTGGCTAGGACCACAGATTTCGGTACCTTTTCAATCCAGTACCTTCAACACGATTTGAACTCTACGGTACGAACGCTGCTGGACCATTCGGAGCACCTGACGCAGGAGACACCCACCACACCTGCAGCACTTTACATCTGTAGCCTTCGGCCCTCATGCTACGCTCCTATGCCCCCGCCAGGCTTCGTGCTCGCATTCCCAAAACCGCCCTTCTGACCGCTAAGGGTAGCCACTATAGCTCACGACTATGTGGCGTCGGACCCGCTACCTGCTGTTCGGCCCAGACACATCAACTCAGGGGTAAGAAAACCAAAACCACAGTCAACCTCGCAGACTTGCCCCAAGGGCTCGTGCATCAGCCCCAAGAGGACGCTCTCCAGCAAGAGAACGCCCAAGATGAGCCGCCCTACCCAACAGTGGTGCTACAGGCACGACGAAACATGGACAAATTCGACAACTGCGTCCTATTGACTCGCGTTGGCGGTTTTTATGAATTGTACTTTGAGCATGCCGAGGAATACGGACCTTTGCTCAATATTAAAGTGGCATCCAAGAAAACCAATGCGGGCCCTGTACCTATGGTGAGTACATACAGAGCATACGGGAAAGATTTTGCTGAACATCGCAGGCTGGGTTTCCCTTCTTCCAGCTAGACCGCTTTCTCAAGATCTTGGTGCAAGATCTCAGTCGCTATGTTGCCATTGCCGAGGAATTCCCCAATGATGCTCCCGAAAAGATCAAGTCTGGAGGCCTGATGCACGATCGCAGAGTCTCTCGGATTATCACTCCAGGGACACTTATCGACGAGAACTTCATGGACCCTTATTCCAACAACTATGTCATGGCAATTCACATAGGTGAACCTGAGAGTCCAGACGCGGGCGATCACCCAGTGCTTCCGCTGGGACTGGCATGGCTGGACTTGTCCACTGGCCATTTCTTCACCCAAAGCACAGATGTTGCATCCCTGCCATCTATCCTGTCGAGGATCGGACCAAGAGAAATCGTTCTCGACCAAAGTTTGGAGCCGCAAGTGGATCACCATGTCTTCACCATACTGGCAGAGGACCGTCATCTGATCACGTATGCGCCTGGCGGAGGACTGACCAACATGGCAGACTGGGCGCCGTACTTGGAGTCGGACATTCCTCCGGCCATCCAGACAAGCTTCACGCAGGACGAGGTACTCGCTGGCGGTCTTGTTCTGAACTACGTCAAGGACCGGCTTCAGGGGCTCACCATGAAACTTCAGCCGCCTCTTCGACACGAGAACATGGAGATTATGAGTATCGACAAGAATAGTCTTCGAGCACTTGAGATCAAGCATACGATACGCGATGGCGCGTTCCGAGGCAGCTTGCTGCATGCCATACGCCGCACCGTCACCAAGAGTGGCGCTCGCCTACTTAATGAGTGGCTGAGTGCCCCGTCGACATCACTCGAGGTTATCAAGCGCCGCCAAGACTTGGTTGCGCAATTCATCCAAGACGTCGATTTGCGTGACTCGATAATCATGCTTCTCCGGAGAAGCTCAGACTCCCAACGCTTGGTGCAGAAGTTTGCCTTGGGCCGAGGTGATCCCGACGACTTGCTCGGGCTGGCGGCTACTATCCGCGCAACTGAAGACATTGTCGCTTTACTCAAGCACGCCGGTGCGTTGGCCAGGCCCGGTGCCGATGACTGTCTCACTTCCCTCACTTCGCGTATCAGCCTCGAGGAACCCCTGAAACTCGCCCAGCGGATCAAGGAAGCCATCGATGAAGAGGGCGTGGTCCACCAGCATGAGATTGAGGACTCAACGACGGGGAAGGTTCTTGCCCTGGCCGAGGATGTGGTCTCATCTGAAGGCGAAGAAGCAGACATGAACTTGCTTCCCAAGGGCAAGCGCAAAAGACCAGCGTCACTTAAGGAGCATTACTCTGAGGAAGGTGAAGCGTGGGTCATGAAGCCAGGGGCAAGCCCTGGACTGCAGAAACTCCATGCTCAGCTAGCCCAATTGCAGCAGGAGAGGATGGAACTTGCCGAAACCCTTCGCAGCAAACTGGGCGCCTCTTCGTTGACTTTGCGCTGGACACCAGGTCTGGGACACATTGCTCACATCAAGGGCAAGGACCTCAAGCATGTGCAGGTCGTACGAACCTTGTCGTCGAGCCGTTCCACACGCTCATTCCAGATTCCAGAGTGGACAGCACTAGGGCAGCGTTTAGACCAGACTCGCTTTCACATTCGTGCAGAAGAGCAGCGAGTGTTCCACTCGTTGCGAGAGCACGTCGTGACCAACCTGGTCAAGCTCCGCCGCAGTGCTGCTGTGTTGGACGAGCTGGACATTGCGACATCCTTTGCGAAGCTAGCCGAGGAGCAGAATCTCGTTCGACCGCAGCTGACCAACTCCACCTCGCACACGATCATAGGTGGCCGTCATCCGACTGTCGAAGGCGGCCTGTACGAGCAAGGTCGCAGCTTTGTACGCAACGACTGCCTCGTCGGTTCGCCCTCAGCAGGCAGGCTGTGGCTGATCACCGGACCCAACATGGCTGGCAAAAGCACGTTTCTGCGCCAGAATGCGCTGATCACCATCATGGCCCAGATCGGTTGCTATGTTCCCGCTTCTTTTGCTGAAATCGGCATTGTCGATGCTATCTTCAGCCGCGTGGGATCGGCTGATAACCTTTACCGCGATCAGAGCACCTTCATGGTGGAGATGTTAGAGACGGCCCAAATCTTGAAGCATGCCACGCCTCGCTCCTTTGTCATCATGGACGAAATTGGCCGAGGTACGACCCCCGAGGACGGCACAGCAGTGTCGTACGCGTGCCTCCATCACTTGGTCACAGTCAACCAATGCCGCACACTCTTTGCCACGCATTTCCACGGCGTGGCAGATCTTGCTGCAGAGGAAGGCCTCGGGATCGGGGGAAACGGCGCGGTGCAAACATATTGCACAGATGTAGAGGAAGATGGGCAGGGAGGCTTTGTCTACATTCACAAGCTACGAGAGGGCATTAATCGACGGAGTCATGCCCTCAAGGTGGCGCGCCTGGCCGGTATGCCGGATCTAGCAATGGCAACGGCTAGGCGAGTGTTGGAGAGAGATCCCGCGAACGGGGCCTCTTGAGGACTACGGAAGGACGACCGGGAGAGTTTTGGGTTCCTTTGTACTGTTAGCCATGATACCCTTGGAAATAGGCTGGAGAAATTTTGCTGTGGTAGATTGTGTCATAAAGTGTTGTTGATATAATGTGTGTCATCAGGAGATCAGGGTTAAAAAGCTCATGATTATTTCTTAATCATTCAGATAAAGAGGTGAAAGTGGCCGACAGAAAATGACTAACCTTTTCAAAGTACGACACAGATTGTGCAATCACACATCACCATCGCTGTCATGTCGTGTTTGTTCATTGGAAATCGTGTCTCATTGTCCCGTTGCGATGGGTTCAGCCGACCGACCGGCGATCTATGTAGCTCTCGACTGAAGATCATATCTCGTGATCCGAAGTCATGACTGCGAATCCAGCACATCGTGGTTGTGAAACGCGTGGCTCTCCGTTTAATCGCTGCGAGACGTGTCAGTAGGGAAGAATAGAGGGGTGGGCGCGGTAGAACATACAAAAGACCACCGAAGCCAGACTCGTCAGAGTCCTCAGCCTCAGACTCCTCCTTCTTGGCATCACCAGCAGCCTCAGTGGTAGCGGCAGCACCACCGGCAGCGGGGGCGGCAGCGGCGTAGGCGTCGGGGTTGGCGATGCGGTCCTTGAGCTCCTCAATCTCGGGCCAGCTGAACTCGGTGCCGATGGCGACAGCCAGGATGTTCTTGTAGCCGTTGACGACGGAGTGCATGACCGAAGGCAGGGTGGGGAAGCCAATGGCCAGCGAGACGGAGGCGATGGTGGTGATGGCCGAGGCGAAGGTCTTGAGGAGCTCCTCCTCGCCAATGTCGAGGACGGAGGCGGGGAAGGTCTGACCCTCGTCGTAGACCTGAGCAATGCCCAGACCGTAGGTGAAGGGAGAGATGTTGAGCATGTTGAGCAGGGTGGCCTCGGAGGGGCCGACCTTGCTGCCGGCCTCGACGAGCTTCAGATCGGTGGTAATCTCAATGGTACCACGGGCAATCTTGGTGGGGACACCGAGAGCCTGGAAGAAAGAGGTCTTTCCGGGCTCCATGCCGGTGTTGCCAGCGGGAATCCACACATCGGCGGGGGCGAGGGCACCAGCACGGGCGGGGGCGGCGACACGGTTCTCGAGGATCTTGTCACGGATCTCCTTGAGGTCGCCGTTGGTGAAGACGAAGCCGACGTTGCCCTTGACGTGGGGCAGGAAGCGCTCGTACTCGGGGTGGTCGGGGATGAAGGTCTTGAGGGCACGGCGAACCTGTGATGGGGGTCAGTATTTCTGGTAATAGCGAAATTCGCCGGGCGCACAGAGTCCGTACCATGGTGTTCTTGCCCATCAGGACGACAGCCTGCTTGCGGAGAGCATGGCGAATCTCGTGCATCTGCTGGGACGAGACATTGTCGATCTCGACAATGAAGACGGACTTGTACTCCTCGAGCAAGCCCTGGAGCTTGTCGAAGTAGCCGCTCTTGTTGGTGTTCTTGCCCCCCATATCTTCTTATTTTATGAAGGCAGGTTGTTTAAGGGCCAGGGGTATCTCTTTGATGGTTAGGGGGAGATGGTAATGTGGTGGTGGTTGACGGAACCAGAGTCGTGAGGCTTTCTGAAATTTCGCTACTATTTTCCGTGCGGGCACGTCCAACCCGTTAGGGCTCACTGGACTCTAGTCTGCAACAGGCAAGGTGGGGGATCCAGATGCCAAGAGTTGAGCTAACCGGAAAAAGATACGTACCTTTTTTTCATGATGTCCGATGAAAGCTTCACAGGCCTTTCACAGCCTTGTTTGAGATACTTGGCTTGCTGAGCCTAATTTCATCCAATACCCCCAGATCGAGGCCGCAGCGACTCTCGGCTTGCTTGCGCAAAGATGTCTGTCAACGTCCAGATACCGTACAGTCAGGTCCATGCCCTCGGCGACATCCTCCTCGCTGCACGATCAGGCCAATTGCACACCTACAGCCTCACTGATGGCAAGCTCATCTCGACATGGAAGCACCCCGACGTGGAAAAAGTCGCTGAGGCTGTGAATCGAGTTGCGGAGGAGAAAGAGGTGGCATTGGCGACTGGAGCTGGCGAGGACGCCCCCATGGCAGATGACGACAAGGATGAGCCACCAGCAAAGCGCCAAAAGATGCTCAGCGAGCAAGAGTCGAGTGTATCCATTACAACAGATATGCCACCAGCGGATGTCGTCGACAGAGAGTCATCCAGTAATGGCCAGAAAGGCAAGGGGAAGGATAAGGCAAGCCGGAGCCGCGTGCGGGTGGAGGGACGCGCCAAAGTGCCGGATCGGCCATTGATCACGCACCTCACGAGCACGGCCGACAAGAAGCATGTCATTGCCGTCACTGGTCATGACAAGGCTGTTTGGGTGTTTGAGCATGATGGTCAAGGTAACCTCGAGGAGCTCAGCTCAAGGTTGGTTTTTTGGTGCAATCACAACAAAGCAATCAATTTTGGCTAACACGTCGCAGGATCATGCCCAAACGGCCAAGCTCCATTGTTGTCGGGCCCGACTCGATGATCATCTGCGCCGACAAGTTTGGCGATGTGTATTCTCTGCCTCTTACCCCTGACCCCAACTGGAAGGCGCCAGTCGTCGCAAAGACAGTCACGGAGACCCCCATTGAGGCCAACGAGTTCACTGTGCATTCGAGGAGGAACCGAAGGGCTTTGGAATCTCAGCAACTACAAGCGAAGAAGAAACCGAACAATGAGCAGGACAAGGCTACAGACGCTCCCGCGTTCGAGCTCACACTGCTGCTAGGCCATGTCTCGCTACTCACGGCCCTTCTCGTAGCTGAGCGCGAAGGCAGGAAGTATATAATCACAGCAGACAGGGACGAGCATATTCGCATATCGCGGTACATCCCCCAAGCTCATATCATCGAAGGATATTGCTTGGGACACAAGGATTTCATTGGCGATTTGGTCATTCCTGAGCAACGGAACGACATCCTCATCTCAGGCGGCGGAGAGAATGAGCTGTTTGTCTGGGACTGGCTGGCAGGGAACCTGGCCTCCACAGCAAGCGTCCTGAATCTGGCGCAACAGATTGACTCGACAATCACCAAGGTTGCTGTCAGCGGTCTGCATTCGCTTGTCTATCCGTCCGAGTCGGGAAAATTGACCTACGTTTTGGCGATCTGCGAAGGGTATGTTGTTCGAACTTCGTGGGCTTCCGCTGGGTTTGCTAACGAAAACCTACAGCATCAAAGCAATCTTCTCCTGGCTTTTGACAGACGACAACAGGCTCAACCACCCCGGGGTTATCCAGCTACCTGGCAACCCTCTCGACCTCGAGATCATTCCTGTGGAGGGTGGTCCGCCAAAGATTGTCGCCGCAATGGACCCAGGAGCGGCAACCCCTGCAAACTCAATCAACATCTTTACACTGAACATGAACGAGGAGAGGCTATCGGTGGACAACATTACGACGGTCGAAGAAAACACCGTGCAGACGTCAGATATTGAAGCCACCGAGGATGTTGTGCGTGGTCTATTATACAATGTGGAATATCTACGCAAGAAGGGAGGCGGCGGCGAGGATGGCGAAGGCGGTGATGCCCCTGCGACTGAGGTTGAAGCGTCTGAAGAAGCTCAATCGTGATGGAGCCGGCAGTTTGGTCCTCACTGCTTCTAGCCGAACAAAGAAAATAAGGCAAACTTTTCCAAGGCCTTGACAAAGGCAGTGTGCGAGTGATCGGCCTACGATGTGTAGAAAGTAATCTTGCTTTCCCCTGACTTCACCAGAGTCTATAGACGAGTCCCGCTCAACTGCTCTTGTCTCTCATCTCACAACCCACTCAAAGTTCGCTTCACCGCACACACCACCTTTTTTTTACCACATTTTAAACACCCCTCTGTAACTTTTCCTTTCTTTACTTCAGATTATGCACCTTGCTCATAGCACTTGACATCTTTTCTGCTTGAGGAGTTGAAACACACCCGCGCTTACACACTGCTTCTCCCCTCTGAAAACCACAAAAATAGATCCAATGAGTTTCGTGGCCATGTCTCGGTCTCCAGAGATCGACGGGAACGAGATGGCCGATATGAGACCCAACATCTCGCCTCTTAGCTCGCCCCTTACACCCCTGTCCACAATGTTTGGCAGATGGTCGGAGACTCCCCAAACACCGACAGGGGATAGTCAAGACTTCTTTGGTAGCTCCCAAAACGACGAGATCATTTACGTTCAGAGCGATGTCATGACACAGTCTGATGAGGCAAACGAATCTCAAAACGACAGCCAAGAAGAAACAGGGGCAGAAGACAAGGAAGACAGGGACATACTGGGCGAGCGAGAACTATCGAGCAAGATTGACGATCCAGAATTTCCGGCCTACAACGGTAAAACTCAAGAAGACTACATCACATACACGTGCCTGGAAGAAATGTGGGAGAATGTGCGCGACTACCTCAGCCGCGAGGAACGCGACACCTTCTTCGCACTCGTTCCCATGAGCAACAAATGCAAGACGACGAGTGTGTTATACGCTCACCGAATCCACCGAGCCATCGTGGTGGACCCCAGCACGTTCAACTGCGCACACTACCTCGTGCTCAGGGTCATGTTTGGCCTGGAGGCGTGCATGAGGCAGTCCTGGTGGTCAATATTTAAGAAGAAGTACCCCCAACAAGCCGCAGAAGACGAAGCAGCGGCGGCCGAAAAGAAGGAGGCGGAGAGGATGGCCTCTCGGACGCCCAGCTCAACAGCCAAGGCAGCATCTACCCTCAGAACACCCAGGTCCATGTCGAAACTACATCTCACGAGCAAGATCATCCAAGGCACCGGAAGCCCAATCCAACGCTCCAGTCAGGCTCGGCCAATCGGTCGCCGCCTCTCGCTCGACATCTTCGGGGCCAACCGCTACACGTCGCTCACGCCCTCTTTCTCCACTCGCAGGAGTAGCTACACGCCTGCTCGGGCAAACCGCCTCCTCAACCTCCGAGGGCAGGAGACAAAGCCCCAAACACAAACAAACACAACCGACGTGGCCGAGTTGCAGGCTCGGGTCTCGCAGCTGGAGCTGGAGAACGCAGAGAGCGTCGCTAGGGTGCGCGAGTTGGAAGAGGCCCTGGATTCTTTCAGATTGTTCGCAGCTGAGATGAGCACACTCTTAGACCCGACTCCAGAGCAGCAAGACTGATGATGCAGTCCTGGAGTGTAGTAGCATGGCGACTCTACATGCCCTTGTTCGGGAAACATGTGGGGAGCGGCGGTACGTGAAGCGCGCAAGGTGATTGAATAACTAAATGTCAAAAATGTTATCTATGAGTCTGGTCGAGGCAGCCCTCACAGCGAGGAACTACGTAGTAATGATCATCAACAATGCCGAAGAAAATTGGGCCATACTTTATACGCTAACATTTGGAATCCCTGGGGACTGTAGTAAAAGAGGTCGACGTGGTCTCCGGGTATTATTATGCGACACACAGTACAAGGATACACAGTGGCTTTCGCAGTTTATTTTAATTCCAAAGGCGCGGTCTACGTCTGCAAACAACTCAGACCCTCATCGTCAAACGTCTATATCCTCTAAACGCCAATACTGCAAAAAATGTGAAAAAGACCACCCCCTGGGACGCAGCCAACTGCTCTCTCACCCAACCCCTCGCCTCATCTGCCACACCTTGTTTCTCTCCTCCCCATGCTCGCAATGCTTCATGGGGAAGAACCGTAACTTTCATGTTCGTTCATGCACTGTTGGTATCATTCAAGACTTTTCCCATTGTCCACGCCTGCGCGAGGCTTGTACGATGCGGCTACCTGCGCCTAAAGGCAAAGGAGCAAGCCGATCAGTACGTGTCGCGGTGGTTAGGCGTCATGCTTTATTGCGAGGCGCACTGCACACGCTCGCCGCCGGGGTGGCCATCCTCGTCGTCCTCGTCCATGCCGCCGTTGTTGAAGACACGGCTCTGCGAGGAACCGTCCATGTCCTCGAGATCGGCAGGCTCAGTCATGGCCTCGGCGGGCGGTACGTTCTGCAGAGCGGGCGAGGGGAGGATCTTGCGGAGCTGCTCGAAGGCCTCCTCGTTGTCGGTCCAGCCCTTCTCGGGGAACTTGACGCTGAAGCGGATGTACATGTTGCCAAAGTCGTGATGCCTAGGCGACGGCATACCTTGTCCGCGGATCATCTTGACGGCGTCTGCTGTTGTCAGTGGATTTGCTCTGGAAGCAAGGGGATCTAGAGGACTCACCGTTGGCAATCGCTTCTCCAGGCATAATGTCAATGCTGAGCCACCTGTCGTCGAGGTGCTCGATGTAGATGGTGCCTCCAGCCAGGGCAGTCACGAGCTCAATCTCGCAGTTGTAGAGCAAGTCATCCTCCTTACGGGTGAAACGTGCGTGGGGCTTCTCCTCAATCTCAAAAACAACGTCGCCGGCCTGGATTCCAGGAGACTGGTCGCCTTCACCCTTAAATTCGACGCGAGTCCCGCTGCGGACACCCTTATCAACGTGGACGTGGAGGACCTTGCGGTCGACGACGGTCTTCTTTCCCGCGCACTGCTTGCAGCGATCCTTGTCCTTAATGATCTCTCCCTCTCCGTTACAGTCGGGGCAGACGGTCTGGAAGCGCTGGATCATGGGGCCCATCTGGCGCATCATGGTCTTCATGCCGTGGCCATCGCAGCCTGTGCACTTCTTTACAGCACCCTCCTTGCCACCGACACCAGAGCACTTGGGACAGATGATGGAGCGCTGCAGAGCCAGCTTAGAGATCTTGCCGCGGTAAATGTCCTCGAGCGCAACCTTGTGCGTGTGGTGGATTGTGCGGGCCTTGGGAGGTCCGCGCTGGCCGCCGCCCATGCCGCCAAACATACCTCCCATGCCGCCGAAACCGCCGCCACCACCGCCGAAGAATTGCGCAAACAGATCCTCGGCGGCCATGCCACCACCGCCGCCGGCGCCGCCCTCGAGACCGGCCTCACCATATTGGTCGTAGATGGAGCGCTTCTGTGAGTCGGAGAGGATTTCGTAGGCGTGCGAGACCTCCTTGAACTTGCTCTCGGCGTCGGGGTTGTTGGCGTTCTTGTCAGGGTGGTACTTCAAGGCGTTGACCTTGTAAGCCTTCTTGAGTTCAGCATCGGTGGCTGTGGGAGAGACCTAGACGTTGGGTAAGTATGGCGTGCTGTCGGATCGTATTGTCGAGATACTCACCCCGAGGGTGTCGTAGTACTTTGTCTCCTTGACCATGATTGCAGATGTACAGGGTGTCGCGTGTAGATGGAGAGTCTAGTTGCGCGCGTCGACTAGGATGATTGAAGCGATTGAATATCTCTTCTTCTATCGTGGGATTAGTAAGACTTGATGGAAATTCGGGCGAATCTGCTAGAACCACCGCCATTGCGGACCTTCCGCAAAGTCCAGTCGTTTCATCGCTCACGCACGATCGCAGACGGGGGATCGCACGTACCTTGGCACCAAAAGCGTATTGATCTCGCTCGACGCTTGTGTGTTGGAGATACCACGAGCAAAGATTGGATTTCGCGGGGCAGGGAGAAGTCTCGATATGAGTGGAGCGCGGGAGAAGATGCAGTCGACAGGGGGTCGGATAGGCCCTGAGTGCTGGGGTGAGATAAGGCGTATGGAGGAGAGGTCAAGTCGTTGTTGTTGATGAGGAGGAGGAAAGAAGAGGGAGAGCGGGAACGAGGCAAGACAAAGGCGAGCGTTGAACTGATTACGACTTTTTCTGAAGAGGCGTCCGTCTGTTTGATGCACGTCCGGTTGGTGTCCGTCAGGCTCCAGTCGGTAGGGAAAAAGCGTCAAAGGCACAAATGGTGTGAGATGGTTGGCTGGCTGCTGCAGGGTCGCTCCAACCGTGCGCCGCCTCATGGAAGGGCATCGAAGAATGTCGATGCGATGCGGAGTACATGGCTTTAGTGACGGAGTGCGCCGGTGAGGAGGTACCTCTTATCTGCGCCTGGTGCCCATAGTGCCCAAATATTGGCACTTGCTGGCTTCAAGTTTGATTCCCCACCAAAGTCAGATTTGAATACTTGGTGATAATAATTAATTAGGCGAATTTCTGGTCGAGCGAGATGCTAGTGAATGCTATTCTATTGTACGTAGTGCTCTAATCACGCATCCTCGCCTCGATTGTCGTAGTACTTGTAAAGATAGTAGCGCTTGTACTGGAGTAGCAGGGGTTGCGCCCAATAGCAAGCTTGTTAGGCAGTACCTGTGCCCCTGCCACTCTGTTGGTGGTGACTCCAGCAACCAGCAAGTACCAACTATCAGATCTGCTCAGACGATTCCCGTCAAGGCAATGTTAATTCATCAGCTTCAACCTGGAGCGTGCTTACTCTCATGAGACTGACCCATTCAACAACATCAAGCTTGCTAGTGGCATCGCCATGGATGCGCAACATGCCAAAGTCGCCAAACGTCAACCACAGCGTCGTGACCCAGATGCACGTCGAGAGCAGAACCGCAACGCATCACGCAACTATCGTAAAACAATCTCCGTCCCGTGATATGTACACCCTCACTGACCCAAGTGATCACTTCATACAGGCCAGAAGAGGAAAGAGAAGCTCGCTCTGCTGGACCAACTCACCTCACAGTCCACGGTGTCCGTAGACCAACCCCGACAATCTAACAGTCATGCCAGCAACAGCCAAAGCAGCAGGGAGGAGTGCCACTCGGCAGATCCTATGCTTGACCCAGAGATCGAACTCATAGATCGAGCTGTTGATCAGGCGGCCTCCCATGCCCATGCCGCCCAGAGGAACCACGCTCTAACAGGGCGTCTGACAGATCACGGCTTCGACGCCCATCCATCCAATGCCCTCTCAACGAATGAGTCGTGGCAGCTGTCCAACTCGTCATCATCTACCTCATTGACCCCCACGAGCCATGAAGACGATGAAGCGGTTCTCGCCGCCCTGCAACACATCCAGACGCTGAGTGCCTCGCAGAAACGCGCCTTGCTCAGCCATCTCAAGGAGCAGACGCCCGCTCTCGAACCAACCCCGACCATCATACCAGGCGCAACTTGGGCGTCGAGCGATACGCCACCCGGGCCCCCAAGGAGTCGCCTGCAAGAGGAGGCCCGCCGCTTCGCAACGTTCATCGACCGGCACATTACCGGCAAACTGTCCCCGATGCAGCTGTCGCGCATCTACGTCGTGGAGGCGGGTCTCTTTGGTGCCCTGTTTGCCAACTGCTACGCGCTCGGGATGAGCGACATTGGCCCCATGATGGTGGAGGACGGATGCAGCCCCTTTTCTATCGACCCGGAGACGGGATACCACGAGTCACAGCTGCTAGCGGTGAAGCCTAGATTCCGAAGCATCACGCCCGACCTGCAGCCCACAGACATACAGCTCACCTTTGGTCATCATCCTTACATCGTACGTGTCCCTTCCCATTACCCTGGTGTTGAGGGGCTAGAGGCTAATTTGTCACAGGACGTGATTCCCTTTGGGGACTTTCGCCAGAGAACATTGCAGGCTCTGAGTGCGGAAGACGGGGCCCTGGACGAGGACCAGCTGTGCATTGACCTGGGAGGCGGGGGCCTGGTTTGCTGGGGCAGCCAGCAAAACTCCCTCGGCATGGAGGCTGGTGTGCCATGGGATGCACGCTCGTGGGAGCCCCAGATGTGGTTCATGAAGAAGTATTGGGACCTCGTGGGAGGGTTCGGAGGGGAGATGTACAAAAGTCTCGTGTGGTGGCACCAAGCGCGAGGGCAGCAGATCTCGTGGGAGTAGTGGATGATCATCCCACATAGTGCAGAAAATAGATATTACGCGTTATGACTACAGAATCTAACTCATATGCTGATCTCACGAGACCAAGCCTGAAAGAGAAAAGACAAGAAGGGGGTCATGGTATCATAATGCCCAACCAAGCCATGCAAAGCAAAAAGCATTGAAAGCAATCAAGTGAGTACCAGGCGATGTCATCACGCCTCACATATGCCAATTGTAAAAAAGGTCTCCCCCTTCTTTAAGGTACGCTTTCGCTTCTCAATGTGTTCTTCAAAGGACATCTGTCGCCGGAAACAACTTAGAACGCATCCTCAAATGGGCAATCCACACTGTCGTGTCCATCACGCTCACACATGGCGCACCACTTCTCGGGGTCCATGATGCCGCTCTCCTTTCCAGCAACAGGGCCAGACTCCATAGGGTCGGGCATAGGCCTGCTGGCGGCCGGAGGTGCAGGGCTCCTCGACCTGACCGATGAAAGTGGCGCAGGCCTTGCGTCGTCGTCGTCGCCTCCTGGAGGTCGTAGGGCATTGTTGTTGGCCAGTTTCGGCGTCGACTGCTTGCGGTCGTCATCCGTTGCCGTTGGCTTTCCACCATCAGGCCCAAACATGTTGGTGCAGGTCAGAATGTCGTGGCCACTGGTCTCGCAGATTTCGCACCAGAGTGTGCTATTCTCGGTGGCGTTGGACTGGTTGTCGCTTTCGCCGACATTGTTCGCGCGGCCAGAGAATCGGTTCTCGTTGGCGGCGGCCAGGACAACGGTGTCGCGAGAGTCTCTGAGCGACGACCTCTGTTGTTGGTGGGTATTGTTATCGTTGTTGCTGTTGCTGCTGTCGACGCGCAGCTTCTCGAGCTCCTGCTCCAACTCCTGCTCGCGGCTGCTCTTCTGGGTCAAGATGGACTGCAGCTCGGCTACTTGTCGTTCGAGGTTATCACGGGCAATCTTCTGCTCAATGACGTCGCCCGCAATGAGCGAGCCCGGTCGTTGGGGCGGTGACCGCGGCTCACTGGCCGAGTCACGGCTGAGCGAGTGAATGATGGCCTTGAGGCCCCTGATCTCGTCGTCCTTGGCCTCCAGCTCCTTCATCGACCCCTTTTCCATGGTCGGACTCTGCACTTGCCCGCCCTTTTCTCGTTCCCGTCGCAGCTCGGTGCGCGTCCTTTCCACCTCACCACGCAAGAACTCTACTTCGCCTCGCGCTTCGGCCTCTCCTCTGCGGGCGTCCTCTAGGCCCTCTTCAAGCTCCAGCACCAGTTCCTCGAGCTGTCTGAGCTGCGTCGCGACCGATTCGACATCCACGTTGCGGGACTCGAGCTCCCTGATATCTGCCATGAGCTCTTCCATGCGCTTCTCGTAGACCCTCTCGGTCTCCGTGCTGGCCATCTCGAGGGCGTCAATTGTGCTGCGAAAGTCGGCACGGTGCGCATCAAATTCGGACGTGAGCATGGCAATCTTTTCATTCTTCTCACGAAGCAGGTTGCGCAGCTGGGAGGTGTCCTTGTCCGCAAACTCGCTGGAAGCATCCCTCAGATCTCCAGCGTTCTCCATAAGGCCCTGGAGCTCCGTGAGGCTGCTCTCCATCTCGTTCAGCGTGGCAGATTGCTCCTTCAGCTGCTTTTCCTTGTCCTCGAGCTGCGCCTTGAGGCGCTCTATCTCTTCGTCGTTGCGCACGTTGGCCCGTGAAGGGGCACGCGTGGGAGAGCGCGGTCCTTTGCCGTATGGAGTGGCCGCGCCGATGTTGCCATTTGTCTTGGATCGCGGCAAGCCCATCCCTGAGAGGTCATCATCAAAGGAGCCGAGCGCGGAGGCACTGCGAAGGGGCATGCTAGGTTTGCGATCCACGGCGGGCAGCCTCTTGCTGGGATCCCCAGCCGTGCCTCGCACGCTCTGGGCGAATCGGTTTGTCGGGCTCCCGTAGCGTGAAGGCGTCTTTGCCGGTCCTGCGATCGACGGTCGAGGGCCAGGGTTCATTTGCGTTCGGCGGACGGGCGAGTCGGGTCGAGGTAGGGAAGTTCGTGGTGCTGACCGTTTCCCCTGAGGGCTCGGAGCTCTTGCGCCAGGCCCGACGGACATGCTGAATTTGGGCAGCCCTGGCGTCGGAGGGGTGTAGTTGGTCGAGTTTTGCGATCCGCTCTTGAGCCCAGAGCTGGGTGTCATGGGGAACGACATGCCCGAGTCCAGCTTCATGGCTTTGGCGACTGGCAAGAAAATACCGGCGCCAGGTATCGATGTGGCAAAGTAGGAGATGCTATGTCCTGCGTCAGCGAAGCTCGCGTTGCAAAGCAGAAGAGGGACGCAATATACCCGTCAACATCGCCATTGTTCTTTCCGCGCGCCGCATACTGGGCGTCGAGCTCGACACCAGCAAATATGCCCTTTTTGCCCTGGACGGGTCCGACGAAGCGCACGATACCTTGCATGTTGCCGGGCACGTCGACGGCGTCGCCCACGTCTACATCTTCAGGCATGGTCTTTCCAGGCGTTGCGGGGGCCATTGTGAATCGCGATGCCGGGCGGTCAATCAGATTCTCGTCGTGGTAGATGTCTGTATCGTGTTTATCATTGGGGATGCTGGGCAGAAGAGAGCTCTGCGTCAGGGTCGCCAGTGAGATCCTGCGCGAGAGTGGAGCCCTTGACGCCCGTCGCGAGTGCGAAGCGTATGCCGACTTGAGGTTTGGCGTGGACGCAGTGTTGCTTGGTCTGCGCAGGGCTCGACGTGTGGGAGGCGTCTTGGGGATGGGAGGAGGAGGATGGTGAAAGGTGGCCGCCGTGATGGCTGTCGCCGTGGGTGTCGACATCACGTCCAATATCTTGGCGGCAGCGTCAGTCAATCAAAATTCGCGGGTGCTCGCTGGGCCTGGGCTGATCCCTCCTCTCGAACCCCGTTTTGACCGTTTACCCAGTAACCGTCGAGCCGGAACCGTTTGGCTGCCCCACGCGACGGCAAGCCTAAGATAGCGCGTCGAGCACAGCTGCACAGGGGAAATTTCGTAAAGGGGGGGTGGGTTCCTTTGGAGATCTCTCCGACTGGCGTTTGGTCTTCTTGATTCGGCGTCGATGTTCGATAGGTAGTGAGCGACGGTCGGATTGATCGTAGCACTTGCGTTCGGTCGAGGTGAGGAGCCAGAGCCTTGTTTTGCCTTCCAGCACTTCCGTGGACTGCGTAACCGGCACTTGGTGCAACAGGGACGGTAATATTGATAGAACCGTGGGGCCGTTGCGGACTACCGGGTATCCGATGCGGAACTCGGCGAGTGAAACGAACGTGGTGATGATGCGATGGCAGTTAAAATACTCAGTGAATGACGATAGGCAATATCACTGGTAAACAAAGAGAACGAAGATGAAAGAAAAAAAATGCCATGCACGATGAGAAAGCGAGCAAGAGGTGAGCTAGAAAGAAAGATCAGATGGGCGACTACTGTACATGTACGGATCGTTTGGTCTTGTTGATGTTTTGTTTTCGCTGCATCAACAAGCTGCAGCGTCATCCATCCCACTGCAATTGGAGGCTTTAGGCGCTGCGCCAGCCGCTGACCGCCAGTCCGCTATTATGGGGTAATTAAAGCGACAAAAGAGCAAGCAGTTGTTCTACGGGGCTGCGAGATGCTTCCATCATTGTACCAATATCTCGCAGGCCTTGTGTGCCAATAATTGGCAACATGAAGAAGGCAGCATAGTCGCTGCCCATGTCAAGCGTCACCAGAAGGACACCAAAGGACCAACCCTTCTCAGCACATACTCTGAGCTACAGCTTGAAGTTTACCATAGGAGAAGATGAGCACACTCGCAATATTCGCACTTTTTTGTCGCCATCAACGGGTGCATTCGCTTGTTATCCCTTGCACTCCTGCAGCTTCTGTTGACCGCACCTATCAGGGGCTCGCCGCATGCTTCAAGTGCCCCAGCGACTGCAAGCACTGCTGCACGTCTGAACACAAAACCAAATGCAGCTATGGTTCTCCTGCAGATCCGTCATTACACTAATGCACTCCCTTTGAGGACGATGTCCGGGCAATGAACTGGTACGGAGAGCAACAAACAAAACTTCATATGCTGTGCACCATCCCTGATGTATCTGTATATACAGTTCTACTAGGCATACTTCAGTGACAAACGACATGGCAGGCCACGCGCCTATCTGTTCTTTGCTCGCTTCCTCGCGCTCCTCTCCCTCTCGTACTCGTTGGCTTCTCGCCCCTCCTCGCTCTGAATCTCCGATATCAACCTCTTCATCTTCTTCTCGTGCGCCTCGTCCTTGGCCTTCTTGACCTTGAGCTTCTCCCTCGCCATAAAGTTGGCATCCTTGCGGAGCTCCCGCATGGCGCCCTTGCGCTCCTTCTTGTGCTCGGCCTTGAGCTTGGCCATCTCGGCCCTCTCGCGGTCCGGGTCGTAGTGCTTGTTGGGATCGAAAGAATCCTCAAACTTGGGTATATATGTCTTGATAGCAAGAGGGCGGTGGTGATGCAGCTCCAGGGGCCGTCGGGCCAGCCGCGCCAGCCGCATCATCCGCTCGAGCTTCGTCTGCAGCTTCTCGAGGCGATTGATCAGCTGCGCAGGTAAGTGTGCGCTGTTCTTTTGAATCAAGACGCGCTTGACCACATTCTGGACCTGATCAAAGGTTTCGATAAAGGCGTCTTTGCCAGTCCACGTATCGGCAGCGGCATCGCAGACTTGCAGGGCGGTGTCCATGAGAGAGACCTTGGTCTCCGTAGCCAGCTCCTCTTCAACCTCGATTGCGCAGTCGCTGCACCTCAGCTTCCTTGGCGTGACCTTCTGCGCGCCAGACATGCGCAGTGCTTGGTCGGAAGCATGGAGAGGGAAGCGACCGAGACTGGCCTTTGGTGCAACAGGTGACAATGCGCATATTGTGTTCAGCAGGAAATTGATGGCTTCGGGCACGAAGCGCTTCACTGGCTGTTGGAACTGAAGCATCAAGATCGATAGATAGACGCCAGTCGCGTGCTCTCCCAGGGTGCGTGGGACCTTGATACCGAGATATCGGGTAGCTGTCAGGATACCCGGCGTCACCACCGAGTTGAAATGATCTGAAGGTGGGAAGACGGTGCCCACGGCAGTCAACATGACGATGTCCCCGACCTCCAGCGCCAAGGGTCTCTCCTCCTTGATCTGGATCATCATTTGTCGGAAGTGATTGCCAATCTCGACGGGGAACATCTTAGACAGAGAGTGGATGTGACGAATAAGGCTCTCCAACACAGCAAAGGACGGCCATACTGCTGGGTCAAAAGCGACACCGAAGGGTTGGGAGATGAACTCGACCAAAACCGTAGCAAACGTGCCCAGACGTTCCTTGTTCTTACTGTCCAGTTTTGGGTGATAGAGCGCACGGATCCTCTGTACGATGGTTGGCAGATGGGCCAAAGGATGGGCCCGCGCGATGGACTCGAGTTCTTTTTTGGTCTGAGGGCATGGGAATGTGAAGGGAAGCCCCTTGTCGTCGCCCTTCTCCAAAGCAGTGGTGTTTTCTGAGGACTCGGACTTGAACATTGGGTTGCGAGCCTCCTCCTCATTCAAAAGTCTTTTGGTGAACTCGTCCTCATCGTCACTATCGCCCTCGGCATCATCAGCTTCCTCTGCTTCGTCCAAATCGAGGTCGTCTCCACTGTCGAAGGGATTGATGTCGGATCCGCTGGCAACAAGATCGTCGTCAATCACAAAGTCGTCTTCGTCGTCGAATCCAAGCTCGGCAGCCGTAGGCTTCTTCTTCGTTGATGCGTCACGGTCGTTGTCCTCGTCACCCTCTTCCTCGTCAGACTCTTCTTCCTCAGAGTCCTCAGAGTCCTCATCTGCCTCATCCTCTGGAGCCTTCGATGCGAGGCCACCACCAAGACCGAAATCGTCATCTTCGTCCATATCTTCGTCCGAGTCGTGTTTCTTCTCCTTCTTGTCGTCGCTGGCATCACTGTCGGATACAGATTCACCTCTCATGCGTTTTTGCCTCTTCTCCTCGAGCTTCTTGAGGAACTTGGCTTCATCTTCGGCCTTCTCCTCGTCTGTCTTCGTTCGGTCGGCTGGCTGCGCTCTGCGGTCTTGCGCCAACTTCTTGACCTCGAGGTCAAAGGTCTTGTTGAAGGCTTCGCGATCCAGGCCGCCCAAAGTAGGCGCTTCCTTCTGTGCAGGCTCGGGGCGCTTGCCGCCTGAAGCGTACAGAGCGGCGCGAATCTCCGCCATGTCCTTGTCGATCTGGGCGCGGATGTCATCGTCCTCGTCCTTTGCTTGCTGCCGCTCATACTTGTGCATCTTCGATTTGGCGATGACTTCTTCCATGATTTCCTTCTTCGTCCTCTTGCGCTGCGGCTCTTCCTCTCCTCGATCTTCGGCCGCCATCGCGCGGACCCTCTTGCGACGCTGTTGCTCGCGGTCGGAAATGTCACTGGCGGCGTCGTCCAGGTCTTCGTCAAAGTCGTCCACGGCCTCTTCCTCGTTGAAGACCAAAGCCTTGCCGCCGTGCGTCAGGCCACCCATGCCCATATCGTCCATGTCCTCTTCCAGGTCGAAAGCATTCTTCTTGTGGCTGCGAATCTTCTCGCGGGCGAAACGCTCTAGCATCTTCTCCTCGGGTGTCATCGTAGGATCATTCTCGCCAAAACGCTGATCCAAAATTCCACCGACTTTGTTACGATGCTGCATGTCGAGAAGCAAGGTTTGACGTCGCTGCCATCGTTAGCATGGGTCGGATCCAGACACATGGAGACCGCACCTTCTCTTCTGCAGCAGCCTTGGCCTCACCAGGTCTGCCCCTGATGCTACCAGTCTTGGGATCTGGACGATTGCTCGTCACCTCAAACTTTGGAGCCTTGGCATGCTTGAGGTCGAATGGATTGAACTGTTCGCGGATGCCACCCAACACTGCCCCTCGTTGAAGACGCTTGTCATTGCGTGCCTGCTCATCCTGAGCGGCGCGGCGCTTCTGCTTTTTTGACTGCTGAGGCCCTGTGATACCTTGATCACGCAAGGATGCCTTGAGGCGCTTCAGCTGGGAGCCGCCGCCAGCCATGGTTGCTGTATCGAGTGCCGTTGTGGTTGCAAGTCTGTCGCGGCTGCCAATGTTCATGAAATTTTAGGTCAGGGTAGCGCTATCGATAAGACGACAGGGACGTGGGGCCACTTATGCCGTACCTCACATTAGAGCAACAACCGCGATTGCCAGCTGTGTTAAGGAAGAGATTTGAACATTCTGGACAGCAATTTGTCTGTATTATGAATGCCATCACTCGTCTCCTAGCAATGTGGGCAACCCATCTCCCGAAGCAACGAGCTGTGCGTTTTCTTGCGACAGAACGCGCTAGTCCATGTTAGGTTGTAGATTTTGGCGGTCACTGCAGGCAGAAATAGATCATCTCAAGATCCCGTCATAGCTGCCCCTTGATATCACCAACATCCCCATCCGTCAAATTACTAGTCCATTAAGATGGGGTGGCTTACCTCGCTCCAAGCCTTTGGACGCGATGAGAGGGTCATTCTTGTCACGATCGGGATGGCTACTGCCTGCGTGGTGTCCTCCATGTTCACGGCATTGGTCATCATGCGCGACGACACGGCGCTTCCTCCAGTCCAGCCCAAGTCGCGTTACATTACGCAAGACACCGAAGACTCGCTCGAGATCGATACCCTAGAGAAGCTTCTGAATCACCCAAGCTATTCGATAGGCGATATCGCAACCAAAATATTATGCGACCGCGCCGTCAACAACCCTGATGCGATCAACACACTGCTCTTCGGCATCACCCAACCTGATTACGATGAGCGTCTGCGATCCTTGCGCGCGCTTGCCCTGTTGACAGGTTACGATGGACTGCCGACCCTGCATCGACCGGCAACATACTTCGCCTTGGTTAAATCGCTGCAGCACAGTCTGAACGACGTCGAACCCCCGAAACTTGACGATTCCCGCTGGGACGAATACTTGCTGCGCGACATAGCTGAGAGGTTCTGCCTCATGCTGATCCTGGAGCTGATCAACGACAATGGGGCTGGCACACTGATCAAGGCCAAGTTTGTCGAAAAGTGGCTATCAAAGCAGGACTGGGGCGAGAGTCCCAGCGAGCGACGACAGAACTTTGCCGCCTACATGGACTTCAAAAGCAATAGGATCGTCACAATCGTCGGTCATATTCAGCGCTCGAAGAAAGGGCTGAAAGCACTCGAAAAGGCAGGCCTCATCGAAGAGGTCGCGGCGAAGCGGCAGATCCAGGAGCTTCCCGATGCTGTGATGAAGACTCTGCCGGTTATTGATCTCCGCGAGTCCATTGAGCCCGCAGATCCGCAGGTTGCTCGGCCCATGGAGCAGTCTGTAGAGGAGCAAAGGATTCGTCGCCAACACCGCGAAGCCATGGTTCTCAACGACGGTTCCAGACCATTTGGACGGGGTGACATATTCGAGCGAGACCATGCAACTCCAGACTAGTAATTTCGCTGCTGTCTCTCTCATCGAACGATTTTATGATAAAGATACATGTGGTGCAAGTCGCCTGCAGAAAATGTCCGGGCGCGACAGCACGGCCATTATACGACTGCTCCTTGCCGCGCGGAAAGCTCGCGCGTAGCTCTGGGAGGCAAGGTCGCGAGGATGGAGTTGTGGAGGTAATACCAGGACTATTCTCTAGATCCGGTATAGGGCAAGCATCGCGCAAGGCAAGCAGAAGGTGCGCCATGTGCCGGGCCCGGAAAGCTGGAAGCGTAGCTCGTTGAAGCTGAGCATTGCTGACCAGAGGTTCTGCGATTCGCGTCGAGCCAGGCTAGCTCCCAGATGCATATTAGCATCGGGGCGTCATAACGCCGCCATCCTGTTACCAACCCTAAAATTCAAGTCTTGTATCGTTGTATGAAATAATAGGGCTTTAGTTGTCATACTAAGTTATATCTCGCAAGTGACAGGCAGTGCTACGTAGATTGGTTCAATGATAGTGTCCAGCGCCGAAATGACAGTGAGGTGTGGAGCAGCAGGCTCAAACTAAATATCAGTGATCGGACCATCCATGGCGACGCGATCTATCACCCGTGCATTCACGTTACTCATCGCGCACGCAAAACTCGGCGACGATCGAGCTCGAGCACAACTGTCAAGCTAATTTCACTCATATCGGCGTAAGCCTCATTCACGCATTTGCACCATGAGCGCAAGCTACGGCAACGGCGCAAATGCGCCTGAAGAAGAAGAGGACGACGACTACATGAACATGACCTTTGACGATCCCACACCCAAGCAAGAGACCTCTCTCCAGCGCACGCAACGGCTCAAGGCTGAATCGCGCGCGCGGGGTATCATCAAATCCAAGGCTGAACGCGCTGAGGAGGAGGCGGCTGCGCGGGAAAAGGCACTGTCGACGTCACTGCTGGAAGACCCCAAGGCCAAGAAGAGCAAAGGTCTCGCCATGATGGCAAAGATGGGCTTTGCAGGGGGCGGTCTAGGAAAGAAAGGCGAGGACGGCACTACGATAGGCAGAGCTGAGCCTATCAAGGTGGACGTCAAGGAGGACCGGGGCGGCATTGGTATGGACAATGAGAAGAAGAGGAAGCTGCAAGAGGCTGTGGCCGAGCGGGATATCAAGACCGTCAAGATGGATCCAGACGAGTATCGGGACCGAGTCCGGAAAGAGAGGGAAGACGCCAGACTCGAGAAGCAGCTGCACGCAGCGCAGCGCATGGCAGAGCTTTTGGACGAGGAGAAGAGCGTAGCGCCAAATCAAGAGGGAGAAACACAGCCAAAAGTCACGCCCATGTCGGCGCGGCCACTCAAGTCAATCTCGGTGCTGTATCGTGGCCTCACTCGCCATCGCTTGGAGCAGGAGCGGGATCGTCGGATGCGCCATGATCTGGAGCTGTCGCTATCACGACTACCCACGTACGAAGACGAGGATGAAGATGAGGACGACAAGAAGGCTCTGGGGAAGAAACAGACGACATATACGGAGATTGAAGACCTTGATGAAGAGGATACCGAACTGGAAGATTTCGATTCTCTAGAGGTCGGTGAGCGCCTGCGTCAGTTGCTCGAGTACCTGCGCTCCCAGCATCTCTATTGCTTCTGGTGCAAGACCGCCTACCCGGACTCGGAGATGGATGGCTGCCCAGGACTGACAGAGGAGGACCACGACTGATCGATGCTACAATGAGATTCCAGCTAGCCAGCAAACCTCTGCACCCGCATGATATTCCAACCCATCGCAATATTCAGCAATATCAAGCAATCATGACCCGAGCCTTACAGACAACCATGACCTGCGCAAAGTTATCCTCCAGACCATCGGCACCGCCGCATTTTACCAAGTACGGACTTTGGACAAACCACAGACCGCGCTCCTCTGGTGGCCTGAACATCAAAGTGGATATGATTTCCATCGTGTTCGGGTCCGCTGCCTGGCGCCTCTTGCGAGGTTGAAATTGATCAGAGCAGACGCAGAAGATGGCTCTCGATTTCCGCAAAACAGTCCATAGCTCCACGGCCATGCGAGTGATGTCGAGCATGCTCTTGCGTAGGCCTCGTACATAGTCGGGCTCACAGAACATCGAGAGGTCACTCGCCAAGCCGTCTGCAAACTCTGCGATAGCTTCGCGCGAGGGGGGGCAAAGACGATCCATCTCGTGCGCCAACCACGACTTCATTTTGCTGTATTGCTTGCGGTTTGAAGCGTTCTCCAACGCCTCAACTTCATATTGCGTCAGCTTAGATCCACGTCGGCATGATGGGGTCCAGAGACGTACTGGAGAGAGAATGATTGAAGGAAGCATAATCTTGGGCCATTCCATCGCGCCAAATCTCCTGGTCGGGGCCGAAAATTCCTTGCACAAGACGGTCCCAAACGAAGCGCCGAATCATCCCACGTTTCTTGGCGATCTTCTTGTTCTCCAAAGAGCAATAGTCGACGATATGACCCATGGCTTCTGCATGGACAGTGTGCGCCGCGAGTGTCTCCTGAAGGTTCAGGTCTTCGCGCATCCAGGCGGTCACGCCATGAATACCAGACGCGAGCCTTGTCCATCGGCCCATAATCCAATCGTCTGTGACCTTGTCATACTGCTGGGCGTCCTCCTGAACTTGCTGCCGCAAATCGCTATACTCGGCAAAAAGCTTGTCCTTTGACTCGGCGACGTTTCGATAGTGCTCGGTGGCCCGAGACACTTTCTCTTCCAATCTCTTCACCTCTTCCTCCAATGTGTTTATCTTCTCATCTTTGGCTCCCGTCTCCCTGCGAAGCGTCGTCTGTGCAGATAAGAGGTCTCGGAGACAGGCTGAGAGCTGATCATCCCCTGAGGGTGGTTGAGGCGGTGACGACACGGCTGGTGCTATTATTGCCGAGTGGTCGCTCGATGATACGTTTGAGCGACGCCTCTTGCTAGGACTATGGCTCGTTTCCAAGCTCTCGGGCGAATGTCGTTTCTTGGATGGACTGCGCAGCGTGATCCTGGCCCGCCTGGCGGGCGCATCAGATCCAGACCCAGTCAAGCTCTCGATACGCTCGCGAGTATGAGCTTTTGATGGTCGACGCTTCATGGCCGGTTGTTTTGTCTTGGCTGGCTGCTTCGTCACGGTTGCCTTTCGTTGAGTTGCTTGGTTTGCATTTCCCCTCTTCTGCTCGGGGCAGTAATTAGCCTTTGCAGACGCCGTGTCGTCTTCCGATGCTGTGTCAATGTCGGAAGATTCAGTTCCCCGAAACTCTTCATCAGGATGGCCACCCATCGTGAACAGATTTGGGTCCGCATTACATTGGCTGAGAGGCTGGGGATCCGAGAGCTCGGAGCTCATCGACTCAGATCGCGCGTACTGCTGGGGCGAGGGAGCCGCGCTGTCGGGGATATATGTCACGTTCTCACCGCTTGCCACACCTGCTTGCTCTTCTTCTTCTACCTTCGCCGATACAGAGGCCGTGGACATCGTGAGGGATGGGGTAGCGCGCGTTGATTCTTCTCGATGGCACCGGTGGATAGTCTGTGGGGATGTAAAGTGAAAAGAAAAAGGGCGCCGAAAGGGCAGTGAGAAGGCGTGTTGGATTCAGACGAAGATCACGGGTAGTGCGTAGAAAGAAGAGGGAATGGCGCCCATTTCAATGCGATGTCACTTTCACGACAGCGCTCATCAGCTGAAGTGGGTGGGTAATCTGACAATGCCAGGCTTCTACAGACCTCTCATTAAGGTGAGCCCTTGTCTGCCTTGCTGGCACCGAGGAGTTTGCTTTCTTTGGCTGGGGTTTCTTTGTTGATAGTTAATAATAGTCGCACAAACAACATTCTTGTGACGGGCACACTCGCGAGGACTGCACATCTTAGCCATACCTTATGTAGAGGTGAATTCTTCCACTCGTTAATGAAGCCTCCTTGAGGAATTATCTCGCATTATCATTCTGGTGTCGTCTGTAGTATATGGCCCGGCAGCAGTCGTTCTGCACGTCGTTCTCATGCCGTTCACTTATTGCTTGTCATCCGCGAACATCAACAGCCCGCTGAAATGGCGCTGCGCTGTCAAGAGATGGTCCGTCAGAAAGTTGAGCATGGAAATTGTCTAGCAGTCCAAATGTGCATTGACTCTAAGGGAAGTGGCATACTTGGATTCAAAAGCAACAACGATGCGTCTAGAGCGAATAATATATACTAGACAGACCCAAGCCATTGCACAAGCTTCACGGCGGACAATGCGACAATACCGGGACAACGCGCGTAGTGCAACTGTCCAAGATGATCGGTGCGACAAGGGCAGGGCTGCGCGTCGAAACATAAATGCTGAGGAATATAACGAGCTTGTAACATTAAAAACAGGCCTTCTGCATGAGGTAAAAAGCGAACCTGGGGTCCAAAAAGACAAAAAAAGATAGCAATTCTACGTTTCGATCGTAGGACTGATTTGTTAGTTGATGATTCGAACTGAGAGGCACTGGATGTGCTTACCCTCCGGGTTATGAGCCCGGCTGGGATGAGTTAGCGTGAATTCTCGAATTGAGTTTAGACAATCACATACCGCGCTTCCACTGCGCCAAATTGCTTTTGACTCGTTGAAAACATATCCAATACTTGAGGTATATATCCTACTGCGTACCCTCCGTGGCATTTGACGCCTGACGGCGCCGCAACTGGATCTAGTCTTGCGGCGCTGCATCTACCACTTTTCTGCACAGTGACGAAGGTGTATTACCAGTATACACCGGGCCTTTGAATTTGCGTCTTCCACCTATTGCCTGTGAGTAGTCCCACACAGGAGCAGCTTACGGGTTCGTGCTACCCGACGGACGAGGCACCTTGCTGCTCACAGGATGCCGTCAGTCTCGACAAAGTGAATCGCAAGTGTGAATCGCGAGTGTGCACCGCGAGTATGACTCGCGAGTGTGAGTTTCGAGTGTGAGTCGCGAGTCGCGAGTCATGAGTGTGCGTCGCAAGTGTGCGCCGCGAGTGTGAGTCGCAAGTGCGAGTCGCAAGCAGGTTCAAAAGCCTGTGCTGGACCAGGTCATTGACTTATTACGATGGTCGCTGGTGCCATATGGCTCGGGCCACCCGTGGGAGTCGGGACGTAGTCACTGGTGTGTGTACGACTACGGACGGATGCTCTGTGAATCTCAGAATGCATATTTCGTAGTCGCAGGGACATATATGAACACTTCTTCGATCTGCGATAAGTTGAAAAGCGTTCTTGTGATCACGCTGGACCCGTGTCGAGTGCACGACGCTCGTTATATCGGACATTTACTTCCGTAGACTCGTAGGCGACGCTTGGTATTATGTTCAAGTTTCACTTCGGTCCTAGTAGAACAGGCGAAAGGCTGGAGTTTGATATTATGATATTCGTTTCGTTCCTTCGAGGTTTCGAATCACCGCAGCTCGCGGCTCATCAAGGGAAGTTCTTCATCGATTCCAGTCCCCGTCACAGTATCAGGATTAACTCTAAAGCCATTTCGATCGCCAGTCCAGTCAGTATAAACAACCCCAGCTAAGTCCCCCGACTTTCCACCGCTGATTAGCCTCCACAGATCGACCAAGCGCTTCTTCTTAAGGTTCGGAGAGCTGTCGTAGTGAGTCGTGGCACTTGCGATTGCGCCCAGGTCGAAAACTCCATATCTAATACCATTCGCTAAGACGGGATAATCAGACATGGATTCGGGGAACGCCCGCGGAACCACGCAGATAAGCCTGCTAGCGATATTCGGATACTTTTCGTTTAGGTACGATATGCTTTCCGGGTGCGTCGTCAAGCCGTCGATTCCAATAGACAAGATCTTAACTCGAGTGCCGGGTCGACGGTTCGCGGCCTCTAGTAACCGCAAAATTTCTTGTAAATAAGCTTCTTTACTGCTTAAATCCACACAGCTTGATGTTTTGACTCTTGTGTGAACAATCGTCAGCGCTGTGTCGTCTGGAGACAGCCGGATCCAGGCATTGGCGGCCGCTTTCCCTCGCTGTATCATTCCCTCGCGACCATAAGTCGGACTCACTCCCGAGGAACGCACAACGGAAATCACGATTCGATTCCATTGAGGCGGAATGTCGACGGGGTTGCATTGGAGAATCTTTCCGTATAGCATACACCATGTCAAACCGACTTTGTTTGGTATCGTTCGATCGTTCGTGGGCTTTTTCGACGTCTTCAGATGCGCCCAGCCGGCTTTCCAGTGCCCATTGGGCGTCCATACTTCGGGATATAGCTTATTCAATGCTTTGTTAGATAGCTGTTTCCAGAGATTCACAAGAACGTCATCCGTGGGCAGGCCCGTAGTAGGCAGTTCGGGCGTCCGAGGATCCAACTCGACGATAACTAAACGCTGCGTTCCGCCGAGATTCGGACTGTCGTACAGGTCTAATACTGTATCTTCGATTCGCATGGGAATGCTTATCTCACTCCGTCTTTCTGATATCGACGGGTTTATATATCCACGAGACTTTTGTCCTTCCTCAGTGTCGTGGGTTTCGGATAATATTCGTTTCCTCGGTATAACTAGAGACACTATCGAACGGGTTACTTTCAGTTTCGAGTATTCGGTTTAATTCGAACTTACTCGACTGTGACTGAACTTGGAATCGCAGCTGCTGGCGGTCCGAAATTGGTATGCTTGTGAGATCAATCGAAAGGTTGAGAGTGTCCTTGTCGTACGAGCTGTCGACGGAAGACAATTCCACGAGTTGTCGCAGAAGCTCAGACAGCGATAGTTTCGCCATGTCGATCGTACATTCGCAAATAGCGTACGGTTGTAAGGACAGTTAACAGTCGGGGCACAACGATTCAACAGCTTGACGACGGAAGAAGAAAGATTGCGGTTCCGCCACTACCATAAGGTAGTAGCGGGATCGTTTTTCTTTTTAATTTTGCCATCATTCAGGGTGGTGCGTGCCTGGCCTTGAGGGGGGAAAGAGCGGCCTCCATATCGGTGGAGGGTACGCCTGATGTAGAGCGCGACACCAACAATCTACAAAAGACAGCATGTGAGCACAGCATCCGTCGGCTCATTGATTTCGACTCTGACTTCATCCCATCAACGATCCTTAACTTAGCTCTTGTCTGGTAAAGTCCAAATTCGAGACGCCGTTAGCTGCTGCTTTCATGGGAACCGAGCAGACAGCTCCAAAGCTCATGTGCGGCGTCCGTAACGGTGAGCTGACGTTCTCAGACTACAAGAGAACCTCGGCTTTTTTTTCCAAGGTCTCATATAACGCAGGGCTGGATAAAGACCAGACATTCGCAAGACAACGATCCTCTGGATGTTCGCTGCCTAAGACCGAACCCCAAGGACAAGGTGGATACACAGCAACTTTCGACACTTGACATCTACATGTCTCATCTGCCCTCGTCTGCCCTCAGGGCGTTGCAGGCACTGGGGGAAGCTTCCTAAGCCGCCATCCTCCGCCCCAACCGACCCATCGGGATTCTCTGGGACCGCGCGCGAGCGCAAAGAGTATCGCAAGGCAGGTAAATCCGACTGCAGACACGTCAGCACTCTCGTTCATCAGCACCGAGTCCCTAGTACCGTACTGCTGCAGCCGCCGCTGTACCGCCAACCTCCCGCAGCATAGAGCCGATTACCGACGGCTGTGCCCGTCAGCTGGCCCGCAAACGCGCACGCCATGTAGGCCGTGTTGACGCGGTTCCTAGCCTTGGGGTTGATGGAGAAGATGGACGAGCGGTTGGCGACTTGGGCGATCTGAACCCCGACGTCGATGCCAATGGCCTGCAGGATGGGCCCTGCGACGGTAAAGGTGCCGGTGAATGTGCCAAAAATGATGCCGGCCAGCATGACCATCTGGCCCAGGAGGATGGAGAACAGGGGCACGAAGCGGTCAATGATGCGGCCGTACAGGGGGATACACACCAATGCTGCGATGTTGAGCAGCGAGAACAGACCCACCACGAGAGACGGATACTCGTATGGTGGCGAGACGAGCAGGAAGGTGACCGTCGTCCAGAACGAGGTGAAGCAGCTGCTCATGGTGAAGGCCATGGCGCACGCCTGGATCAGCACGGGCTCTGTGAACATCATCTTGGGGATCGACCACAGTGCCCTGAGGTAGTGGAGGCTGTCTGGGTTGGTGGCGGGGTAGTCGGGCATGAAGAGGTAGAGCATCAGGCCGAGCACGTACTGCGCTCCGCAGGCGAGGCAGTAAATGTTCCTCCAGGCTGTGTAGTTGGCGACGACGCCGGAGAGCAACCGGGCGACCAGCATCCCCAGGAGCAAGCCGGACGTGACGATGGACAAGTTGGCGCCTTTCCGTTCAGGGGGCGCAAAGTCACCGACGAGAGGGATCATGAGCTGAGGGGTCACTGTTGTTGCGCCGCAGATGAAGGAGATGACACGAAAGGTAGTGAAGGACGTCGTGACGCATAGGGCGATCCACTGGGGTTCGGTCAGCATCACGATCAGATTCTGCGCTGGGAGATGGTACCAATGTGGCTGTCAGTAGAACGAGGGCGAGGATGAAGGCCCGTCGCTCGACCATGTCACCCAGTGGCAGAATGAAGACCAAGCCAGCAGCGTATCCAGCTTGAAGCAGAGTAGGCACTTGAGAGGACTGCTCATATGTGACGTCAAACGTGGCGGCGATTTTGTCTAAAATTGGCTGGTTGTAGTATAAGTTTGCAACGGTGAAGGTGGCAGACTACGACTGTGTAAGCTCATTGCTTGTCTCAGGGGTAAAGGGGTGGGATTCACCAATGCGTACAAGACACACAGGCCAGTGGTGAAGGTGGGCGGTGAATTCATGTTCCATCGGCAGTTGGACGGTGCCAAGAGGCGACGCCAATACGTGTCGTACTTGCTGAGGCCATCGTCTGTGGGAATCTCCTCTTGCATCTGAATGCGGTTGCCGGACAGTGACTTCTTCTCGCTCGCGTCGGCTGGGCCGTCGACAGACGCGTCTGGCACGACGTCGCCCGCAGACGCCTCTCGGCTGGCTGCAGTATCGCGCTCATCCATCCCTCTGGCGCATGTCACGAAATGACAGGCGATGCTGGGCCAGATTTGAGTTCACAGACATGGCGCGAGCTACATGTAGCCGGGCGTTGATGTTGATCAGTGGCGAGCAGCGAGATCGGGATGGATGACCCCGGTATTGTGCTCGCGAGGCGGCGAGGCCCGCGCGAGTGCCTGAGCGGGTTCCGTCTTCGGGTCCCATTGGAGATTAGGAAAATTATAATTTACTGCCATTGGCGGGGGTTTTGTCCGGAATTAACAAGTATTCGGCAGTCGGTGATAGATACGCACTGACAATGAGCACTAATATCGACAGTTTGACTCGGGCTTGTGGCATGTATTACGTAGGCCTAGAGGGTAGTATTAACTGGACGACATCGCGAATTACAGGTTATTTTTACGTTCCGCCTGTTCCATTTGGTCGACACTGACGCAAACATTCATTTTTGAGTCTTATCTTAAGCGTGCTTTCCGAATCTCGTCCTTTGTGCGATGATATACAGGGTAAGTCGCGTTACAAAGAGGCCGTCGTGATTCAAGTCCAATTTCACCAAACTCCAACTCCAATGGACTGGATCTTGGCATTGAGGCTGGCCCGCGACATTGCCTGCGAGGACATGGCGCTAACTGCTTCTGAATCCAATGACCACTAACCGCTTGGCGCAGCGTCTTGCCAAGCGACATCCTTGTCTGCCTGGGCGTAGGGCGGCGCAGCTGTGACGGAAGCTGAAAAAATCACAGTCATCTCGCACTTTTGCGGCTGACCAGCGCTCATGCGTGTGTGTCTTTTGGAGATCTGCAACTGATTCTGCCTTGCGGCTCCTCACGGTCTTTACAGTTTTGCCTCTCCTTTTCTAATCGCGCGCTGGCTCTTCAAGCCAACAACTTGACTCTTGCGCGTCGAACATTGCTCTGATAGCATCGCGCACCGCGTTTGTCCTGGTGCCCCCTTTCGCTCGTTCACGATGGATCCGTCACAGCAGCCTCAACAGGCGCAGTTTTCGCAATACCAGCAGCAGCAACAGCAACAGTACCAACAATACCAACCAGCCGTGAAAGGCGACAACATGAAGCCGCCGCCGCCCCATGTCTCGCCCCGGAGCATGTGGCTCTCCAAGGTCATCTTCCGCATCCTGTCTGCCATCTTCTCGATTGTCCTCATCGGCCTCTCGGCCTACATTGGCACCAGATGGGGTGGTGATTATTACTACGGCCCACTGGTCATCATGCTGCCCCCAGTACGTTCTGCGCTCCCCTGGCGAGTCTGTTCGAGCTACCTGCTAATTGCGTGGAACATTAGGCTTGTGTTGGCCTCATCTGGGATCTGGCCGAGATGGTCGCTGTTCTCGTGCGCGGTGGCCACCGCGGTACGCATCCCGGGGCCGTCGTCGCCATGGACCTGCTCCTCTGGCTCGGGTTCATCGTGGCCGTCGTCTTTTATGCGCTGTACTACCTGGGCGACATCTACTACTACGGCAGCTACTGGTTCGAGGACGAGTCCTTAAGCGAGATTGGCAAAACCATCATCATAAGCCGTGTCATGATCGCCTTGGGCAGCATCGAAGTGTGAGTGAATTTGTTGGTCGGTAGAACCATGGGCGCAGCGACTGACATGTAGCATACAGTGCCATCCACCTCCTCCTCTTCATCTTTGGCTGCTACGAGACGAGCATCCGCAACCGCAGGACGCCGCCTGTCGTGTACATCCCAGGTCCCATGGGCTACGGTATGCCACCGACGAGTCAGCAACCCCAGCACTTCAGCCAGTACGGCGCCCACGCACCGGGCCAGCCCATCATGCTGCCTGTCGGCCAGGCGCCTCCCGCTGGCTACGTGGCATACTCCTACGGACCTCAGGACGGTCGTGCCAGCCAGCAGTACGACGCGTCGACTGTCTCTCCTCCGCCACAGGAGCCGTCGCCCGTCCACACGGCCTACACGCCGGCACATGGTGACTGGAGGAACTCGTACCAACCGGCCCAGGCGTCGGGTCAGCCCAACGTCGGCGCATAAATACTGCAAGATTTGTTTGCTGTAGACTTATTATAATAATGCCATGTATTTGCTAGCTTTCTGTATGATATCGTGCTTTCAAGAGCGTTCAGAGTGAGGAAGCAGGCAGGTATGTGTGTTTGCCCGTCCTGCTCTGCTTGGACACAACATGAAGGGGGACGCATTCAGTCACTGCATCTCACGTTGGGCTCGCGACAATGGAGTTCATCTGTTCTTGTCATGCCTCACTTTCTCTCACTTTGGTCTTCGTAGAGCCAACAATGGTCATCTGGCGTGGTTTCATTTCACGCCTCTTGTTCTCACCTTCTCTTCTCCTCGCCTTTCTCTTCTCTTCCTCGTCTTTTCCACCATCTGCACCCCGTGGTCTACGCTATTTCTACTCTCTCATCGATCAGTGAACCCTACAATAACTCCTTTATACCATCGCCATCTTACGCTTCACTATGCCTGCCAAGGATCGACCTCAGCGCTCGGCGACGGCCAAGGGCATCAAGAAGAATAAGACAACTCTCGTGGTGGGACTTGACTTTGGCACGACGTAGGACCCCCTCGAAATGGAATCTTCTCACCGCTGACTGACTCATTGCAGTTTCTCTGGCGTTGCGTACGCCCTCTCGACAAATCCTGAGAAGATAAGCATCGTATCGCGCTAGAAGGGCGAGCTGTATTATCAGACCATGGACAAGCAAAAGGTGCCCAGCGTCATTGCGTACGACAAGTCTGGTCAGCCCGCCGCCTGGGGCTACGAGATTCGGTACTCGCACACGCCGCTGAAGTGGCTCAAACTACTCCTCGTGGAGGAGGACGAACTTCCACCACACCTATCCAGCTCGGCCGAATATAAGTCATTGAAGAAGCAGGTTAAGGCGCTGCGCAAGAGTCCCGTAACTATCATCGGCGACTATCTTCGGCTCCTCTGGGCTCACGCCTGGAGCCAGATCAAGGTGTCTGAAGGGGAGTCGTTTGTGGAGGCCTGCAAACTCAAGATCGTCGTTACCCTGCCTGCCATTTGGTCCCCGTGCGCGCAGCAGCGCATGCGCGAGGCACTCCAGGTGGCAGGAATTGCTGGCCGCGCCGATGACCACCACGTGTCCCTTGACTTTGTGTCGGAACCCGAGGCCGCTATCCTCGCTTCACTAAAGAGCATGGGAAGCCGTGAGGATGTTGAGGTTGGCCGAGGACCTAACTATGTTCGTGTCTGGTGCAGATCGCTGATCGATATATAGGACGGCGATCACTTTGTTATCTGCGATGCAGGCGGAGGTACAGTTGTACGTGCTTATCCATCCACTCTATAGCCGCGAACCCTGCCTGACCCGAAGCAGGACTTGATCACATACGTGATTGAAAGTCAGGATCCCCTTATCGTCAAGGAGAGTGTCCGAGGCTCTGGACTGGTCTGCGGCTCCGTGCACCTTGACGAAGGCTTCGCGAAGCTCCTAAAGACTGTCGTGGGACGAGATGTCTATAAGAAAATGCAAGGGCCTGGCTTACACGAATTCATGAACCTGCACTGGGAGAACGGTCTCAAGGTGCAGTATTTCGGTCGCGATACACCACCGTACCCTCTCACGCTGCCCTACTCGGGATCAGAGAGCGAGGGCTTCCGCTCGCCTGAGATTCAGATCCAAGGGTAACTAGCGTCCTTGAAGCACAGCGACGTATATGACTAAAGAGATTTAGGTATGACCTTGAGCCAATCTACACAAGAATCTTCGAAAAGGTGGCCCGTCTCGTTCAGGGGCAGATTAACAAGGTGGTCGAGGAGTACGACGAGACCCCCAAGGTAAGTGGTCCCGGAAAGTTCCAAGACGCAGCTACTCATGGTATTGTAGTTCCTAATTCTCGTGGGAGGATTTGGCCAGAGCGAGTACCTTGGCAAATGCCTGAAGGATCAAGTTCGCGATATCCCTGAATTCATCCAGGACGCAGGCGAGCGGCCGTACGTCAAGAGCCTCCCCTTTTTTGGGTTGAACCTACTAACGCGCACAAATAGCTGGACTGCCGTCTGCCGGGGCGCCGTCGTCAAGGGCCTAGCCGAGTGCAGTGACTCGTCGGACCTCGCCATCATTGTCAACTCGCGCGTTGCTCGTGTCAACTGGGGCACGGTGACCAACATCTCCCCCTTTGAGAACGACATCCACGACCCCCGGGATAGGGAATGGTGCCCAGTAGAACAAGAGTGGCAGGCCAAGGATCAGGTCAAGTGGTTCATCACGATTGTAAGAGCCTCGACACCCTCCTGTAGCTTTGCACTACTGACTTCCCCAAGGGACATCCTATCGAGGCGGACCGCCCCATCGTCCATCCTTGCTGGCAAGCGCTAACCGGGGCGGATGAGGATATCGTCACGGAAATTGTGTATTCCTACAAAATGCTCGAGTTCAAGGACCCAAGGGCGGACGTGACGCGCCGTGATAGCTCGGTGAAGACCCTATGCGAGATACGGTGGAAGAACCTGCTGGAGAAGTACCAGAAGCTGCCCGAGATGCAGACGACGACGGGCCAAAGCTTCCGCAGGCTGGAGTACGATGTGCACCTCACCACGCAAGGTGTCTCTCTGGACTTTATCGTGTACCATGAACATGAGGTTATGGGGCAGGGCAATGTCTCTTTGAATTTTGACGGCGTGGGGCTTGCGGTGAAGGATGAGGAGGGGGCATAGACTGGCTTACAATGGATAGATCCTGGGATTGGTCAGAGATATTGGATTTTATGACTGTGTGCACTCGCTATACGACAGGCAGTCCATCATTTGATGCCATGGCGGTTTGGGTGCTTGGCATGGGTCGGCATCGGCCTCGACATCAACGCGCATTGCGAAGTTGATTGTACAATACCCGCTAGTCTAGTAAATACCGTCAATCAATTCGACGTGCTGGAATGGACAAAAAGGTGCTTGGCTGGACAGGGGCGAACTTTAAGTGAAGTCAGGTATACCTATGTAAGGTACCTTAGAGCAAGGGGCCACCTGTCGTCTGTGTGGTGGAGGGATAATAAGGAGGGACCCTGAATCTCAGAAAATGAAATCTGGTCGCATCTCTTCCAACCCTCCCTTCTCAGTCCGTCGACCACCTCGCATGCCGCCACCATGAAGGTCGTCTACTTTCTTCTCGGGCTGCTCGCCCTCATCAGCCCCGTGCTCGGTGCCTGGAGCAAAGAAGGTGATTACTGCTCCCATACCTCCTCGAGCGACGTGCCAGAGAATCATCGTACTGACACGCCAGACCGTGAAATCTTCCGCATCCGCGACGAAATCTCCGCGCACGAGACGGACCAGGCGGCCACCTTTTACGACATTCTCGGCATCAAGCAGTCGGCCTCGATCGACGACATTACAAAGGCGTACCGCCTCAAGACGCGCTCGCTGCACCCGGACAAGGTCAAGCAGAACCTGCGGGCCGAGAGCAAGAAGAACCCCGGCCAAAAGGCGCCCACGCAGTCGCAGATCAACGCTGCTGTCAAGGAGGCCTCGGCCGCCCAGGCCCGCCTCTCCCTCATCGCCAACATCCTCCGCAGCGAGGGTCGCGACCGCTACGACCACTTCCTCGCCAACGGCTTCCCCCTCTGGAAGGGCACCGACTACTACTACAACCGCTACCGCCCCGGTCTCGGCACCGTCTTGACCGGCGTCTTTCTCCTCGGCGGCGGCCTCGTCCACTACATCATCCTCTACATGGGCTGGAAGAAGCAAAAGGAGTTTGTCGAGCGCTACGTCAAGTTTGCCCGCGACACGGCCTGGGGCGCGGCGGGCGTGCCCGTCGTCGAGACCCCCGTCGTACCCACGCCACCCCCCGAGGATGAGGCCGAGGGCGAGGACGGTCCGCCCCAGCCCATGAACCGCAAGCAGCGCCGCATGCAGGAGAAGGACGCCAAGCGCGAGGGAGCCAAGAAGAGCCGCAAGGCCAAGGGTGCGAGCGCCAATGCCTCGCGCGACGCGTCTCCTGGCCCTACCGGGCGCCGCAAGAGGGTTGTCGCCGAGAACGGCAAGGTCCTTGTCGTGGATGAGCTGGGCGACGTCTACCTCGAGGACGAGGACGAGGAGGGCAACGTGAACGAGTTCCTCCTTGACGTGAGTGCCCCCGCCCCTTACCCAGTATGAGACGCCAGAATTAGCCCACTAACTCCTGCAGCCGAACGAGATTGCCGTGCCAGGGTTCAAGGACACTGCCGTTGTCCGCCTGCCCCTGTGGCTCCTCCGCTCCACGTTTGGACGCCTGCTGCCGCAGTCTGCGCCCGTCATCGAGGAACAGATTGTCGTCGAGGCGGACGAATCGGACGAGCAGTCCGCGGCGCAGCGCACGCCCAGCTCCGACTCGGACTTTGAGATGCTGGACAAGAGCACGGACTCACTGGCCAGGGTGGCCAAAGCCACGGGCGCGCTGTCGGGTGGCAGGGCCAGCAAGAGGAAGAACAAGAAGAGGTAATCGGCAGATGCCGCTGCTGCTGCTGCTGCTGCTGCCTGGGACGCATAACGTTGGGCTCAGCGTCTGTGGAGCAAGCGAGATGCAATGTATGCTGTGGCCTTTTCGAGGCCCGGTCCAGTTGGGCCACGGGTGGATATGATCTCCAGCAAGTTACTCATAGATACAGGCAGGCAAAGACAGGAAAAGGCACAAAAAGGTGTTTTGGATTGAGAATTTGAGTCACTCCAAAGATGACTCCTTGTGTGCTGTGCTGTCAAGTTTGGTACCACCCCAGCGAGCACGTCGTGTCCAGTCGTTGCATCGTCGTCCATTGCTTCGTACAACCAAGTACCCATCTCGAATTGAATGGCCAGCGTGCCACGACGACTGTCCTTGACCGAGGACGAGTACCGACATATAATAAATGATAAATAAGAACATGTAGCACATCTCACACAGAGGAACAGACGCCACGATCATACTTTATTCAAAGTGCATACACGATCTAAACCCCTGCAGCCGCCCCTCGCGCTGCTGCTTCTCCTCCTCCTCCTCCCCTCCGCCGCGTCCAGTCTCCTCCCCAAGCTCCAATAACCCCTGAGGAGCAGCCTCAACGCGCGAGTCTCGACTTCTCGAGCAGCCATCAGGCAACGCTAAGCCGGACGATCCCTGCAGCTGGCAGCCCAGGTGGAGGTTGCCGGCTCCCGCATCCCAGCCTCCGAATTTACGGTGAGCGAGACTGCGAGTGAGCGTCTCTCCACTCGCCTCTCGATAACCAATCCATCTTCCGCTGGCTGCTCTGCATTGCTTGCTTGCTTGCTCGCATCTGCATCTACGTACTGTACTCCGTACGTCTGCGTCTGCGTCTGCATCGTGTGCTTTCCCGACGCAGCAGAAGATTTTTGCCCCGTCCTCGTTCGATTCGTCAATTGATCCACGGCAATCGAGACCGAACATCCAGTCCAGGCCTCATTAAAACCATTGCGCTGCTTGCATTGATCGCATTGATAACAAGCCCAGCATAGCCAGGACCACCACCACCACCCCACAGGCCACAAAGACCCCTCGCTCCACCTGTTCATCATCACGGTCCTGTCCCTCCATCGCCTACGCAGCACCTCCAACGACAAGACAGAAACACAACTCTCCCACCAGCGCAATGGGCTTCCTCGACCCATGGGGTGACGGCACCTCCGTCGTGTCAGGCGGCCTCTCCCGTCCTTCCGCCTCCAAGCGTCACCGCTCCCGCTCCCGCCAGCCCACCGAGAAGAGGAAGAAGCGCTCCCGCAGCCGCTCCTCCTCGCGCCATCGCAGCAGCAAGGGCCACCACAGCCACTCGTACGGGCCCGGCGCTGCCCTCGGCGCCGGCCTCTCCAGCTTCTTCGGCAACAATGACTCCCACTACCACAAGCACTCCAAGTCCAGCGCCAGCTTCTTTGGCCTCGGCGCCGACAGGAACACCTCGCGCGGCAGCTTCTTTGGGTCCAGTGCGTCCATCCCTCGCCCCCCCAGCCTGTCGTCCGTGATGAACACAGTCATAAAGCTAACACACCCACAGGCAAACCGTCGTACTACAAACGCTCCTCCCGCCATGGCTTCCTCCACAAGACCTACAAACACCTCAAGCGCCTCCTCCGCGACCTCACCCACTGGGCCAAGCGCCACCCCTGGAAGGTCCTCATCATGGTCCTCATGCCCCTCGTCACCGGCGGCGCCCTGGCCGCCCTCCTCGCCCGCTTCGGCCTGCGCCTGTCGCCCGCCCTCGAGAGGCTTCTCGGCCTCGCCAGCAAGGCCGTCACCGGGGACGCTGGCGGCTTCATGGGCGACGCCGTGCGCTTCGCGGGCGACTCCTTCGGCGGCGGCAAGACCAAGACCACTGTCAGGGTCAATGACGGCGGCAGGGCCACCACCGGATGGGAGCAGTCCTACTCGAGCGGCAATGATGCGCTCAATGGCACCATTGCGGGCGTCGCCAAGATGTTCATCTGACTTTACGTGGTCTGCTGCGGTGTTTTCCCTTGTCATGATCGTATCTTGGGTTTGGCGTTTGGGTTATGATCATCTCCTGCTCGATCGTCGCAGAGCAGTAGGGCTGACGCCTGCTACTGCTCCATCGATCCTTTCTTTCTTTACAATAGCTACGACGAGACGATATAGTACATTATGGGCAAAAGAACTTCAACGAGCATGGCTTCAGGTCCCTGATGTGTCTTGCCACCCACTGTTTGATTCAAAAATCCAACGGCCTAATGCCTTTGTAACTGCTGGTGGATGTCATGATGCTAAATCGTCAAACGCCTGTCCCATGTCCCCGCTATGGCTTTGGTGGGCGTCTCCTTGACCTGTTTGTCGTCACAGGAGAGCGCGCCAGAAGCTGGGCCGTTGTCCGACCCCAAAAAATGTTCTCGCAAATATACAGTGTGACTCCCAGTTCCATATACATTCATCAGACATGTGGTCAATGCCGCCTCAGGCTGGCTTGGCTCACTGTGTTTGGGTACCTTCTTCCTTCGGCTTCCAGAATTGCACAAGGCGACCGAGGCGTTTCGTGCGGCTGCCGCGCGTCTTCTTGGCCTCGCCCTCGGCGTCCATGGGCACTTCCATCGACAGCTTGCTCCTCTCCCCGTGGGAGCTGCTGATCAAACGGCTGAGGCTGACCAGGCTTGATCGGCGACGGCCGAAAGCCGCCGACGACACGGATAGCGGGCGGGGTTCGCGGAGTGTAGGCTGCGACATGCGTGCCTGGGGCGGATACTGACTGTCCCTCGTCATGATGGAGTTGCTCGATGTCAGCGACGGAATGTCGTAGTCCACCGACAGGCGCACTTCTGGACCAGGTTCGCCCATGAGCAGCGACCGGAAGCTGTTGTCCTCGTGCACAGACGACGGCGCCGTTGACAGCCGCTGTGTATCCGCTGACATGGGCGAGCGAGGCGAAGACGAGTAACTCATTGAGTAGGGGCTTGTGGGAACGGCGCTGGGGGCGGGTGGCGCCGGTAGTTGGAACGTGGGCAGCTCCCGGGTCCCGGAAGCCTGCCTTGGCGAAAGACGAGGCGACATGGACGCTTCCGACCCGCCGTCAAATACGTTATGGGTGCGGAAGCGAATGGCGGGCTCCTCCAGAATGACGCTCTCGTGCATCGAGTTCTTGGACCGCTGCGCGCGGATCGACTGCATGCTGGACTGGTCCCTGTCGCTCATCCCGGAGCTCTTGCGGCGAACGCTGCGAGCCGGCTCCTTGGGAGGCTCGGGTGCCACG